ATCGCTGGAAAGGGAACATGCCAAAATGGAACAAGATTGAAGGACAATGGCGGCAGCGGTGGAGAGGGTGCGTGGGGAGCTTTCGGTTTTGCATTGGACTGCCAATTTTGACGGGAAAAGAAAGAAAAAAAAATTGGCGATCGATGTCCAATATTGGATGTATCCAAAGTAGTTGTTGTATGGAAAAGATGGTAGCGTCTAGACAAATGCCCTATACTAATGTATGTACCGTACTCGGTATGGTAACGCTCAGCTCAGCTTCCTCCCCAGGTCCCAAAAACCCCAACTCCTGCATTGTCCCCCCTCAACTTTCTCTCCCCCGCAAGGACGCCGCGACCACACAACCAGCGCCGGACAAATACAAACTCCGCCGTCCCTGCCAATGTGAATCGCCATGAGGGTCCGATTTAGACTGCTTTCGGCCTTAAGTGGTTCCCCATTTGGGCCTCCAGTGGCTCCGTCGCTTCCATTCCCCGCTTTCTGTTTTGTTCTTGTTCTTTTTTTTTTTTTTCTCCCTTCGCTTGTCGCCAAGTCGCAAATGGAGAAGAAAAATAAAAATTACGGAATAAATCTCCTTTCCTTGGGCGAAGGTTCACCATCGGTCCTCATCGATCATTACCCGTCGTCGACCTACGAACATTCTTCCCGTTTCTCCTCTTCGACTTCCCTCGCCAGAATTCCCCCTTTCATAGATCCCTTCCAGCCCTTCTGACATCCCCTTTCCGAATTTAGTATCTGCTCAGTGAGATCGGTTTGGGACTAGTGAATCTCCTTCGACTACCTTATCAATTTATCCTTTCCCCAGTTATATTGTTGGTCCACACCCACTACTCGGATGCTGCACCTTCACCGTCGACGTTACCACTCGGTATGCGATCCCGCACAGGCTGGTACGTGTCCCCTCAACTTTGTCTATAATTAAAAAGGAAAGAAAAAAAAGAGAAAAAAGGGACAAAAAGATAGATTATACCAATATAATATTGATCTTCAACAATCTCTATGTCTACGCAAAGAAATCAAATCATGTCCTTTCCCTGTCATATTTTGGCCGTTTGTCGTGAGCAAGGGAAACGATGATCAGTGACTGACTTGTCCGCCCCGTGTCGTGCAGCTTAACGTGTCGTACTCGAAAATTGAAGTGTACGTTTTTCGTGCTTTCTGCCCCTAGCGGTTACGATTGTGGAACGCGAAGGACTAAGACCAAGTGATGGATAGGTGATGAGCAAAAGCCCGAGTGTTCGCAGTGTCGCAAAGGCGGCCGAGAATGTCGCCCCAGCGAAGGGATCGTGTTCCGCCATCAGCAAAATGCTTCGATGAATAAGAACCCCGACGATCCCACCGGTGGGCGGGGCACGCTGAAAGGTTTCTACTCGTACAAGAACACCTTTGATGAAGATAGTGTCTGGCTAGATATTCCGAAACATGGTACGAGCAAACCTCCAACGGAAAGTGATTTGCATAGCCCTACAGTGATGCGCGCACGGCGATGTCTGCGAGGGACGGTCTGACTGATGGACTTACCTCGGTAGTGATCTTTGTCGACAACTCGGATCCGTATGTGGAAGACCTCGAAGCGGCCTTGGGAGAGTCGGAGGCGGCTATCCTCGCCGCGAATGCGCAGAATCGAGATTGGAACGCTCAGCGGACCGTGCCTTTGGATGGGGAGACCCAGGGGTTGAAAGCTCTATCGGCAGCAGCGGTCCACAACCAACTACCGTATGCCTCTTTAAATATGGACCAACAGCCTTTACCCACTCCCGACAGTGGCGTATCGTTCAATGCGGTTCCAGCCACGGCCATGACGACGGGCCATTCCCCGAACCCGACATGTAATGCGATACCCGGTCAACCATCACCGCCGGTTTCGATTTCGCCCTCCAACAGCACCAATAATAATATCAACTTTCTGCTGAATCCCTCTCAATCTCTTTCTCCGCAAACGGACTCTAATTTACAGTATGCAACGGCACGTAGAAGCTCTTCACTAACCGCGAGGTCGGTCGCGTCGCGAGGTGTGGGTGCCACTGAACCCAAGCCGGACGGACCGGTGGAAACCGACCGTGAGATTATGTTTCTCTTGCGGCATTTCTCCGAGTCGCCGGGGCTCTGGTAAGTTCTGGTGTGCTCGCTTGATCCTGTGGAAGGCCGTTAATATGTGGTGACAGGATGGATTTATTCGACCTTGGAACATATTTCGCATCATACGTGCCGGCCAAAGCACGGTCCAATCCCCTGCTGCGATACGCCGCGTGTGCGTACGCCGCGAAGCAGCTGGGTCGGGTCAAAGGCGCGAGGCCTCCTACCGGTGAATTTGTCTCAACCCAGTCTCTCATGCGACGAGGACCGGACGCGAAGAACGTAGACTGGATCTGGCATGGCGCAAAGTATTATGAAAAAGCCATTCAGCTGCTGATGAAGGAGTTGCAGCCCGACAAAGGCCCCGCGCCACTCAGCACTCCCGAGGCATTTGGCCAGTGGCAGGCGGCAGAACTGTCGGAGGGTAATGATCCTAACAACCCGCGCAAGCGCCGAAGGCGTTACTCGGAGAGTCGATTTTCGAATGGGGTCCACTCGGATGAAGTTCTGGCGGCGACGGCCATCTTGTCCGTGTATGAATTTCTGGATGCCACCGGCCCGGCATGGAATCGACACTTGAGTGGTGTTAAGTCTTTGTTGGACGTGGCAGAGGTTGGTATGATGCCCCTTGAGCAACATCCTTCGCCTGGCGACGCCCTGCCGCAGCCGTTGAAGAGACCCGCTCTTTCCAAGGCCCGAAGAGCCACCTTCTGGAACTTTGCCCGGCAAGATTACCTGGCTGCTTGTAAGTGTATCCTGGGGCGACTTTCGAGCAATCTTGGTGACGTCTATATTCTGACCGCGTACTATAGTTATCAATGAGTGTAATACCAGGCTGAATACCGATGACCTGGTACTTTGGACTGAAGCTGGTCTTCAAATAGACAATATGGGCTTCATAGTCCCTAGTAATTCAAACGCCGCTGGGTATCCAGAAGGCGATGAGGCCATGAAGGAAGACCTCATCGGGAATGGCCTCATATGGATTCTTTCCAAGATCATTAATTTCATCAGCTCGGGGGACAATCTGCAGTTAGGGAGCGGTCCAGTTAATACCGGGCCTCTGGGTATCTCGCAGCAGGTTTTACTTGAGCGGTGGTATCGCCTGGAAACCGAGCTTGACGTTTGGTACAACGGTCTCCCCGATACCTTCCGGCCCTGCGCACGGCTGGAGCACCCTTTGCAGAACGACGGCGACGGCGATGGTGACGGAGCTGCTTTGTCGGAGATCTGGTACAGCATTCCCGTATGCTCGTCAGCTATGCAGCATTACCACATGGCCCGTATCTTGCTTCTGATCAACAAACCGCACGAGTCGACCAGTAGACGGAGTACGATCACCAATCGGCTCAATTCGTATCGTTCCATTGAGAGTGAGATCCGATTTCATAGTCGGGAGATTGTAGGTATCTCGATGGCTCACCCAGAAGGCTCGGTCCGGATCAACTCTCTCCAGCCGTTGTTCGTGAGCGGTCAGTGTCTCACCGAGCCCCGAGAACGTGAGATGGTGTTGCAACTGCTGCGTGGCATAGAGTTTGATCTTGGCTGGGCCACTGGGTATCGTGTAAAGCAATTGTTGCGGGAGTGGGGCTGGGATGAACAAGCCAAGGTCCGGGTTTCTTGATCTCGCCATGACTGTCGTTATCTTTAGTCTTCAGCTCTGTCAAGAAGTCCCCAGTAGACCTTGGGTGTTTCCACCGCAGGCTCTGCGCTGTCCCTGCGTCGATCACGACCTGATGGTCGGAAATGCCACCAGGGAAGCGGCTTCATGTTGGCCATTGACCGACAACACCTCACCTGGCTGCGCGTTTGGATGATATCTTTCCGGACAACCGCGCACGACCATGGCTGCGTCCACCCTCAGGGGTGATACTAAGGCATCTTTCACTTCTGTGATTGCCTTGGATGCTTGTTTCGATGATTTATGATACCACTGTATATGTACCTTTGCGTGATTTTTGGCCGATTAGTCTGGATTTGGATCTTGGGTGTGCATGAGACCAAGAGTGCATAATGATATCCTTTGTGTTTTGGGTTTAATAGGTTTGCAGTGATTTCTCTCGCGTGGGAGCATCTTTTTTTTTTTTTTTTTTTTTTTTTTTTTTTTTTGCCGTTTTTTTTTTTTTTTTTTTTTTTTTAGGTTTTTTTTTTTTTTTTTTTTTTTTTTTACCTACTGGTCAAGAGTTGGGTAACGAATCTCAACCTGTATAGATTAGTTGAAGCATTTGGCAGAATAGATGTTGGGAAGTCGAAGTTGGCACGGGGCAACCGAAATTCGTTCAGAGATTTTTGAAATTTTCCTTTTTAGACATTTTTTATTGTGGGGATTTCCATTAGAAAATGAGAACGAAGCCTGGACATGATCTTCACCCAACTTTGAGGGAACAAGGAAGGTTTTGTTGTCGAAGAACTCGGCTGAGTTGCCTGAGGGTGAAGGCTGCAGCAACTCCCTCCAGTGTCCACACGTGCTTACTACCCGTTGAAATTTCCACGCCAATAACTTGGCGTGAGCCCTATCCAACCGGGACCGAATAGACTTTTTTACTCGGCTTTTACTGAGATCCTTGGTGGATGCTCGCCGGATGTGGGTTGAGTTCGGGTTGAAGAAGGAAGGTTTTCTTTTTGATCCCCCGGTCTCGCTCGCCGGGGTCTCGAAGCGTTGACGGTTCTGCAGTAGCTCGGCCTATCACCTATCTCGAGTGCAACTGCAGAAGAGCATCTCTGGTCACCATGGAAGGTCTCCCGATCAGCCAGGCCCCGCAACCCTGCCCTGACGAAAAAATCTGGTCCTCCGAACCCCATACCGTCATCAACCCGCAATGATCTTCAGGATCGTGAGGATCCTCCTTATTTGCCTTCCGTTTCGGGCGGCAACGCGGGTTTCCCCATCCGATCGTCCCGGGCTTCACCGTTCCTACATAGTAACATGTTGACACTCGACAGCCAGGAAAGTTTCCCGGTTTAGTAGATTCTTTCTCTGAGACAGCGGTCGTCTGTCCTCCGATGTACCTCTCAAATTGCGTGCCATGTCCAGCCTTTGGAAAAGAAGATCAATGCCGATCGCCGGGATTACTGAATCCAGGTTCCCCGGTTCACCGTTGGACATGGACATGAGAGAATCCACGGGCGGATTGAGGCCGGGGTTTGCTGTTTTATCAGACGCCGGGACAAAACGGATGGAAACGCACAACTGTGTTTACCCATTTTTCTTGTTTTTCTCGCTGGGGCTGTCGGTCTGGCACTCTGGGGTTCCTTGTTCGTCTGCAGCAGTACCCACAGGTGGGCCTTGAGGTCATCACAACCGAGGATGTTCCAGGATAACCTGCTTGTGCAGTGTGACGTATATTCACAATTTTGTTGATGGACCTCGCCAGACACAATGAATCCGAACAAGTTTTTCACATGGTGTCCAGTGATGATCTTCGCATCACTTGCCTCGAGTCCTGGTCGACGCGACTGTCGATTGTATCTCAAGCCAAATGGCACAGTTACCGCCCACCACGACCATCTGAATGGAACCCCACTGTCGGATGGGGCTTCGATATACACAGTATGAGTTGTCACAAATAATCCTCGGCTACCTTACCCCGACCAACGAGGATCTGGGGGTGGCGTATTGCTACAACAGTATTTGATGGGTCACCGACCCTCCAATAGACGACGATCAACGGCGATAAAAACCCAGAAGTCTGAATCGAAAAAGTAACGCGGCTGGTGAGGGAGATTCTGGCGACTTTTAGTATGAGGTGTATCCCATGTACTCTAGGAGGGTTGTCGATGGAATGAACCGTCTCAGCCGGTTCAATAAACTATGGGGGCCATTGGTCGCAACTCGACCGTGGAAATGCCAAGATGCCGTTCGCTCAGAAGCTTAGGGTTAGATAACAGGGAAAGTTCCTGATAATAGACTTTACTCAAGCTCAGGACGGAGGAGCGCTCAGGGCCTCTGGTAGAGGGCACTAGTTAGTGCATTCTTGTTGGAACCTTCCACCTTATCTCAACTCTATCCCACGCTGTGCGGTTATCAATCTATCGACTCATGATTCTATTTCAGTAGCCACACTACGGAAATGTCACTTTAAGTAACATATCCTCGCTGATAGCCACCGAAACTATTATATAGTACGGAGTTACTATCTATCAACGCGCAAACAAATAACCAATGATACGAGTACAGCTAGTATATATTATAAATAAATAAAACCAAGGTCAAAAACGAAAAAGAAAAAAACCCTTGTCCTCGCAGGGTTCAAATGTGCAATACACTGGCACCGAGATACAATAATAAATCGATTAACCTAGTATTCGAATATATCCGCTAACTACTTGTACCATTCTACCCATTCGATCTGAATATGTTTCTTGATATAATGTAACCACTGTGGAGGTATATGTAGGGATTATAATATTTCACGAATATAATATTCCTAGTCTTATACCAATTCCACTCTAATTAGAAAGTTATACACGCCAGTCACAATTGGTACAAGCACCCTGGACATCTCTCTCACACACACAATAGTAGCGTTCGGTAAGCAGACTGGTAATGTCTCCAGGGGACTAAAATTGCAGTGAGCCCCACATTCGCCAAAAAGTGTCATACGGTATTTGATACTTCGGGAAGAACTAAAAGTGCAGCTTTGGACACCATGCAGTACGTTATGTTACAAGTACCAGGTGGCTTAGACCGTGTAATGCTAATAGAGATGGTTTATAACAACCTCTCCGGGAGACTAAAATTGCAGTGCAGTGGCAAATTTTGCCAGAAGCATATTGGTTGTTCTTGTTTAGTGGTTGGCGAAGTCAGCTTAGTGAGATAGTTAAGTAAACCAGTGTACTCCATGTCTACGCTTTGCTTACGGAATATAAGCCCTATCAGGTGACCTTTAGAATTAAAAGATGAGGCTCAGCTTAACTACAGCAATAGCTTCCAGTCCCACAGTGAGATAAGATCGCCAGCAGAAAGGTAAACATGGCTACCCCAGTAATGGAGCTCTACTTGAGTTGGCTGTGTATCTGTGACAGACCTCCTTTCTTGTTATATCTTTAACCTGACATAGAGTCTTGGTGTATGTGGACACAGGCTCTGGGATGCTTTGTTGTTTGTTCTTCAAGTTTTACGAGGATGAAAAGCCCTGTTTGGTGAGAGTAAGCCCCATGGAACTAAGATTTGCAATGCAGTAGTCAGCTAATCCAGCCACTCATTGAGCGGAGATTTTGCACTGGTTCCGGTTGGTAGAGATTAAAGTCGGAGGACAACTACAACTCCTTCTTGCCACTATAAATGCAGTGTTGGCGGGGCTGACGAGTAATAACGCTTGGACAGACAGCCCCTCGCAGGCACTTAAAGTGCAGTACACAGAACAGCGGCTTGGCAAACTTGGGATTGTCTGCCCAATGACGCAGAGTGCTTATTGCATGTACGAGGCGATTTGAGTTGACAGTCTCTCACAGGGACTAAAAGTGTAGTGTATTCCTACTTAAGCCAATAAATCACTAGGAAAAAGAGAAAAAAAAAGAAAAAGGGCCTGACAGCTGCACAGAGCACTGAGTATTATGTCGTCTTTTTTTGCAGCCTTTGGCGGTTTTGGCAAAACATCACTTGATTAATCAGCCCTATTCCTGGTCCCCCTGGGTAAAGGAGGATCTCAAGTTATCCAAGAGTAGCCAAAGATAAAGGGAGAAGAGCAAAGTGTCAGTAAATCTACTCTGTTCTACTATCAAGCCGATGGTAGATGTCTCCTTGCCTACGTCTCCTTACCTAGTTGATAGGCTATCTCGCCTGTATAATAGATCCTCCATCACACTTAACTTCGCCCTCTTGATGTTTGACATAGGCCAGCCTCAGTAGTAGTGATTGCCAATAGGGCGAAAGGTGAAGTTATAGCACCACCACACTTGGTGTCTCGGGAACTAGAAGTCTACATAGGAGCCAAGCTGGAGATTACGGAGGACAATCGGCTGGTAAGGAGAGATCCATACTAGCAACACAAAGTGGACAACCAAAGTTGTAGTTGGGTGATGTATATTCACAATTCTTCTTATATTTGCTCGGAAATCCCAAATTGAATACTGTGAACCTAGTTATGCTTCCATATGTGATCTACCCAACATAGTGACGATTCGCTGGTTTTATTATGTCAGAACTCTTCTCAGTGGCTGATCAGGTGTGGGAATTGGGAATTTCATCTGCTACAAAATGCCCCTGGGATATTGAAACAAGTAATTTATTGTTTTATAGTACAAAATGCTCTATGTTTATACCTCACCCATCTCGCTAAGCAAGCTATCCAGATTCTTCTGAAGCTCGGCATGTTTAGCGGCCATGTCATTATACTTGGCCTCCCATTTGTCGCTATCGGCCTGGAGCGCCTGGGCACGGCGTTCATAATGGCCAGCCTGGATATCATCCTCGTTGAGTCTAGCCTAGTTAGCAGAGAAATACCATGAATATGCAAAGGATTGAGAAAATCATACAGCTTTTTCACCTCGCGGACTAGCTTCTCCGTCTCTTCCACCTGCTCCTCGAGCTCTTGGTGGCGGGTGGAGAGCGCAGCAATCTCTTCATCCTTGCTTTGATTATCCTGCTCTAGCTCTTGGATTTTTGCCGTGAGCTTTTCCACTTCGGTTTGCGCTTCGTCGGCCTCCGTCTGGAGGGCTTTCATTTTCTGGGGAGTTGGGTTAGTTTATGCTGAATTTTGAAGGTTGAGGCAGTGCTTGCCTCGCGAATGCGGTCCATGATAGGTAGTTTGCTTGATTTCTAGATTTGGGTCTGGTTATGGTTGGAAGGAAGAATGAAGATCGATAATGCCCCTGTCGATGATGACAGCTATTTGACTTCTCCACATCTTTTGGGTGGGTCTGGAATTAGTCAGACACGGTTTTTTGTTTCAGCACAAAAACGTGATCTCTATTATTTGGAACAGAATATTCAACACGAGAAATTGTATACAGTTGAGAAAACAGTGTGACCGGAATATGCTAGGGCGAGTGTGGCTGTGCAGAAAGTAGGATATTATCAGGTGACATCCAGTGGTGGCCAGTAGAGGGGCGGTGCATTGGGAGCGTGTCACCACGAAGTACTCCATACTAGTATGCTGGTAGGATCAGCTGAAGCAGGCTGAGCTTGCGATTTGCCCAACTACCTGGAGGCGCCTCACCGGGGCTTAGATGACGACGTATATACATACATCTGGCATCGGCTGATTGGTACATCCACTCTCGGGAATGCAGTCAGCGGCAGTTTGCTCTACTAGTTCTCGGCACTAGAGAGGCTGGCGTGCTTGGGGTTAAACTGTAGCGTACTGGTACAGTGTGCCTGGTACCTGTCGTCCAGTGCCTGTTTGGTCAAGGCATAACTATATGGGTGTTGTTGGTTTTACTTCCACTTTGAGCTTGGACCAACGCTATATGAGGAAGCTCTCGTAACCTATTTACTAGGCATCGTGCTAATATAGTAGGACACAAAGAGAGATAAGCATACATCCTACATAGACTTAGAGCTCGACAATCGCTGCGAATAGGAGGAAGTGAGGGTATATTGATACCTATCAAAATGATAAGACAAAGAGGCCACTGTTCATAAACCACGATGTGAGGAATAAGATCTTGAATACGAGGCAATACACAGATCAGTACCGCGCAAGCGCAGGACGAATCAGAGCTCAGGTTTCATGGCAGTGGCTGGACAGTTCAGCCTTGCCCACGTCTTAACGTGCGCTCCTCGCTCCTCGACGATGTTGTCAACTACATACCGCCATGAATGAGCGACATCGTCCCTTACGTCGAAATGACTTCGAAATTGCAATCATTTGCGCTTTATCGCTCGAAACAAATGCTGTTCTGTGCTCCTTAGACGAGGTCTGGCATGATGCTCATCATACTTATGGGAGGGCCGTGGGGGACAATAACCACTACAGTTATGGAAGGAGTGGCAAGCACAGCGTGGTCGTCGTTACCTTGCCGAAGATGGGGAAAGTGCATGCATCCTCTGCAGCTAGCTATCTCAGGATGAGTTTTACTTCAATTAAGCTTGCTTTGCTGGTCGGAATCTGCGGTGCAATCCCCCGCAAGGCGGACGGCACAGAGATTGTCCTCGGCGACGTGATGATCAGTGAGATCCTTGTCGAGTTGGATTATGGTCGACAGTACCCCAACAGTTTTAAAAGAAAGAACACCATCCTGGACACTCACGGGCGGCTAAATGAAGATGTGTGGGGACTACTACAACGTTGGAAAACAGCCTTTCACTTAAAATATTTTCAAGAGAAAACAATGGAGCATCTCAAAGCTCTTTTACAGCACCCAGACTCCATGGCAAAATACCCTGGCGCAACTGAGGACAAGCTCTTTGAGCCCGATTATATACACAGCCACCATTTTGGCTGCTGGGTGTGCAATATGTCTGGGGTACCAGGCTCAGTATGCGAAGCATCTGTAACAGCTACCTGCGACGAGCTTCAATGCGATGAGAACAGATTAGAGCCGCGTACCCGGCTGCGCGAAAGAGATGCAGAACTCGAGATTCCGACTCCGCTAATACATTTTGGCTCGATCGGATGTGCGGACACAGTTCAGAAGTCAGCGGAGCATAGGGACCAGCATGCAAAGTCAGAAGGTGTGATAGCGTTCGAGATGGAAGGGGCTGGGGTCTGGGACAAGTTCAACTGCTTGATCATCAAAGGCGTGTGTGACTACGCCGACAGTCACAAGAATAAGAAATGGCAGGACTATGCAGCCGCAGTTGCTGCTTCAGTTGCGAAGGAGGTTTTGGCGCAGTACGTATCTCACGACCAACCATCACAGCCAGGAACGCCGAATGGTGAGTCCCCAACCATAACTATGGCTGCTTTCCAACTCGTCTACTTGCGGGCTTTCACTAACTGAAAAATAGGCAGCTCCGGATATTCTACACAACCTTCCATTGTCTCTCGTAGTCGACTAGATCTTCAAATGGTCCCCGACTCGCTTCCCAAAGATATGTTTCATAGAGTTACAAAGCACTTTGAAGAGGGACTCGAAAAGGAGCAGCTGGACGCCTTCAAGGCCACAGACCTTCGTGCTTTGAAGAAAGAGCTGAAGAAGATTCAGGATGAACAAGGACAATCGCACTCACTGCGAAATCTTCGTCGTATCGAGCGCTTTATTCAAGCGATGGAACAGATTGGAACCGTTCTGGAGGATATCCTAGGCACCAGCAAAGATATGTCTCTTATTTGGGGTCCAGTGAAGGCCTTACTGCAGGTATGAGTCTCTCATGGCCTGTCCAAATTCCGATCTGATGTGATCCTAGGCAGCAAAGGGTAATGTGGATCTATTCGACACGCTTCTGGCAGCCTACGAAGGTATTGGTGACCAGCTGCCAATGCTTGGAGCCTATCGTGAGTTCTTCAAGAGCTATGTCGGCTTGCAGCGAATATTGGCAAGAACTTTTGCTCTTATTCTGGAATTCCATGAGAATGCAATTATATTATACTCCGGGAGAGGTATGGGATCACGATGTCTACCTGGTGAAGGGTACTGATTTTGCACACCGCAGCTCTAAGAACCGTATTTCGACCACTATGGAAAGACTTCGAAGCAATATTTGTTCTCATTTTGGGCGAAATTGGCTCCCATAGGACACTGATCGAAGATAAGACCATGGCCTTATACAGCCACCCGGGATACTATCCTATGGATGCGCAAGAAATCCGAAACCACCTCGAGAGCACTAGCAACAACATGCACTTGTCCAAGGAGAAGCAGAAAATAGTACGAGAGAAGATGTATGATGAGGTCAGATGCTGGATTGCAGGCGCTGCAGGGGTTTCAGGCGTCGAAGATGTTGCAGACGCTAAAGGCGCCGAGACTGAGAGTGATCACAACAACATCTGCCGTGACCGAAGCTTTTACCCAGGTAGCGGTAGCTGGATTCTGGAGAATGAAAAGGTCAAGAAATGGCTATCTCCGGAGCCAGAGCAGTCATCCAACTCTATGCTATGGATCAATGGGCGTCCGGGAACCGGTACCTATCAATACCTCTGGCTTCCTTGTGCAAAACTTTCTAACGTATGCATCTACCAGGTAAAACATATCTAGCATCGGTCATAATTGAGGCCTGCCTGGGGGACTCCTCTTCACTTACATGCTACTTCTACTGCAAGGAAAAAGTGAAGTCGAGAAACTCTGCGATTGCAGTGCTCCGTGGTATTCTCTTGCAACTTGCGCGCCAGCACCGCGAATTGATCCCTTATTGCCACGCGAAGATCAAGAGCTCGGGAAGCCTCATGTTATCGGATCTGTCCACAGCACATGGTATTCTGGAGGTGTTTTGTGAACGGATTTCTCGATTAAACGTGGTCATAGACGGCGTGGACGAGTGTGAAGAACAAAGAAAGGATCCGATTGACACATTTAGGATTTTGGTCCGGAAAAACGAAATCTATTCGAAAGGGAAACTTCGCGTCCTCTTTCTAAGTCGTCCCATGAATGAAGTCAAAAATGCATTACCGGAGGCTGAGATGCTTGCGCTGGAACCGGAGCACAACAGGCAAGACATCCAAAAGTATTGTGAGTGCAGAAAACGCGAGTTCCAGAAGTTTGGATTTGGCAACGAGTACCTCAAAGATGTTGTGCAAGTTATATGTACAAGAGCAGATGGTGAAGGGAGAAAATGTATCCTGACATATATGGTGTCTCCTAACATTTCTATAGGAATGTTTCTGTTCGCTAAGCTGGTCATGAACAATTTGAAAGAGCAACCAACCAAGGAAGACTTTCGCACTGAGACCACCGCTGCAATATTACCCAGTGAGATCGACCAAGCGTACGTGACCCTCTTCTGCCAGCGTTTCAATTTCAGTTTCCTAGCCGATGACTAACTGCTGGGTAGATATGTCCGAATCATGGAGCGCCTCAAGCGTGACCTCGGTTCAAAACAATATGAATATACGGAATTATTGCTCGGTTGGTTAGTATGCTCGAAAAGGCCTCTGAAGTGGACAGAGATACAAGTGGCATTATCCACCGATATCAAGACATGGGGTCGTTCGAGTGAAGTCAATCCCGACCGCAGACTAGAAGACGATGTTCAAGAATTGTGCGGATCTCTTGTTCAGGTTCTCAAGGGTAACCGAATCGAGCTTGTCCACAGCACAGCTAGACTGTAATAAATCTCTCTCCTCTCCCCGGATATAGCCAAGCGCTCACACAGAACTAGGTTCATAATCCAGAAAAGCAATATACGAATATCTGCAGCGGAGTGCGACCTCGCTCTTCGTTGCCTGCGGTATCTTAGCCTTGATATCTTTAGGCCTGATGTTTCCGCCTCAAGACTCCGGGAGAATGCTTCGAGTGGTGACTTTGCCTTCCAAGACTACGCGGTGGCAGCCTGGTTTCTACATATAGGGACATTGATTGAGAAGAAACATGATTTCCTGGAAGAGGGAATGAACGGCCAAGACCGAGTTGCAAGAATATCCCGAGAATTCGAGCATTTCGTGGGCTTCTATCAAGCAAGCTTTTCAGTAGATGGCAGCAGCATTCTGGAGCAAGTGTGGATAGATTGTGCATTCTTTCAACAGTACCCCTTTTATTACAACCTTGTCAGAATCTGGAATCATATCTGCTGCAGCCAAAGGGGAGACTTGGAATCACGCAACAATGTGAGCATTCCTTTGCTCAAGGAAACGCTAGCTCGCAACCGAAAACTGCTGGAAGATCTAAGCACAGATGATACAGTTGTTCTATCCAGGCTCTATGATGAGTACCCCTTCCGCTGTCCCAAGGTATTGTGCTTCTATTTCCACGAGGGTTTCAAAAATGCGATAGCCCGCGACAAGCATGACGACCATCACAACCGACCATTCCGTTGCACAGTAGAGAACTGTACAATGAATGGGATGGGATTTGCCAAGAAAAGCCGACTCACGGCACACATGAAGAGATTTCACCCCGAGGAGGGCGACCTGGGCGAAACGTTCACACCTTATGAGCGGAAGAGGCCAGTAGGTGCCCGTTATGAATGTCCTATTTGCGGACAGCGCCTCGCGAGGAAGAATATCCTGCAGGATCACAAGAGAATCCATACCGGAGAGAAACCATTTCGGTGCTCTGAGTGTGGCAAGGGGTTTGCGAGGAGTAATGACAAGAAACGACATGAAAAGATCCATGAGAAACGGCGAAGATAGAATTATCACCATCTTCTTAGACAACTCTAATACTATACTAGAAGTTTAGAATTCCTTCTTAATGTACTTCCATGGGCCCTTTTTTGAAGCTGAGAGGCCTCTCATCTCTAAAATATATATGTACTTGTGACGCATTTCTGTTGCATCTATATATGTATTCCAATATGGAACAATAAAGGTTTCTATTAACTAAAGTGTCGGTTCAACTACAGCTACACAGACTTCAGTAGTAAGGCTTTACTCAATACTTTTTCTTCAAAGTACTGCATAATTGTAAGCCCTTCTCACTCCTCAAAATGAAGTGCTACGTGGTGTGTCGACAATCCCTGAATATATCGCCCGATCTGACAACTTGAATTCGCCCATGACGCTACCCATCATGATTCTTTCCACTTAATAGGGTCCAAGTATGAATGAAACAGCTAAATTATATTCAGTCGATAGAGTTCGCACAGAAATAGTGAGCTCACTATCGACTCCCCCAACGTGAATATGAGCTGTGGAATTTTTATTGGACGGTAAACTCGTATCAGCATCCTGCGGGGAGCTAAAAGTGCAGTGAGGGTAGACCGAATGAACAGCTAGAGTCTCATAGATGGGAAGCAAGATGGATATCCTCTCTTGAGAACTAAAAATGCAGTGAAGGCGGAGGAGGCCGGAAAGCTAGCGCAGGCACTAAGCAATTTAGCGTTCTTTTGAGTATTTATATTGATTTAATTGGATGGAACAGGGTATGCAATCCTCTCTTGATACCTAGAATGCAGTGTAGGATATTGAAACGCTGGCATAGGTGTCTAGTATTTAATGTTCTCTTGGATGTTTTTGATTTGATTGGATAGAACAGTGTGTGAAATTATTTCTCGAGAGCAGTGATAATGCAGGGGCGCTGAATCTTGATATAGTGGGACTTTTGTTGAGCAGGTCTTCTTGAGACTGGAAAAATGAGCAAAATCTTCAAAGACGCCAAACCATGTTTTATTAGTCGCATACTTTATGCTAATGAATAAACACCATTCTATGAAAGCTCAAGCCGGGCAATGACAGACATTCAGAGCCAAGGAGAGTGGATTTGAAAGCTTCTTGGGAACAGAGGTAGGGTAGAACCGACGCGTGATGGAAATTTCGAAACAATTGCGCATATTTGGCACTGCCTGGACTCCTTTCAAGGCCATTATTGTATCTCCCGTGTTAAAAGGCTATTTGCTATCTATGATATATTGATATGTTTTGAAGTCATATTCCCTAGGGCACTTGTACACTTCGAAAGATATAGTCCCCTCTGTTCCTATCGTTTCGCTGACCTCTCCATCAGCTTCTCCAAAAATCGCTTGCATGCGATAGCGCACTCGGTAGCCACGCGATGGTACACAGTCTGAGTCCAACCGCACCAGGTGATGATTGTGGTGAGCAATAACATAATCAAGAGGTTTGTTAACGAGCCTTGCGAAGAGACTCAGATATGACTTCTCATCATTCCAGATATGCTCTTCTTCTGACCGCGTCAGATATTGCCGAATAGAATCAATCTGGTTCTCGGCATGCCACGGCCCATTCATCCATCGTACTGATTGCAGAAACGCCGCATTCTCCTGGCCAATACCGATCAGGAATACCGGGATCTGATCTGACACTTCGAAGATGAAAGAATTGAGGCTGTAGAGCACCCGTCGTGCCTCGTCGTAGACCTGACGGTTGGCAGCCAGCAGAGTCAAAAGGTTGTTTTTCGGGTTGTGCTGTAGCCAGAACCCTTGCCGATCTGGATAAACAAACGATGACGAGAGGTGTTTTCCGAACTTAATATTACCAAAGCAGAGAACGAACTTGTATATCATGTATCGAAGTTCTAAGTTGGACAGGCATTAGTAAATCCGTCCTCTTTGTGACAACAAGACGGCGGAACGCCGATTCCTTCTCCCAGTAATGAACTACAGACCGAAAGGAAGTCGAAGAAAAGGAAAGGTTCCTGTCCTTTGCCAGACTTTAACCGTTTCCTCTTCAAACCGAAATGGCCATTCTCGATTCCGGCGTCGTCTCTTGGTGCCTGGTTGGGAATCACCATCTGGAACATTGTCGTGTCCGGAATAAATAACATGTTCAATGAATTGCCGCCGCAGGTTGATGATCTTGGAGCAACCTGGGCATCGATACTGGCACTGATCTCTTGCATCAGGATCGAGAATCCTCTCAATCTTCAAGACGTCATGGAGTCCATCAGCGGGTATTCGCCTTTCCCCTGTGTATCGATACAGGTGGTCACGGAGGCCTCTCTTGTGCACATATTGCTTTTCGCAAAACGTGCATACTTGCGCCTGCCAGGGCATCCTGTTGTGAGCGCTTCTGTCTTTCTCTTGAAAGCAATCGAGGCATTTGTCGTTAAGGGCCCTAAATATGAAGATTTACATAAGGATGTGACATCTCTAAGCTTGTTTGTTCCCCAGGCACCTATCGCTGCCTAATTGAATGGAATGCGCGGGCTCTCACCGCCCTGCACCTCCTCCCTTGCGTTCAGTTGTAGGCAGAACAACAAACTACCGAGTACCTGCAGGCTTCAACTGAACCCTTACTATACTCCTCGTATGTATGCCAAGATCTGCTAATCTTCTTCAGGATAGCGTATCTAGACAGTATCTGATTGGCTAAGATACTGGATGCCCCGGGTGGGCTATCCGGAATAGGTAATAATTTCCAGAACGATAACAACCGCAAAGGTAGAGAGGGTTACGTATTATCCACGTCCTCAAGGCCCCAGAAGTAGTAAGATGGAATGTAAAAAAAAGATTCATTCTGACAAGGCTAAATTCTGCTCAAACAGGCTGCTAAGTTCTAATCATGATCATTAAGTGCAATGGTAAATTCTATTACGAATGGAATTCTTTCCCTTTTCCGGTCCACCACGAGCTCCCCTAGACAGCGATTGCCGTGGCAAGGTTGGCATTGAGGCTGCCCTTCAAGTCGTCCTTCTCGGTGTAGCCGTCCACAGGTGTGGGGAAAGTGAAGGTATCTTGGCTGACAACAGATTCCTGGGGAAGACTTCGTTGAGCGGGCCAGATCTCGTGGCCAGCGGCGTCTTCCTTCTTGTTGTGTTCGGTCACGACCTCCCGTACAGTCTTCTGGAAGTGGAGAGGACCCATCTCCATCTCCGGGTGGAGCTGGCCGTTGACAAAGACGCCGGCATTCAGGTTCTTCTGTGTGTGGATGCAGAGGTACTTGTCCTCGGACATGATTCGCTTGTACATGTCGCTGATAAGCTTGAATTGGTCGTCGCTAGCGTCCTTATGCCGATAGACTTCGTAGCGCATGACGGACTTGGTGGGGCTCATGGGAGTAAATCGCTGCATGAAGAAGAAGTGTGGGCTGGAATCATGATTAGTCAGGGCCTTAAGTTTGATGAGTGGAAGAAGACACTTACGAGATGTTGAAAGAAGCATTGGGCCAGAAGTAGGTAGTAGCGATGCGGAAGCCCTTGTCAATCTGGTCCTGTCGCTGAGCACCGTAGTGCTGGATGTGGCCATCTTTGGTCTTGACATAGTAGGAGTTGAGATCGGCGATGGTAGGGATGTCGGGGTGAGCGACTTGGCAGTGGTAGCACTCATTGTAGTTATCGGCGAGAATCTTCCAGTTGAAGTCGCCCTCCATGTCCCATGTGTGGTCGAAGTTGTATTCGTCGAAGTTGTAGTGCTGGAATCGGGGCTGCTCATCGACTCCCTCGAAGTCGTCCTTCCAAGCGACTTCGGGGGTCTCGCTGGCATCCAGGTTGACCCAGACGAAGCCGTTGCGGTCAATGTGTGTGTGAACAGGGGCGAGGTCGCTGCTGAGGCAAGCCTTGATGTTTCCTTGGTGGTCCTTCATGACAACGAATTCGTAGCCAGCTGCGTCATACTGGACCCAGTCACCAGCGTTGGGAACGCGGGCCTTGTGGGTAGTGAGGAGCCACTTGCGGGAGAAGATGGAGCGTCGCTCAAGCTGGTACATGGCTTGGGAAGTGTACCAGGAAGCAGGCAGAGCACGGATAGGTGTGTTCCCCTCCTCCTTGACCGCCGTAGCGGAGGTACCAAAGAAGTTCCTCAAGAAAGACATTGTGTGAAGATGTTTTTGTTATTATTAAGATAACTAAAGAGGCTGAGACTCTGATGATGGAACTTTGCTTTGGAGTTGCTGTTGATTACACTTGACTTTCGCAGACGTCTGCTCTTCTAAATAGCCATCACGATCCGCTTGACACGGAGCTCTCGAAACCCTATCCGAACCATATCCAAGCATTCAGGCCCGATACCGATGACCTGCGATGACAATCAGGTGGCCAATTCCAACGGGAGATATAGCTAGGTGCCGATCAGGTGATCGGTAGGGCCACAACGGGACCGAACCGAATGGCTGAAAGTGTTATCAAGAACCCCCTGCCGTCGAGCCCAAAGAGTCCAGCCCAGCGCATGGCTCCCCACCATTGGCTCTTCAGAGTCCTATCTTGATCTAGAACCCAAGGATGGATCCGTCCCCGGCGGTTCGGTGGCAACCCGTCCCACACCGGCGGTTTAAACATACCTTAAATGGCAGTATTTATCATAAACGGTCCCCCAGACCGACGGCCACCCTCAAATCCGGATTTGCGGGGACAATCCGCAAGATGCTTGTGATAGCCAGAATGAGTAGCCAGACTACTCCATACACCCAATGGTAATGGCGATGGTACCGCCCGTGCCGTATTAGTAGTCACGAGAACCCTCAGGGGCTGAGAGACTGCAGAAGTCATGATCCTAGACGTTCCCAGAATAGAATCCAGGAACAGATAACCGGATCAGTTTCTGGTTGGTATATGGTCGCATCTACAACCTCGGAGAGCTTGAATGTGGTGATACGGAAGAAGGTATGGTAGGTATGAGTCCCTCACGTTTACTACACTCGCTGCGGATTTAATTGGCAGGAAATCCAGAGACCAATTTCATACATAATTAGGTATTACAGGGCGCGTGGCTGGGAGGATACAGATCACCTGGAATCATTGTGATAAGACCTGGCCCGACTCCGGGCACCGGTACAGGGAGAGTTTACTGGAACTCAATCAAGCTGATCCAGCACCAATCAAGGGAAGCATGCACTCTTGGCCCCTTGGTGCTAATTTTACAATGCGATAAATGCTCGAGAACTCTCTTTGCCGGAATTCCAGAAGTTCTTTGGTTGATTGCTGCTGATGCAGGAATGCTCATCAAGGGGAAGGACGTCCACGTGAGGAACACCCCCAGCGAACCACAAGTTTCTATTACATAGCCAGTTAAGGTATAATTGCCGTCTTAATGCAACTACAGTTGGACGTATGAACATGGTGCAGGTGCACTGGTACCTCTACCAGGCCATAGCGGTGCTATGAGCATCTTGACACCCTCTTTGGGAGACGCCTCGGTCCAATTTGTACAACAGAAACACGCCTAATCTAAACATGACTACCTCTAACTAATGCCCCGCAGAACTGTCGCGTATCTGGCCTGGTAAGTTCATTTCAAAAGTCTTCCTCGCAACTACGGAGTATTAACAACGGTTTCACGTTGGAAGCTATAAGAATATCCTTCCCCCTCTTCTCTTGCTGTTATTGGGAAATATAAAGTTCCGCCCTGATTGCGAAAGATACGTTTGGGGGAGATAAACTGATACCAACCCCATCCAGCGTTTTCTCGAGCCAATCACAGCATAGTCTTCATTCAACATGTCTACCCTGTATCTCAAATCCTGTAATGATAAACTGTGTCTGAATCTAAATCAAACCTTCTTGAGCGTCCCATATCCATTGTCAGGTGGTAACCAAGCCAGTCAAGAGTTGTGTCTCATTCATCATGGTGAGCCGCTTCATCCCTTTAGGGCGTCTCGGTTGCTTGTGTTACTGGTCTTAATAGAGTACCTGTACCTGGTAAATTTCCGCTCATTGTATGACCTAGATCTACGATGTCCCGTGTTTTGCCGGATGGTTGTGCTGCCACATCTACCTTCGACCAGGAGATTATATGCATGGACACAGACCAATGGGGTAATCGGGTTGCCGTACCGGAAGAGTCATTGCAGCCTTTTCTTTCTTTACTGTATGACAGCTAATTGGATTAGGTCCCTTGATCAGCCCGGAAAATTTTCAGTTAACCTTACACAGATGGGTAGCACCTTTTAGATGTTACCCCCACGCCGTTGCCCGGTACGCCCGTGCTGACTTAACAAAGAAACAAAACTGTTCCTGGTTCGATATAATGTCCATGTTATTGAGCTCAGGGGTGGCCTTAGCTGGCTAGAATGACAAGAATAAGAAGGCTTGAAGTATCCAGAATTATATAAATCGCCAGACGAGGTCATTGTAGGGGTGCTTGAAAGACTGCTATCCATTAACGTGGTCTTCACGTTCTCCTTATATTTCTGGAATACTTCTGTTTGAACTTTCAAGAGATGTATTTTATGTTACTTATCGTTGCTTTATATCTGTCAGCTTTAGCTGCTGGTCAAGGCGCAGGCAAATCCAAGCCGTCTAATCCGGAAAGCTTTAAAGTGCTCTATTCCGAATGGCGCCGCCGGTGTCCTGATATCGAGATAGTGCAGTTTGGCAAATATGAAGGACAAAATATATACCCACCACAACATTTGGTCGCAAAGTGCAATGTTTTCGGGGAAGATGGGAAGTCGTTCGAACTAACGACGGCTATGCCCTTGAATACGTGCATTGGTTGGAAGTCGGATAAATCCAACAAAGAGAAAACTACCTTCGTTGCAGAACATATGTATATCTCTCTTCCCGTGTCTCACGATGCTGGCTAATGTTCGTAGGGGAAAGGGACCTGAAAAAGGCAGATGTTGGAACTGCAAATACCGACCTCTGGAGAGAGAGAATCTTGCTTGCTGGTGCCAAGACGTGAAAGGCTCTGAAAGGGTTCAGGAACCAGAGTCGAAGGCCGAGGGAGCCCAAAGGTTTTTCAATCTGGGTACGTGTTCTGCATGTTAGACTCTAGACTGCTTTCTAACCGCATGGCTACAGATGAAGTAATGATAATTGACAAATATGGTTATCCAACATGCCATGGTAGCAGAGCGTTGCCATATCTGAAGACTCATAGGGGTGAGCTTGCTTACATGGTTGCTTACTCTGAAGGAAAACGGTTGCGAGACCCACAACCTTCGCCGGGGATTGAACGAGAATGGACCAAGCAGGTCATGGCTCCACCAGGAAATCAGCTTGGAACTCCGCCATCAGGCCCTGGTGGGAGTGGCCATTGAGGTCATCTCATCTCTGGGAGGGATACAGCTCTATTCTCCACTTCATGCAGGAACTAGCTATCTGCAAATCTCGGATTTTGTGTATGTACTTGGTGACGTTGAGATCTAAGATACCTTCATTGACGGATGCATGGCTATTGTAACTACACTGGTAGTACTCATGTACTTCTAGAGGAATTCAGTCTTTCAAGATCTGGCTTAATGTTGGGATAGTATATAATGCTACATCAGGAAAGCTGAATTAGGCTGTATAGTCGTGTAGCATTATAGCCCACAAATCCTAATGTTCGAGCCAACACAGCGTCTTACGGTGACTTTGTTTTCTCTTTTCCCCCAGTTTCAGTTACTATATTGTCGGCAACATTCATAGCCAGCGTTGACAGATCGCCAATCAGCTTATTTGCCGAGCTTGCATGGAACCTTCCAATCTTTGATCTGTCAAATTTGATACTGTTGTTATAAATGGTTTGGTATCATGGACTTTAGGTGGAAAACAAGTCATTTAATACGCTATTCGCATTTGGTCGAGAGCATCACATGATTAGGGTTGGGAAGAGCTTCTCTGTGGTTGTAGATTTATCCAGGTCATTAGGCACCGCCCTGTTCACCGCCTCTTTCCCTCTGCATATGTTCGACATTTGGCTGGTTTGAGATAGAAGACAGCAATAAGTTTCACACAGACTATAACGGAGTACTTCATGGATATCTAACAAAGACCCCAAGTACGCCATACTCCTTGTGATTAGCCGAGTGGATCTTCGCCAGGCGTGATGGCCAATAAGATGTCCAGCGGGCAGAGGGGACCCGTGGATGAAATTGCACACGTTAAGGGATCATCGGCATCTGTGTCCTCCTTTCCCAAAATGCCGGTGTTAGCTGCTCCGGATCGCCAGCGATCCTACAGGCCTAGGGCCAAGAGAGGCTGCTTGACGTGCAAGTAAGTAACAGCGGTTTAGATCTTCTGTTGATTTCCCATCCATCGTCATTCGTTGCGATTGGATGCGACTGGTAATCTGAATACAGCTGACCCTCGAATAGAAGTAAGACAGATCGGGTGTCTAGACCGTGAAATTCTGCAAGGCAGATACTAAATTGGACCGCGTAGAGCGACGCATCAAATGTGACGAAGCCAGGCCCCATTGTTTGAAATGCTCATCAACGGGTCGCAAGTGCGATGGGTATGAGGCGCCAAGTCCTCCGCCTCCCCAGCGGAACACTTGTCTCCGGCTGCCATATATCTACCCTCAGACCCTGCAGTACCCGGGCAACACACGGGAAACAAGATCGTTCCAGTTCTTCTATGAACGCACCGTGTCTTCTTTAGCGGGACTTTGTGGGTCCGAATTCTGGTCCGGACTTGTGTTGCGGGTCAGCCAGCATGAGACCGCCGTTTACCATGCCTTGATTGCATTAGGCTCCTTGCACGAGAACTTTGAGAACGGCCACTGGCTGACCCAACGAGGGGTTGATACCTTCGCTGTGCAGCAATATGTGTCGGCTATCAGGGCGCTCTTGGGATCCTCGAACTCATTGCCCCGCGTGAGCCCGGGCCAGCTAGCGGGCTCCCCGCGGAGCCTAACGGTGGACGTGTGTTTGATCTCGTGCATTCTGTTTATTTTCATTGAAGTAGGAATGATATCCCTTGTTCTGAGCCCAACAAATCGAGTAACCGTTATAGATAATGTCTGGCCACTACGTGTCGGCTGTCGGCCATGTCCGAAACGGGATCAAAATTCTCAAGGACGTCTACGAGGACCCTCATTCAGGAACTTATCACCACCCATACTTAAAGCCATCGACAGTCACTAGCTTGGAAATGGACTACTTGCGGAAGACCCTCAACCGCCTCCAGGATCAGGCTCTGACCTTGGTACATCAATCTCCATTCCGTATAGGGTAGATGACTGATACTAATGACATAGACGCGAACTGCCACGGACAAAGCTCTGAGGGATGATTCACACATAGCGGCAGGCCGTCATGCGGAAGTCCCCGAGTGCTTCCTTTCCATCTCAGATGCCCATGAGTGCTTTGAATATCATGTGGGCCGATTATATCGGGAGTACTCCGTAATAGAGCCCAGCAAAGCAGACACGGGTTTGGAACAGTACACCAATTTAATGCAGCAAGCCCAAGCCCTCATGGACAAGTGGTCACTTGCCCTACATCGTTTCGAGGAATCTCGGGGTTCTCAGCTCACCTACAGGGACTCCATCGGGTTGAAGATCCTACGAATCTATCAGTGCTGGCGACTCGTATTGTTAGATCGGGGTAGGAACAGAGTTACGGATCTTCAGTCGTGGGATAAGTACAACTCCACGTTTCAACTAATTGTCTCGCTGGCAGCGGCAGTGATCAACACGGCCGACACTGACACGCCCCTATCCTTGACCTCTCCGGCGCCGTCCGACACTCTCAGCCAAGGTCATAAGAGGCCTTCCTTTTCTCTGGATATGGGCATTATATGCCCCCTATACGACGTGGCTACACTATGTCGTGACCCTTCTATCCGCCGGCAGGCCGTCGAGGTGCTTCGGTCCGCCTCTCGCCAGGAAGGTCTGCTAAATAGTCACTTGTGCGCTATTATCGCAGAACAAGTGATCGATCTGGAAGAGAAGGCCGCTTTACAGGGCGGAATAGATGATCAAAAGAGTCTATTGTCTGTCACGTTGCATCCGATGGGTCCGAAACCAAATAGTCCATCCGAGGTTTCCAGCCACCACCACATCACGAGATCGTCTGAGGTGCCTCATGCGGCGCGTTTCGTCTATGCCTATCCCAATTTTGACCCTCTCCATAAACAAGCCTTTCTGGTTTTGGCGGTGGATGAGGATGGGGAGAGAAATACCAAGATCCCCTTACCATCAGTTACTGCTATGCTGGATATGGATTAGAGATCTGCTATGAATGTTCACTTATATTGATCGGCTGTTAAACTTTCTTGTTATGGTGTTCTGGATACTCACGACGGTACTTATGAATTGGGCAAAGACGATATACGGAGATACACGACTGCACGTTTTGAAATCGCGAGGGAAGGTCATCTACTTTCATGTTGCTTCCATAGAGGTGCTATTGTCATAGCAATTGAAACTTCAAGGTGTTACAACCCTCCGTACCAAACTGAGTCTGACATAGTGAAAAGGCAAATTTTCGTATTCCTGACATGGCGTTTACTTTGGACGTGATCGCCATCCTCAGCGGCGTCATTAACACATTTATCTCTAACCAGTGTACTCTAGAATTACGAATAACATTCCACTGTGTCCATGACACCTTGTAGACTTAAGCCCCAAACAACGCTCGTGGAACTTACGAGGTGCCCTCAATATACCGCCCTTGTAAAAAAGAATACCATGCCTTTTACACAGTTCAGGGTTACGTATTTCCATCACTATTAACACGAAGAGAAACTGTAGAAGTGTCCTGAGGAGCCCGAGCAGCCAACCTGCAGTGAAGGCCTTCATATCTGGGGATGAATCTCGAGGGTAAACTATGCATAACCTAGGCTTTTACCGTACACAATTGCTCCTCTAGACTCTTTCTTGCGTACCTGTATACAAGCTGCAACCTTCTGGGCTGCTGGGACCATAGTAGGTGATATGAATGTTATTATATGGGTGGGGTATGCAAGTCTAAGCCGTACCCAACGCTCCCAAACTCGCTCCAATAGGGATCGTTCCTTGATATTTTAGGCAGGAAGGGCTCACACGGACCTCGCGTACATCGGCTACTCAGAGGGGGGTGGCTATTAACCACGCTAGCTGCTAAGTAATGATAATCATCGGCCCCTGCAGGTCAATACATGGCGATTTATTTTGATGCAAATCTTTTATCTTCTGGTCAGGTGTGGGTGGTAATGTGTAGGGCTTAGGCTGATGATACCTGGAAACCTTGTCTGGTGTAGCTTGCAAATGCCAAGTTTACGGCATATTCAATCTAGCTTCGCCTCAGCTTCTGTAGCTGTAAGAAGGCTAGACTCTCGCCAAGTGCGATGTGAGAAAGTTGTTAGTGGTGCTATTACTGGACGTATGTTCTAGCAATATGGAACCAGTCGGAGATTTGGGTGCAGAATATAAACATTAATATCCTCGGGTTGTTGAGTATTAAACGGAGACAGCGAGCACTAGGGGGCAGGCTTCGGGCTTGTATCGATTTGCACTTACCTCGTTCTGGTAAGCAGCACGTCCAGTTCAAGTCTTACGAAGTATGACTACTTGAATGGTCATTCGTACAAGGTAAGTATATGTTGGAAATATCAGTCGAATCTCTGGAACTCTTTGTGGGGGTTATCTGGTCAGTGTAACGAGTCTTTGCCCAGTGCCCTAGCCCGTTTGACCAACAAAGTTAAAAAGGCAAACATAGAATAGAATAAGGAGAGGAAATAGCTCATACGCAGTATAGTATCTATATTAAATAGCTCATGGCGACAATGGAGGTTTACAATCCACCATTATCTATAAAGCGAAACGGAGTGTCATCCAAGTAGTCTTCCTATTGCTTCCTACCGTTTGCTTTTGACTTGAACATCACTGCAAACCCTTGCTTTCATCGGCGGAAATGCGACAGACCTTTGCTATACTTGCTCTTTTCCTAGCAGGATTTGCTGCTTGTCAAGGCGCAGCCGGGTCCTCCGAGGGAGACATGCCAGGAAACTATCCAGAAAGCCCTCCAGGAAGCCCTAAGCCAGGTCCCAAAGCCGGCGTCGACAAAGCCCAACCCCCACTTTCTCGGAAGGCATTACTGGAAAAGAGATGTCGTGAGATTAGGGTACGTGAACTGTCTCGTTACGATGACGCAGGGAGTGTGTATGTCTATCTGGACGTTATCTGCACTGATGACCCGAAAAATGATCCGGACCATTCCAAGGATTCTTCAGGCAAGAACCAAGATGAGCCGAAAGAGCAGAGCTCGAGCGTCAATCTGGACTGGTTCCTTGGCTGGGATAAGTCGAAAGGAGGGCCCCTCAGAGGGAATGAGTATGTACATCTCTTACGTATAGCAATCAATCTTGCTTATTGACGTATGGTACTAGTCGGTATGGTCCCTTATCTGCACTCTGCTGGGGTTGCAAATACACGCGAGGTACCAAAGAGGGTGAGAATAATTTTTCATGTTGGTGTAAGAATAGCAAGCCTGGCAGTGGTATAAGGGCACAGGATCCAGTCACAAAGAAATGGGGTCATAGGACACAGTACGACTTGGGTGAGTCTCCTGCATTATGGATTATAAAACTGCGTTTAACAATAGGATGTATAGGTGACGTGTTGGAAATCCTCCCAAATGGCCGCATCGGGTTCGATACTCAGGACTTCCGTGCAAGGGAGGCAAGGGAGTAGCATAGTCACAGCGCCAAATAATTGCAATTGACATTGAAGGGCATAGAATGCTACGTTTTTTGATAATGCCCAATTGATCCCTCACAGGGTAGCACGAAGGAACAACCAATAAGCGTGCAAAGAATCTCCCTTGTTATGTCTTTCGGAAAAGATCCATAGGCTCATCTTTACCATATGCCCCAGCACATCCTGTGAATTATTAGTATCCAATTCTGAAACAGATGAAGGGTGGTTATGAAGCAGCCTACCACAGGGTTTTGCTGCTTGTAATCCTCCTGGCACGGCTCCAGAGCCAATCCTATCAGGTAGTTGATCGATTCCACCAATTTTTCAATTCTGTCGTAGAACACAGAGCTCAAAGAATTTGTCGAACGTAATAGAGGTACAATAATCTGTAACAAGCTCTCATCATCGTTATTTACCAGAGACGAATTGCCTCGGCTCTGACGGAGTCCTACAAAGACGCTTACCAAGCCTAAAATGGAATCTATACAACAAAAATGACATTTTCTATAGACTTCAGACTACCAGCTGAAAGACTCTTCTATTAGTTTTAGCTTCACCGCTGGATTCTCCCTCATCAGTCGTGTTACAACAAGTCGTACCTCGTCCGCCATCCTTGGTGGACCACTGACAATCACAGCGACCTCCGTTCCCGCACACCTCGAGACTTCCTCCCGTAGAATGCGAGGGATATCCATACGACTATCCTGGAAAACCACAGGATTTAATCGATCGAATCGATCTGCACCAAGCGAGACTACCACGGAATTGACCAAGGGCTTACTGCGCACTGCCCAGAATAACCTATGCCAACCCTCGTGACGCATCAATATGGGCGCCAACGCCGTCATGCCAACACCACCCGCGATCGCAATAATATTCGTCATATCTGAGGCATTGGGTCTTGAAAGGGCCACAGGACGGTACGAAGACTCGATAAGAACTGGGAATTTTGATCTTGGGCCGCGGAGATAGTTGGTGATGCCCGACTGGGTTCGAATATAAAACACCAACCCTCGTTGGCATGGTGAATTTGATGATTCGGGTAGAGATATCTTGTCTAGACTTCCTGCTTTCTCAGTCAAGTCAACAGGAAGTCTCTCCTTCTCGGTTGTGATCGCTGTAGTCGACGGCTCCGTATCACTCTCACAGCAGACATCTGTCATCACTGAGAAGGGGTGATTCTCCCAGATTCGCCACGTCAAGGTCGGGAAGTAAAGATACACATCACCCTCGGCCGCAACTCCTGGAATCTCGAGCTTAATATAGTCATCATCCACGATGGAAACGTGAGCAGAGCGGATCCCATTTCTAGCAAACCGCAGAATGCGCATCCCCCGCTCATAGCCCCAGATCGCCAACGCCATGTATATCCAGTTCTCATATCCCCATTGAAAGCTATATCGGTAGAAAATATGTAGGCAACACCCGACCATCGCTAACAGGAAGAATACCACGTGCCAGGCAAGGAAGAACTCATAAAAACGTTTGCGTACTTGCAGCATTGACGCTGGGACGATGAGGACCATCGCCAGCGTGGCGACAACACCCCAGTACCAGTATGCGAGCTTGCTTTCGCTGGAGTGCTCGCCTTGTGCGCTGTATATTTGCAAGTAAATGGCAGAGTGGAGGCATGCTTCGATAACGCAAATCACAGCAATCCAGCGGTGGAGTAGCAAGAAGGTTGAGTGGGACCAGTTAGTTACCCAGAGCAAGATATTGTTGCGACTGGAATAGAGAACCAGTAGTGGGATGTTTGCAAAGCTTAGGATCCCAGCGCGGTTACTAACGTATGTGACGATCTCGCGACGGTTGGAAGAGTACCACGCACTGGGGTCAGCTGAGCTGAAGCCTACCGCACATAAAACCACGTTGATTATTATTAGATAGGCGATAAACAGCGCTTGTCCTCTCGTGGGCATGTTGAACGTGTTGAATAAGGGAACTGTGTGTCGGTGGCCAATGAGCGGAGGGGCGATCACGTATGCCTGGAAACTCGTCTTCAGTCTGGTGGGAAGGGGAATAAAGCGTGCAAATGAGAGCCCGATGGGTATAATTGCTCCAGTCAAGAGAAGGACCAGTCTGCATGGATTCAAAATACCCACTTAGCAGGTTACTTTTGTCTAACTGGACTCTGAACTCACCCATATTTCTCATGTGTTGCTTCTGCTTTCTCAAAGACCGCCAATGTGCGCCAATTGAGATCGTACAGTTCCTCAGACACAAGTGACGCTGACTCCAACACCGTGGATGCATTGGCCGTGGTATTAGGCCTGGAACCGATACTGTTCAGTGCCTGTTGGTAAGCCTGTTTGGGCAGTGGCTGGTCCTTTTCACTGCCAGCAACGTTCATCTCCCAGTATCTTTGCAGTGTAGAGTTAGGTATCATCTGACAGTGAGAGTATAGGCAATACGCTAGGGTCTGCAAGAAGGCATCGTTCGTCGCATAACATTCTGGCCCAGGAGACTTCTCGACGTTCCATGTAACGTGCAAACCATCATCTGGGCTCGTCGAGCAGTTCAACGGGTTTGTGATGGATGAGCGGCAGGCATGTGCACACGGAGGTTTGTACATGGATATCCAATAACCAACAAATCCATTTGCTGAATATACTGGGCAAACAAGCGTCAGCAACAGAATGCTAGACGCAAGAGAATAGATATGACCGAGCATCCTGTCGATACGATCTGTCTATACCCTTCCCTTCTTTCCAGGTCCATTATCTACCCAGAGACCTCTGCAGGTAAAGGGCAAGGCTCTATATATCATATCTTGTGGTGGAAATACTCTACACATATTTGAGCAGGATATTTGCTAATTTCCCTAAGACGATACTTTTCTTGGCAGAGATAGTGAGGACTTCGGTTTTCATGGCCGAGCATTACAGGTACTCCTTTCTAAACGGTATGATTGGCCTCTTTACCACTTGCTGCAACAGAAAGTACGGGTATGTGGACCGTTATATGTTGGCAGAAACGACAAATTATCGTTGAGTTGAAATGAGCACATTTTCACCCAACTCGAAGTGGGGTCAACAGGTTAGCGGGTTCACAAATTTGCGGGATCTTACTCAATTAATTGCTCATAGGTTTGCCTTGACCACTTCTGCAACAGCGACTTGGACAATTTATGCGATTCTGTTTGGTCCCGAGATCCGAACAAGGCACTAATTGTGCTTCCTCGTTACCCAAAATTCCGATACTGCTAGCACAGGCTGGGGTAAAACCGGCATCGATCTCTGGCTAGACTGCACATTATGATCAGTCTTCCTATACAACAGCCCCTCCTGAAGCCACCGTTTTGACCCAAGTTGTCAGCCCCAGTGAGGTTGTTTCTAGAATTCATTTAATAGCTTTTGATCTTTCTCATCCCCCTGTTAATTTCCCGCTGGAAACGCGGTATTCCGAACCGCAATGCCGTTTCTTCAGGGACCACATCTCAGTCTGAGCCTGCAACCCTATCCACCATGTCACATTGTAGCCATCGCTGTACGAAGGCCGTTTGTCCTTGGCTATCATGCTTGCTCCAACGAAGCCTGAATACCGCTGATCTAGCATGCATCGTTCGCTGAATGGCTAAGTAGCATCTTCTGGTCCTATCGCTCTGGAATTATCCTGGCTTTCTGAAACCCGCCAAGGCTTGGATGTCAAGTCCCGTATGTCTAAGGCGTTAAAACATTGGCAAATTCTCACCGCAACCGCTTATTTTACGATTCGGCAATCGTAGATGTCTTTTGTAGTGATATTCAGTCTCCGGCTCCACAAAGCCGGCCACGGCCAATGCCGAGCACACATAAAGGCCCTTATTTGCAGAGCGGAGCTTTGCAATTATGTTTCTCCCTCCTTCATCCAGCTAGCTTGCAGATCACATGCTATCATTTTTACAGACTCCAAGCCCTAACAAAGCCAAATTAAATTGGCAGTATTGAACCGGGTCTACAGCTACATTGGCGAATAGCTTTCCGGGCTTGGTGCTTGCAACACAATGCCGCAGTGGTACTGGATAGAGCGTTTGACCACTACTGTTAGGAGTGTGCTGTACTGGTGGGGTGATATATATTTCTGAACTGGAGCCCTCCAAACATTTGTGCAGTCTTGGCATGTTTATACCTGCCGGCGTTGTGGAGGGGAGGTACAAGATTAGCTCAGGACAAGTGACAAGCCATATAAGAATACGACTACCATTATATAGTTCACTTTGCCGATATAATTGCTAGCGCTCTGACCAGGATCTTGAGAATGTTACCTATAACAACGCCTATTATGAGACATTACAACTCACGTGACGCTGCTCTCGGGTTGGACAACAAGGCAACCACAACAATCGAGCTGACAGACTGCCCTTGTGAGACACACACTCTCCCTGAATTAGTTTGTACAGACCCAACACCTGCTATTTGGGTGATTTTAGTGTCCTGACTCTCTCGCAGAAAAGCCTTTCGCTTTATTTTGGATCAGCCAAGAGCCAAGACTTCAGCGGACGTGGTTGGTCAATTAAACCTCTCACGTCATCATTGAATCAATTGATTCTTCGTTCGTCTGTCGATCTATCTTGAAGCCAGAGCTCTTGTCCGCTATAAAACTGCCATATATCGTCCAATGGCGCAATAGCTTCTTGACATAAATTCATCGGATGAGGGCTAGAAGAGGAACGTGACACGTGTGATTGGCTTCCTGTGTTGACCGGGATAAACATCACCTCCCACGTGGATCAAGGGCGAAATCTCGTATCGCACCGACTCGCTCAATTCAAGTCTGGGAACTTCCCCCCCCCTCATTGGGAGTATGGGCGCATTCATGAGCGGCTTGAGTGGTGGCGTTTTCCAACCGACACCCTCAGGTAAGAATCTCACTCTTCTGCGGCGTCTTTGGACAGAGGCTGATACATGCATAGTTATCCGTGCCAATCACTTCACTCCTTTCCAATTTTGCCAATTGGGCGATATCCAGCTTGGTTTCGGCCAGGATGGTTGGAAGAATGACGTGCACCGAATGCAACTTGCCGCGGAGCAAGTCAACGCGGAGGACTTCGACTTCTGCATTGCCGTCGGTGACCTAACCAACAGCCGGTCAGTACAGTAGACCACCACTCTTGTCTCCCAAGACGCGAAGACTCACCGAGACAGATATTCCCATGAAATAACCGCATTCCAGCAAACATACCCCAATTTCACTGTGCCTGTGCACCTACTCCCCGGAAACCACGACGTGCACAACGTCTCCACGCTGAAACAGTTCACCCAGGACTTCAACACGAGTGACCACAGCAGCTTCGCGCACAATGGGTATCGGTTTATTCTCCTCAACTCCATCACCATGATCACCGACTTGGCCGAATTCAAAAACCACACGGCCTACGAATGGAGATGGTTCGAGCGTGAGCTCAAAGCCGCCGCGCGCAGAGGCGAAAGGATCGTCGTCGCGCATCACCATCTCCCATTTGAGCATCGCGAGGACGAGCCGGACTCGTATTGGACTTTTCCAAAGCGCGTGCGTCGCAAGTATTTGGAGCTGATCCGGAGATATGCTGTGCGGCATATTCTTGTGGGACACCGGCATGAGACGAAGAATATTTATCCTGCTGATGACTTCTATACGATCTATGTCGTTGCGGGCACGGCGCGCTTCTTTGATGGGAATGGGTTTGGAATTAACTATTTTAACGTCTCGTCACGCGATTCGGCGAACGATGTTGCGCAGAACTATGTTCATCTTAAGGGTGTTACGCACATGAAGAGGTCTGAGGGCCAGCCGACTGGGTGTCCGGATATCTTTCGACATGATCAATGATTTACGGTCTGGGTTAGATTGGCGGGGTGTGCTCAATATGGTATCCTTTCATGACATGTTGAATGATAGAAATTCGAGTATTCTCGAAGATAGATTGTGAGCTATTCCCTGGGAAACGATAGCTAGGATATGTAAAGTAATGCCAAAATGAACTGGTTAGAATGGCCTGGTCGTCTATCTATACACAATAATTGGTACAGCCTAAATTGAATATTATCCTGAGCCAAAAAGTGAGAAGAACGGGAAAATGATATGCTCTCGTAATTCCTGCTGGTATCGACTAGTTATGTTTGATCCAGGCCCTGGCAACAGACTGTTTTATATTGAACTACAGCATCGCCTAACATGCTAATAAATGGCCAGGGAGAGTCGCCCTGCATGATGACACCAAACCTCGATAGTGCAGTTGACTAAATCCTGCGGCCGACTTGAGGAGATGTCCGAGTCGACGCCGTTGATAGATATAGAGCCGTCGTGGACGATATCTCGAGTCCATTCAAGGAGCATACGTTCGTGGTCTGCCATGATTAGTTAGATTTCCCTTAGCCGCGGCCAGATCACAGGGAACGAAACGACAAGAGAAGCATGGACTCAAACGCAAGGTAGGAGAAATGAAGACGAACCTGTTAATAACTTAGGATTCGTGGCTGTATTAAACGCTCGAAGCCACTTGTCAAGGAAAACAGAACATTCCAACCCGCATAACGCAGCCTCAATACTCCATAATGATGCCCTATTGTGTTTGATGTATTGTATACCAAGCCTGACCAATATACCCATAAATTGAGTCGCATGATGGGCTGCCAGCAGTTCATCCCATTCGTGGTTTGCAGATGGCGAGGCACGAAGAGCACGGGCGATAGAAGCAACATTCCACGAGAATATCTCCCGAGAATGACAGTTAGAGAATTGAGAACAGTTCCGAATGTAAGCAAAACTGAGCCAAGCGCTGGACATGAAGGGCAATGGCCCGTTGGGGTCGAATGGCTCCAGATTGGATTCTGGAGTCCGTTGCCAGTATATTGTCCATTTGTGCAAGGCGTTACTTGGTATATATCAGCCATCGGACCTTTTCACATACGGCCTAAAGGAAGATTCAGGGTTTCGGACTCACCGGAAGAGCACTCGGCTGTCCGAAGCTGGATCAGCCCCTAGATCTTTGGGGAAGATCTGGACCCACACAATGCTTTGTATGAGACCATGCAGCAATGTATAATTAGCAACGGGCGTCGGGTTGAGCTCCTTGATATTACAAGGAGAAGGGGATAGCAGATCCTTTAAAGCTGCGTGGAAGTGATTTTGTGTAATCGGCGTATTTTGTCTCAGCAAAGCCCAAGTTCCTGCGTCCAGTGCCGTCCATTCAGGACAAGAGCAAGGCAGGCGCAGCTTGATTTCATGACTCCAGATGACCGGTGAAAGGTTATACGCGATACTCTGGACGTTGAGAAAACAGAATGCAAATAGCTTTGCACGTCTTTCGGATTCTAGGCGAGCCCAGTTTTCCCAATGAATATCGATTACTTCCGATGGTTCTTCAAGTCCACTTAGTCTCAAGGCATGAGCGAGCTGGCCACGTAACACAAGTGATTCGTTTCTGAGATTCAAGTCCTTATCCCACGTCGCAATACTCATGAGACAGAGCAAGCACCGGACCTCGTCCATATAATCTCGTTCTACGAAATCATCGCTCGTTCCGTGGTTCATTAGCCGTTCAAGCATACCGCGTTCCCTTTGGTGCTGGCGCTCCAGTAGTATTGCCTTCGAGACATAGAACATATTAATTGCAGAATTATATTCGAAGCGATTAGCTGCTCCAATGGCAAACATAGCTAAAAGAAGTTCCGGTGAGCATGCGTCAAACCTGAAAGTTGGCGCATGAGTGAAGGGTGCATATGGATAGAACCCCGTGAAATATCCCGCTAAGAATCTGGTTAAAGAGTCACTGGACGGAAGCTTCCATCCAGGTAGTCCAAAGCCGTTTATTGACTGCTGTAATGAGCTCCTCTGGTATTCGGCAACTGTAGGATGGGTAAAGTGCGGAACAATCTGGGCTCCTATGTCATACCGATTATTGGCTAGCTTTACGTGGTTTATGGGAGCATACCGACCTAAGGCTATCTGCGGAGCAGGAAATATCGTTGGGACTTCGTGAATCAATTGTGCAGTTTGATGCGTACCGGATCCCTGGGCAAAGTTGCGAGTGATGGGTCGGTCAGGGTTGTCTACATGAGTCGAAGTAGTAAACTGTGACCTCGGTTCAGCAATAATGCCATCCAGTACGGGGTCTAACATAGGTATTAGCTCGATATTTAGTAAATTTGATAATATATGAGTTACCATTCATTTGGAGCATTTCTGTAAGGGCCTCGAAACGGCTAGATAGCGGAGTAGGCTCAGCCCTCCACGATGTTAGGCTAGCTGCATACATAACACACCTGTGAACATACAAACAGACTGTATCTTACCTGACTGGCTGCGCATCAAGGAAAGGGCCGCCATGATCTCTCAATGGGAGGCTGTTTGTACGGTTAAGGACCGACGCATGCGCTGCGGCATCTCTGACGCGCCGTTGAGCTACGCCGGGCCTCTGCGGTTGCTCGCTAATATTGTATACAGAAGTTGACTGCTGAGGAGAATCACTGGGGGTGCCATGTACAATGCGCTCATGGCGTTTCAAGAGATCTTGTCGTGAGAAACAAGCTCCACATGGACAGCTAAAGGGCTTTTCATGGGTATCTTGGTTGGAGGTTGACATCAAAACTTCTCAACTAGTGCATGAATATACTACCGTCTCCTTGTGTGCCTTTGTAAGTGTTCCAATTTGCGGAATTTCCGAGTACAATAAGCGCATTGATAGTCCCTTTCCTTGGTCAAGGATCCAGGCGTCGTTGACGCCATTGTTAAGCATTCTTCGCCGGTCGCCTCGAATAACCAGTTTTGCAATAATAAACTAGCGACACAACCTATCGCAGTGTTATGGCTCAGATCAACTGAATAGACGTATTGAGCAACTTTTGGTCGTCGAGGAAAAGGCCTGCGACAGAATTGGAGAAAGAAGATGCGCGTTCCCATGGTTGGCTTGATGCCTCAGGCAGCCTATTACTGCAGCCTTGGCATGTTTGGCCAGGTGATCGTTAGAACCTTCTATACTGACTGCTGTACATGCAGAGGCCCTGTATTTGGCCTTGGACGCTACATCTTTCCCATCGTTTCGAGGCCGGTGAACTGGTGGGGTGTATTTTGAACCTAACCGCAATACCACCCGTGGCCATGGACATTGAGTACCAGCCACAAGTGACCTGACATAGTCGCTCTTTGAGGGACACCTTTCGACTTCTTTGATATTTAGGGTTCATTCTAGAACGGGGTTCCACACACGTGCTAAGCAAAAGGAGCGAGAACTCCTCCTTTATAAGGAAAGAGCCCAGGCACACACATTCCGAAGGCTTTCTATGCCCTTATATAACGTTTTCTGGCTTCTTTGATGTGGTTCCACCGTATGTCATATCAGGCTCTGGCCTTGTCTTGAATGCAGTTTGGCGTCATCGGTGGATCCACTCGGGGCACACACGGCCATTCCCGAGTCCTCAATATCGGGCCGACCCACGGTTGATGAAGTCTTCTTGAAGCTGTCCGCTATTCAATGTCTTATTAGCTATTCAAGAAAACGGTTACTATATATGCGGCGTACTCTCTCATCAAGACAGGAGTCGGTAGTATTTATCAGATGCTGAAAGGGCATCACTGTCCTGTGAGGCTTGCATGATGCAAGTATATCGTGCGTTAAGGGTTGGATAAGAGCCTGGACCCATTATTGCTTTCGCCCACGCGCGCAAGCAGGAAAAGGTCACCTTTAATAACAGAACGCTGCTTGTATACAATCTGCACCTGTGACTGGTAGAGTGGGGTATGTATATGGTTCAGGAACTTATTCAGCTAACTCTGATATCCTAGTCTACTCATATGATATATAACATAATATACCGGTTATCTACGCTTGTAGGTATGTCGATCATCAGCGTACTTGATGAGAGAAGAGACATTCCTTTGTTCTGTGTAATATAGACGGGTCCTTGGAGTTAGTCAGATAGTTATAATAGAACTATATGAAGGACTCAAATAGGGGGAAATAGTGTATCCAGCATACAACCCCATTTCAACACTTTCCAGATGGTACCAGGATAACTCAAAGCTTTGTCGTTACCACCAGACATGTTGCCCTGATGCACAATCTTCAATACGGAGACTTTTATCGGGCTCTGTTCACCCCAGTAGGCAAGTGGGCCAAGGTAACTCTCTCTAGATAAAGTTTACCATCTAAATGGTGGTGAGATTACTGTTTCCGTGACGGGCCTGGTGCGTGAGGGCGGCTCAGACGGCTGTTGGTCAACGTTACAGCCCAAAATGCATAGCACTGATAGGAGACTTCGATTCCCTGGTCAATAGTATTGATTCTTACGTACTCAATGACATATTTGAATGTTGTCCCTTGATGACAAAACTGGGTCATTGATATGCTCTAGATTAGGCTCTCAGGGTCTACATGTGTAGAAAAGCGTATATAATGTCGTTATTACTTGTCCCACATTGAACAGAAATATACCGTGACACTTGCTCTGCCTCCCACACTACATCCGTTCTTCCAATATTACTCCGATCATGTCTACTACTGATCTGGCTATCCCCAAAGGCTCCCTTGTCGTCGTGACAGGAGCTAATGGTTATATCGCCAGCCACGTGGTTGATCAGCTACTGCAACACGGGTACGAGGTCCGGGGCACTGTGAGACACGCCGAGAAAGACTCGTGGTTGAATGACTATTTCGGTACAAAGTCCGAACGATTCTCCCTCGCCGAAGTTCCCGATATATCCCACGATGGGGCGTTCGATGAGGTCGTCAAGGATGCGGCCGGTATAGTCCACGTGGCAGCACCTGTAAGGCAATTTCACGACCCTAATATCGCCGTCCCTATGGCTGTCAATGGAACTATCAATATACTTGCTTCGGCCGCCGCCGAACCCTCGGTGCAACGGGTTGCTATCACCTCATCTTCAACAGCGGCCGCCAGTCCGCAGCCGAACAAGATATTTAGTATAGATAAAACAACCTGGAATGAAGCAGCTGTTAAAGCTGCCTGGGCGCCACCTCCTTACAGAGGATTTCAGCGACTCCTAGATGTTTACTCCGCTAGTAAAACGCAAGCTGAACGGGCTGCGTGGAAGTTCATTGAGGACAAGCCACCCTTTGTTCTAAACACGGTACTCTCGAACGTCAATACGGGTACAATCCTGTCCCCAGAAAATCAGGGATATCGCAGCAGCAGCGGATGGATCAAGGCTGTATGGGATGGATTCCCAGGCGAAGGGGAGCTTCAGCACAACCCGCCACAGTATTATATTGATGTTCAGGACAATGCACGTGTGCACGTTGCTGCCCTTATCTATCCCGATGTACAGAATGAGCGCCTCTTCGCATTTGCACACCCCTATTCGTGGAACGATATCCTAGCTGTCCTACGGCGACTTTATCCACAGCGGAAATTTATCAAAGATATACCTAATATTGGCGAAGATATGAGTAAGGTCGCAAATCAGAGGGCTGAGGAACTCTTAAAGAGAATTTCAGGTCTTCCTGGTTGGACAAGCTTAGAGCAGTCGATCCAAAATGCTACTGAGGCTTGGATATAGACAACAATATATGAAGCCTAAGATGCATACCACTGCATGGACATAATCTCTGTTCTTCTTTCGGTGCAGCTGCAGGATGAGAAATATTCTGGCCATCGTAGAAAGGATTGTGGATGTTTGTTTCGTCAATTTCAAGGAAAATACCCTTATGGCTCAGTGATGACGGTCTGTGGTACTCTTGTTGAAATGCTTGTACGGCTGCGGCAAGTCATATTAACTTATCTTAGTAGAATGAACTTTGGAGCGCTGGCAATTCTTAGAGCAATTAGCATGCAGGGGTTCTATAATTTTATCATACATTATACAAGCCGTAGTCCCGGAACGGTAAGGTCGCGATCCGGAGTATTTAACGCGTACACAAAAGGAGCCGAAGACACTAGATAATCAGGACTCCGTGTTTGAGAATACTCACAAGATGGAGAGGATCAACGAGCTACAGTCCTTTAATTTGTCGGAAGGGAATGAACGAGAGATGGACTTTCTCGAATCATCTTTCTTTAGGTCACCAAATCGACACCTTCCAACACCGGCGGAGGTGAAGGCTTTATCTGGAGACGCGTCCACAAGCTCTCAACCACGGCCTGTAACATTCTCGGACTTATCGTCAAATTCGGTCCTTATGTTACAATTGCAGAAGCCCGATGTCTTCGGTTCATTAGGAGGACTTTCCAAGAGAGTGTCCCCGTCCCGGAAGTTGTTGGATGGCGAATTGATCAAGAGAACAATGTTTTTATCTATATGGAGCTTATTTCAGGGCAGACTTTGCTGGACTGTTGGGATGAGCTGAGTATTCTGGATAAAAATACACTTTGTGACCAACTATATCAGATCATCGGTGATCTACGTCAACTCGAACAAGAATCTTCAAACAAGTATATTGGTATGTCCAAAGCCAACTTGGGGTGCCAGGTACAGGATGGTTTAACAGAGCTTTCTCTAGGATCTCTTAGGCAGAAGCGACTTCTAGAATATGTCTTCCAAGAAGGGCGGGAAGCCGGGGCCTTCTCCAGCATTGGGGAATTTAATGACTGGCTTTCTTTCTTACCGCAGTCGCGTTTTCCTATGTTAAATAGGTACAAAGATCCCTATAGAGAGTTTCTGCCAGACACTGGGGAGATAAAATTTACTCATGCGGACCTTCATCGAGGCAACATAATCGTGTCTACTACAGGACCAGCGCGTATTCTTGCCATTGTGGATGGGGCACAAGCAGGGTGGTATCCGGATTATTGGGAATACTGCAAAGCTTGTTACACATGCTTGTATGAGGATGAATGGGGTCTGGTCTGGATTGAGAAGTTTTGTACAATCCCAACACCAAGGAAGACAAAGACAAAGCAAGAAGAACACCATCGTAGAAGCCGATCAATGGAGTCGTTCCAAGTCACCAGGTTCTCTAAGGCCGCTGCTGTTTGGGAGGCTGTCCTCGAATGTCTCTAAATCGCCCAGACTTTCTTGAATTCAGGTGAAATGTAGGACCCCATAGGAAGTGCTCTGGGCCGAGAAGGAAATTCTGGTGTTCAATATACATCATGACGATTGAAACACAATTCCTGTTCGGTGAGTTCCGAAACAACGTTTTTCAACACCAGCTATTGCACAATAGAGCCGAATAGCTAGCGCTATTATTAGGGTTACCTGGTTACGGTCGGCTACTATGGTAAGCATTTACTAGCTTTCATTTCCAAGGGTTTTCCATTACAGATCCACAGCTAGGAGGACCATGTCTTGGCAGTTTGGGGTATAGAGAAAAGGAATGAACTCGGCTATTACATGGGATTATCTACTGAACCAAAGACTCGAAATGTAAGCTTAGCTTAACATTTCATTGCAGTAAACACTTGTCCACTCATCTGGATCTTAAAAGAACAAAAATAAGGCTTTTTACTCCGCTGTGTAGAGGTTGCCTCGCACATATTTCAGACCCGTGTCACAAGCAACGGTAACCACAACTTTTCCAGGCCCTAGTTGTTTTGCCAGCTCAATCCCGGCTACTACATTGAGGCCTGTAGAGGTCCCTGCCAAAATGCCCTCTTCCTTTGCCAGGCGCCGTGACATGGCACGGGCCTCCGATTCCTCAACTGCAAGGGCACTGTCGTATAGCTGTTTGTCCAAGATCGGTGGAAGGAATCCAATTCCAATACCTTCCACCGAGTGTAGGCCGCCGTGGCCTTTAGTGATAGCAGGCGCTGAAGCAGGTTCCAGGACAGTCACCCTGCAGTGCGGTTGACTTTCTTTCAAGACTTTGGCCACGCCCATGACCATTCCTGCACCACCCACTGCACCGCAGAATGCATCAATGCCCTCCGGAATTTGCTCCAGAAGCTCACGACCTAGCCCTTCGTAACCGACAAGGACATCTGGGTTGTTGAACTGGTCTGCGTAATAGTAATCTTCCCCCTGGGAGAGTTCCTTCGCCCGGTCACGCATAGCCGGAATCAATTCAGGCGTGATCTTCCCGCTTGGGCTGTGGACGATATCCACCGTCGCTCCAAACGCGGACATCGTCTTCAACTTTTCCTCTGCGAACGCGTCGGATGATACAACAAGGAACCTGTACCCTTTGATTGCACAAACAAAGGCGAGTGAAGACCCAGTACTGCCGCCGGTGGCTTCAACCACAGTCATCCCGGGTCTCAGATCACCTCGTCGTTCGGCTTCTTCGATCACAGAACGGGCCATGCGGTCTTTATAGGAGCCTGTGGGATTCAAGCCCTCCAGCTTGACAAAAACACGGGCGCAGCCATCTGGAACCACGTGGTGCAGCTCGACGCATGGTGTTTTCCCGACCGCGTCGAGTATATTGCGAGTAGAGGTGATGGTTGGCATGGTCATTCGCAGGGAGGGCTCAACAAAAAGCGTCAAACGTTGATGTATAATATTTATACTTGGGAAGTTTGGCTACAGTACCAGCCAAGTTGACTGAAACTATTCCCCAAAATGCCAAGCCACGATCTTTCGCCTTATGGGTGGACTCAGCTTTCAGTTATGATAAAGACACAAACTGCAATTATACGTCGTTTCTTGGAGTATGGCCCGTTGTCTATTCTTTTACACGCAATCCGTACCCACAATAGTGCTACTGCATGTATCATAGAGGATCGTTCCGAAAATCTGCTGGTACATAATGTGGATCAGTGGCCCAATCCTAAATCTATAAAGGAGCATATGACCTTACCTGATACAAAGTTGGTACAGGGCACGTGGCAAAACTGCAAATTTTCTCTTCCCCTGCCTATTTGATTCGCAAACTTGAGAACATTCGAGACCTATGGAAGAGCTCAAACCGTACCTATTTGCCCCAGAGACTTGGCCTTCGAGAATGCTTGGCAATATGGGGAATGACTGGCTCCCTTGCTTTCCATATTCTGGCTCATGAAAATGACAAATGCTTATTCCTACTGGCGATCTCCGACCTTGATCAGACTTGGTCACCGGAGATTGCACCTAGCTCCCCGGTTGAACTAGGCAAAGGCGATTAGTTAGGTAGCTATAGTTAACTATAAAGAAGTATGAGGGTTTACCACTCTATAGGAAGATGTAAAGGGATCTCGGGTGATGCGGATGGCTTTATTGTCATTTAATGTCATTTTAATCTCATTTGTTGTGCTTTGTCTTTTTTCAAACTCATTTGATATCAGGAAAATCTCTTGAAGAGTTTGCAAGCACCGTGGTTGACCGTGTAATCTCCCAAGAACAAGTGGAGGACGACATCGAAAGAGGCTGTGCTAATATAGAACAAATTGTTTGCGAGATCATTGGACAGGGTACTGCGAAAGTCAACCGGACACTAATATTTGCAAGTACAGATATTCACCGGTTCACTTTATATAGCGGCCTCTTTGTGTCTTTTAGTAGCTGGATAACGGGCTATCAGTGCGCACTCCAGAGCTGCAAAGGAAGATTATGGCATGGAAGAGAGTCCTATTGCGCAATATATAGTCAAGATATAACTCCAGCGCTCAGATAAGCCAATTTGGCCAGGGCTGTTCAGCCTGTGGTGACATATCAAAAGTCTCCAGACACGCAATTCTACCCCCATTAATCAAAATGAGAGGGCAGGTTCAAAGATGTATATATTTTCTCACATAAACTAATGGTCACACTTGAAATCATTCACAAGTCTATATTTTCATAACCCGAGGACCTCTATGAATGATTAGCAAGATATAATATACGATACATTGAAACTATGGACTTCTAGCGATTTTCGACAGTATAAATCAGAGGCAGCCTTGATTCCCGGGACTAGGGCTTGAGGAGGCCCTCTCTATCCTGAGACCTTCTAAATCCAAGTATTGAGAACCTCCGAACTTGCGTTGATATTGGTCCTACGAGAACTTAGTGAAAAAAAAGCATTGCGTTCTCCAAAATGCCCAGCCTCGAGGCGATTGATTGACCCCACTGCGGGCCCACCAAAAAGGCGCATCCATACACCATTCCCAAGGCGGTCCACGAGAACGACGCCCTATAGTTAACTATGTTGATCTCCGGCTGATAAAGACACGCCGGGGAGATTTGGATTTCTCCGGCCGCTTTTGCTTGAAACATTTCCACAGTACTCCTATCCTTGAAGCTTTTAAGCACTGAAGTCTCCACTGACTCAAGTGCTTAATTTCTATGGTTCAATATGTCCTAATTGACCTTTCCAATCTGTTCTACTGGACTCGGGCTACTCTGGTATTAGGAAACGTTGGACTGAGGATAGTACCATGACAACGCCAGCAGACAATGAGCAGCCATGTAATGTTCCAGAGAAAGGTCCCCCGGAGAGCAATCCACAGACGCCCCGCGAGCCTTCCAACTTGTAAGTACTGAGGTATCCCCTAGCTAGTTAATTTTTCACTCGGGCCGAGCTTACACAGAGACAGGCGAAAGCTCCTCATTATCGTCGCTGCCTTTATGCTCAATTTCTCCGGCTGTAGGCTCCTCTTCAGCTTTGGTATATACCAATCTCTTTACGAGGACATGTCGCGAAAGGAGAATAATCCATTCACCGGTGCTTCGTCGGCCGAGATTTCGTTGATCGGGAGCATAGCTGCAGCTTTCATGAAACTTGGTGCACCATATGTCGTGGCATGGTGCAAGTACCTCAGCCCCCAGCGAGTGGTCTTTGTGGGAGGGCTCATATACGGGGTTGCCAGTGTTCTTGCCAGTTTTGGTCAAGCCTTGTGGCATTTCCAACTCACTCAAGGGCTGTTGATTGGTATCGGTACCTGCCTTTCCTTTATGCCATCTATGGCAGCCCCACCGAGCTGGTTCGGAAAATATCGCGGACTGAACATGGGCATTATTTCCGCCGGAACCGGTATCGGGGGTCTTGTGTGGTCTCCAATACTAACAGCATGTATTCAGAATCTTGGGTTCCGAAATACACTCCGTCTGACAGGCTGTATTTGCACTGTTCTGATTTGTGCATCGGGCGCTGTTCTGAGCTGGGAACCCAAGATGGCTGCGAAGCTTCAGGAAGAGACCCTGAAACAGTCTTAGGTTTCTGGTCTTCTGAAGGTCCCCTTTCCTCCTCGGGAAATCGTTACAACGCGCAAGTTCGTCGCCCAGAGCCTCAATGCTGTTTTGCAAAGCGCGGCATACTATACGCCTATTTTCTACATTGCGGCCTATTCCAAAACCCTTGGGTACAGTGACGCCAAGGTTCAAATTTCACCGTATTGAGCAATGCCTGCAATGCTATTGGGAAAGTCGGGGTTGGCTTCGTGGCAGACAAAATAGGACGACTCGACTCATTCTTTCTGACGACTCTTCTGAGCTCCGTGTCTACAGCAGGCTTATGGGTTCCAAGCACTGTTATCGGTACCACGAACAAATCATCCGGAAGAGGTCTTTTTATTGGATTCACTATCCTTTACGGCCTCTTTGCGAGCGCATATATTGGCTTGTTCTCACCCGCCTTGGTTGAGTTCTTTGGAATGGAAAATATGCCGCGAATAACGGGGATTATGTACTTCCTGCAGGGGGCGGCAGGATTTGTTGGAACGCCAGTCGTTGGTGTCCTAGTAGGATCTCTAGGAGGAAATCTGGCACCAGAAAACTATGTATATATGGCGGTCTTTGTGGGAGCATTGATGGTTGCATCAACTGTAACCGTCTTCTGGGCTCGCATGGAAGTCATGGTAGAACGCATGCAGGGCGGGACACAATGGCTGTGGAGATTGTAATTACTATCAAAATGTACTAAGATCGAGTGTCAGAAGGATAGTTCCCGTTGTCGTCGTCCATCTCACATCTTTCTCGTCATAAACATAGCCCTAGTTAATACTAAGACTGAAGGTATTTTCCAGCGTCTGCAGTTTGGTAAGTACGTCCTTAACTCTCCAACCAAGATAGTACTGGAATTCATAAAAACGTGATGCCTGGGCTCGATATTCACTGGCACCTGAGATCTTTAATCTGAGCTTGATTCTACAGGTTCCAATAGAAGCCCGGTGTTCTAGAAGGGCAATGAGGGTTGTATTGCTACGATTAGAGACGGGAGAGTCTCGTAACGAACAAATGTCTGGAGACTCATAAACTGCGCTATTGTTGTTCTTAACGCGAACGCGATTCCCCTATTTTTTACCACTCATCGGTGCGAAAACTTTCCGCAGGATCAAGCTATCCAGGGCTGATTTGCCATCTAATTAGATTGCAGACGACATAACACCGGTTTACGTTGTAAAGACCACGTTTTCAAGAAGGCCTGATGCCAATTTTCGAGTTGGGCTGCAAGGACTTCCGTGATTTAATTGCCATACCCTGGCGTTGAACCTCAGGGATGGTAAATTCATGGTGGTCAACAATAGGCTAAGATCGTCATGACCATCTTGTGTCAAGGAATATTCCTAGTGTCCTCAACATAAATTTAACTGTAGAATTTCCATAAGGATCACCCTTAATTTATGAGAATCTGCCGGTAATAAATTTCACTACCGTTTTTTAATTGACAGGGGGAGATTAAAATCAAGCTAATAATCGGTGGTGGTGGCCGCGCCGGTGCGATGACACCATCGCGAGCATATCTGAAGCCATGCATTAGCAACCTCTCGGCCAACCACCGACTACCTATCACACCCTGTTACTGGAGATCATGTGGGATCATCTAAGCCTTTCAGGCTTGATGTGATTCAACCATGATAACTTTGCTGTCACGCAATTGCATGGCATTTCCTCTCATTGTGGGGAAAGCTAAAGCATATAAATGCGCAACAGATCAACGCGAACACATAAAACGGTACCCGAAGAGTATTTTGCACATCGACAGTAGCAAAATGGGACAATACGATGACACGATAACTTGGGGTAGGCAGAAACCGATCTCAGAGAAAGGAATACCTGCTCAGCTCCTTTCTCATAGTGCGCTCACGAAACGAAGACTCCGATAATGACCATCTCAAATCGCAAGACTCCTTGCACGTGGTTGAGTCGCATATCCTTCAGGAAAGAAAGATTGGTACATTCGGAGCAATCTCTCTAGTCGTTAATAAGATCATTGGGGCTGGGTATGTGATATTTTCGGTTACTCTAGAACTCGCCGTTGTTAATCTTTACAAGGATATCTTCAACTCCAGCTACTATTTACAAGCTCAGTGGAAGTGTCGGCATGGCTTTAGTACTCTGGGTCATTGCGGGCATGATCTCTACGTGTGGTGCGATGGTAATGCTGGAGTTTGGAAGCGGCATCCCCCGGTCTGGGGGTATCAAGATTTACCTTGAACGATCATTTTCCCCTAAGCTTCTGCAAACATGCGTATATCTCTTTTATTGTGTTTTCCTTCGTGAGTAACACGCTCCAACTCATTCGATTCTGTGGGTACTTATCTGGGTACTGGTCAGAGGTCTCCGCCAGTAACGCTATTACGTCCTCCTCCTACCTTCTTCTTGCTGGAGGTGTCGAATCAACTACGTGGAAACTTCGTGGTGTAGCCATTGCTGCTGCTGCCTTTGCAGTGGGTCTTCATACTATCGCTCCAAGAGTCGGAAGAGGATTGCAAGATCTCCTCAGCGCAGTCAAGCTCTTCACCTTACTTTTCATCGTGTGCACTGGCTTTGCTGCTCTTGCAGGTCACCGTAGGGTGCCCGATCCTCACAATTTCGATATCCACACATCATTTAAAGGCACGTCAAACAATGGTTATAATATCGGCACTGCGCTTCTGGATGCAATCTTTTCATTCCAAGGTTATGATAATGTCAATGCGGTATGGCCTATCCCCCGTTGAGAATCCTTCGGTTCTCTCACTGAGATATGTTGCATTCTTAGGTATTATCGGAGGTGAAGAATCCACAGAAGACTCTTCGTATTGCCCTTCCATCGGCAATGGGAATAATCACCGTTCTTTATCTTCTAGCAAACGTAGCCTACGTACGTGTCACTTCCATACATCATTCAAAGGATTTCTACTGATAGATTTCACGAGAGCAGTTCGCTGCGGTACCGACAGAGGAGTTTACCAACTCCAATATCACAATAGCGGCATCGCTATTCAGGAATGTATTCGGAAACTCGGCCGCAACAAAAGCTCTTCCTGCCCTTGTTGCCATTTCGGCCGTGGGCCATCTGCTCGGTATCGCATATACCGTCCGTAAGTCTCTGCCTGTGTGCGATAGGCTGGGAATCTGGAAGCTAACCTTTCTACGTACAGCTCGCGTCCTACAAGAGCTTGCCAAAGATGGAATAACCCCCTTCCCTAATATCATGATGCAGAACCGCCCTTTCCGGACGCCCGTTGTTGCGTTGGCCGTCCATCTAGGAGTCACAATACTATTCATCTGTGCGCCCCCGGCAGGCGATGCTTTCAATTTCATTGTCAGCTTGAGTTCATATCCAACGACCTTCCTCCTGGCATGCATCACAGTGGGGTTAATCAAGCTCCGACTCACCAAGGACGAGAGCTGGGCCTCGTCGTTCTCCGCTCCATGGGTGGTGATTGCATTCTATCTTGCAGGTAGCATAGTGAGTCCTCCATCATACCCTAGAATATCCTATCTTCCTAGCCACTTTTCTAACTGTACGAAGTTCCTGCTTATTATGCCTTTCATCCCACCACCGAATGGAAAGGGAAGCACTAACCTTCCCTACTGGCTAAGCCCCGTAGTAGCTTTGGCTATCTTGTCACTGGGTATTATATATTATCTTCTGCGGTTTATTCTATTCCCTTGGGTCTTCAGGTATACATTGCAGCCTATTGCCGTGGAGCTTAGTGATGGATCTCAAGTTACTAGATATAGGATTCGAAAAATTAGCGAAACAAGCTAGATGCCGATGGCTTACTATAGGTTTTGTGGTATTTTTGCTCGGAAAGTTCTACAGAACAAGCAGATAACACATGTACGATCAAAGGTAGATAAGTGGGCATGACTAGTATATCACTCTGATACGTTCAAGGCAGCATCATCACTGATCACGCCAGTTGCAAAGACAAAGAGCCAACTGAATGAACAGGAGGTATAAAAGGAAAAACAACAACAGCTATAGATCAACCATTTCACACTCCTCAACCGGCCTCAGTCCAAAGGTCTTCAGACCACTATGCCAACTCCTCCCAAGAGCCGTCTTTGCAAACTCTCTCATATCACTCTCATAACCACCAATCACACCCCCATCGATATTCTCGATGCCACCAGCATCGACAATTGTCCTAGCCAGATCCGCCGAATCCCTGAGGGCTGTAACGAGGCCCAAGGCTCCCGTTGGCGGCATTACGTGAATTGCATCACCCAGCAGCGTCACCCGCGGTGAAACATCCCAGACGGGAAGATCTAAGGGAGCAGATGAGAGTCTTAACGTCGATGCTTGTCCCTTACCCTGCATCTCAAAGACGGCCCGTAGCCCAGGGCTCCAGCTTTTCGTTATACGGATCGCCAGATCCGCTGCTTCATCATTGCTAAGACACAGCAGCTCCTCATCCGGAATGCCTAACCTCGAAGAATGGGTCCCAAGAACCCAGTAAACATACGGACTCGGAAGCTCAGGCTCAGAGATAATATGCGCATTCGGGAACCACGTGGATTCGAAAAGCAGATACACCTGCCCCTCTGAGACAGTGTCATCAATGGCTATATTCATTCCTCGTTGATATTGCTCTGGGAACCTCGCAAGAAACTCCGGCGTTATGGGTGTCTTTCCATACAAGGCACGCATCCCTGTGTCGATGACCTTGGCCCCCGGGATAAGCTGTTTGCGAACGCGAGATCGCACACCATCCGCACCGACGAGAATAGCACCATCCTCGACACTCCCGTCTGTAAAATGCGCAGAAACCTTGTCGTCGTGCAGCGTGTAATGATCGAGCGCCTTCCCGAAGAACACATCGTCTTTCAGCCCCGTAAGAAGTACTTTTCGGAACGTGGTCCGGTCAACAGTATACGGTTTGGGACCTTTGATAGGAGGGGGTCCTATACGGCGTGCGGCATCCACGGGCGACCCGTCCGGTTTGACCTGGACCCCAAATGCGAGACCAGCGGCACATGTCTGCTCGAAAAGCGTGTATATTTCTGGTGTCAAGGCGTATTGGAGCGCGTAGATCCCGTCCTCACTGATCCGCAGTCGGTACCCTTGCGGCCGATAGTCGATCTCTGCGTCTTTTTCGAACAGCTTGAAGGGGATATTGTGTTTTTTGAGGGCTTGTGCTAAACAGAGACCTCCTAGACCGCCACCGATGATCAGAATCGGCCAGGACATGCTGTTCTATCTTGGACTTGGTCCTATTTCTGGATGCTGCGGTACGTTCAACGCTTTGTGAATGTATATAAGACAACAATTACTACATGTTTGAACGGCAGAGGCTCAACCTGCCTTTATGTCTTGTGAGCTTTGGACTTTACGAATACTCTCGCGTGACAAACAATGACAAACAATATCGGGTCGGTCTGATAGATTCCGATCGAGATACTCTTCCTACCCAACGGCCAATTACCACAACAATGGCGTTGTTGGGTCGGAGGATTTTGCCCGATCGCCCGACATAGCTCGTAGCGGCTTCTCATCGACATGCTGGAAACGGCGTAGGATGGAACCTGCTTAGTCGCCCCACTTAATCACTAGCATTGAGGGCGTATTCCCTGATTCGTGGAATCTCGTCTTCATGCCATTCGAACATTCCATTGATTGGCCCCGTCCGTACATGAGAGAACTCGGCAGTTTATCGGGACCTTGTCGATCCGTATGCTCCTCCGAATGGCCAGACAGCTATAGCACACCTCAAGGAGCATAGTACGTGGATCTCGACACATCTCCACTGATTTCTCTCCTAGTGTGTCGACTCTAGTTCTATCCTGCACAAACTCTCCTCTAAAAGGAACTGCGAATGGTATCACAGAAAATCATGGCTGTGCTCTGCGCCCGACGCGGAAAAAGGCGCTAAGCCCGTATTATCCGCAAACCAGTTACGATATGGTCGCATCTGCCGCGACTCACTCGAGGCCGAGGGATATGATAGAAGTTGGAAGACTCTTTAAGGGCACTCAAATCCTCGTGACACGATAACTATCACGTGGTGAGGATGACACTGGATAAATTGTCAGCCTTACGTCTTACACGCATATCATAAATCTCTCGATCAAACTCTCGCTCACAAACGAAATAGGAAATAGACATCTCACAGCCAAAATGTCCAAGTCACAGTACCGAGATGGCGAGGATGACATCCCCTCGTACGAAGAAAGCGTCCGATCGTCCACCGCACAGAGACCACCCTACAACATGAGACCCGACGTAACAGCACCACTCCATCGCCATCTAGATGCGAGTCGCGTCCAGCGTGTGCATTCTCTCCTCGAGCAATATGTCGATCCACTTCTTGCTGAGCAAGGGTCGTCGGGGCTGTACCAAACCACGTTCATTTTCATTCCCTCCAATGTCACATCTCTACACCCCAGAGAAAAGAGTAGCTACTCCACGCCTAAAGCGCCAGAGCCGGTCGGATTTCCTACCTCGACAGTGGTCAAGCTTGTTCAGCTGGAGGGTGAGGCACATACGATGGAGTTCTGGAGGCAGCCGGCCGTGTTGCGGGAATTGGAGTCCTCGCTTCGAGCTAGGCTTGCGGCGAGTGGCCATCATGTTGAGGGCCAGGAAGGAGTTCCCACGTCTGCTAAAGAAACCGAATCGCTAAAGTCGAATAACGACAATAAGCCTAAACAGAAGAAGTCGCTCTGGGGTAGACTGACAGGCAACTCTGAGGCTGTTATTGTGGACCGGAAGCTGGGTTGGCGTGCCGACGACGGAGAGACTCCCGGTCGCAAATTGCCCAGGGACCAGGTCAGAGTTATCGTGGAGTGGAAGGAGGTTTGTCTGCGCGTGGAGAATGACCTGGGTCTATACGATAATTGCAACGCACCGGGAATTTGTCTCTCTGTGGAGGTCGGGGAGTAGGTGTTTGTTGCACAACTGCGTCTGCGGGAGCTATTATGGACCCGGGAAGCGGCATACGGACAAGTGTCGAGATACCTGCACTCATGCGCCTTTAGTCTTATTGTATATACAAAATCCTAATACAGCTTGAGGCGGCTTCATAGGTCCGGCAAATGCTTTGCACGTGTACTGTAAACACGACCTAGTTCATTCCTATAGTGATAAGCGGAGATCTACAGTATATCATCTTCCTCATATATCGAGCTATGAGTCACTTTTAAATGTGTTCATCTACCATAACTATACCATCTGATCCCATTAATCTATGACTAAAATGGACAAAGTCTATCGCCAGCATCATGCTCTGCGCTGAACTTCGCCAATAGGCTACGAACAGCAGATTCAGTCGCTTTAGCATCCCACAACCCGTCTCGGCCTGGTAGGTTGGGGTGTTGCAGGAGGAACAGCGCAGTCTTCAATGTGTCCTGGCGAGTCGTCCTGAGACAGGCGTGTAGCAGACCCCCAACAAGCTGCGTCGATAATGTAAAGGGCCGACTTCTGGTGGCAGTATATTGTGGCGACGTATTAAGAAGAATCGACATCTCTGAGAGGGCAGCGTCAATCCAGTCGTCGGGAGCTGGTTGGGACTGAGAGGTTTTTAAAGGCGATACAGGACGGATGATGCTGGACAACTGCCCACAAGGCCAGGGAAAACGTTGGAGGATTACGGCGTAGTACATTTGTGCTTGTATACGCAGCAACAATATACGCTTAGCAACTCTTTCTTCGCTGCCTTCGTATAGCTTATCTACCGCGGTCAGGTACCGTTGAAGCTGCCCCTCTAGGACCCCTCTCTCGTGTAGTACCTGTGGAGGTATTTCCGATAACGGGTTATGCTTGACTTTGGCATTAATTGCAAGGTGTCTGGCTATCCAATTTTGAAGCTTAAGAAGCACAGCCTCGCTCTGAGAAACATCGATAAAAGTCTCAGGAACAACGTTCTGCGTGCCACATGTTTCGCTTGGGGATGTCAAGGCGAGTCTAGGAAGTCCCCGTTGTTGATCGTAGACACTGGCCTGAACATCCAGACATGAGAGCAAAGCTGCCAGATGGGGAATAATATCATCGGGTTTGGACAACGATGACGAGTCGTTTTGACATCGCTGCAAGAGAGTCAGGCTAAGGTCAAGATGCTTGATCGCTTGCTTGGTATTTCCAATGAGAGCCTCAAAGGCATAAAACAGAACACTACAGGTAAGCGCGACTTCTGGCAAAGCACCCGGGGAGGAAAGATAGGTCGTCAGCTGTCGATGGCACTTGGCGATGCGCTGTAAGGTCTTCAAAGGTGGAAGTTTGTCATTATTGTAGCCAGATAATTCCCCAGATAGGTGATTCTGGTAAAGAGAACTGAAGGTCACCAATGCATTACGAATGACGGGCTCATGATGGCTTCGTTGCAGGATTAAAGTGGTCCACAAGGTCGGATCGGTATACGTTGATAAGCTCTCGGCAGCTTGGCAGCAGTAATAGTGTAACAGCTGCCTATCTGCCTGGCTACCAGGAACTTTGAATGGGATGCAATATGAGTTGATCGAGGCTGGCCTCCAAGTCCACTTCTGCACCAATGCTGAGTTGTCGGACGGATATCCGTCGCAGTGACGGCCGGTGCTGGTGCATCGCAGGCAATCAGGCCTTTGCTCGTCGCATTTTACCCGGCGAATCCTTCACAGGCCGTGAGTCAAGTTAGGCATCTCTCGATCTCACGTAGTGGGGAATGTATCGGCCGCTCCTTACTTGCACGTAAGACAACCAGTCTTGACTTTCGGCGCGCTGCGCCGAGACTTCTTTGTCAATTCAGACACTGAGCCCATCTCACTTGCTGGCTGCTTTCTCATATACGCTAGTTATCAGGAAATACTGGAGGTATCTTTTCAGAATGTCATCATCCTTCGGAATCAGACGTTGAGTCTAAAAATAAAGCCCCCGCTTTGCCTTTCCGAGCCACGTGCATCAGCCACAGCCCTACCTGGAGATGAGGAGGCAAGTGCTCTATATCATCATACTTCATTCTTCATCAAGGCAAATGAACTGAACGTTGCGATGGAGATTTTAGGTATCACAAATTATCATCAGTCATGTCGGTATCCTATGGGCGGATGTATCTAAAAACAAGGGGCAGAGAGTACCCCAGTAAAGTATATATCTCAAACATGGCGTGTCCGTTATCATTGCTAACCATTCGGGCCTATTAAGTACCGGAGGGAAGCAGAAAGAAGAGCCGGAGATGACTTCGAGCATGGGGTGTTACATCGTGAAACTTTGGTTTACTACAGGATGGACCCTTAATCATGCTACGTAAATACATAGGCTACGTCTACTTCAAACTTCCTGCTCTGTCCAACGCAGTCTGCAGGGCAACGTGGCAGATCCACACCCGTGGACCTTCTGGAACATAACGGACCAATTGATTTAAGCATCCTTTGAACAACAAATGTCTTGGCAACTAAATATCGCCACCGCAAAATAAGGGTATCGAGAGTAGTATGCAGATCCGTCGTCATGGGCATCCACCATTAGGAATAAATTAACAACAATCCGCACAGCAGAAACAGCCCGTTGGGAAACTTGGTTCATACGCCGTTAGCTGAGAGGAGAGCGAAAGAAACCAAAGAAAATGAGAAGTAGAAGTGACTTTACTAACCACGAGGAACCATGTTTTACACCGTCTTCCCCCTTCTTGTTGACCAGCTCGGTTTCTATAGCTCTGATCGCATTTTCATATCTCCCATCGCATTTATCCTCTAGGATATTCTTCGCCTGGCGAAGTTCTGACTCTTTCATCCAAGTCAACAGAAACTGCCCCAAACGTGGCCTTTGAATATCAATGGCATCTTCCATTGGCCCTTCGATTCTTTAGTACGCGTTGACGATTGGAGGTATCCAGATAGCTATAAATAGAAAAGACAACAAAGGGAAGATAAGAGTGAAGAATCTAACATACTGTTTACTGTTCTCATTTGCCGGAATGATTTCCAGATCTTCATCTGTTCTTCCTCCCGGGTATGCAGAAAGGCCTGGAATTTGAAAACTTTCTTTCCGACGCGCAAATTCTGCCACCAGAAATACTCATCGCACGAGAGATACTGCTCCAATGCATCACCTAATATGTACTTGGCAAGTCCATCGTCGGGGTAGCCAAACCGATACGGTCCGAGACTGCGGTCCATCTTCCCACCCGCGCGTAGTCAATACAGGGGCACGCAAGACGGAAAAGGGTGGAATCGACAACATACACTGGAATCCTTTACTATCTTACAGAGGTCGGGCGTGGGGAGTGGATCATAATATATGACGTCGTTTCAACAAGCTCGTTGCGAATCTCCTTAGTGTAAGATCCCCTGAGAAGATATGGGCCAGAGGAGGTTGGTCAAGGCTCTAGAGAGTCAGACAGAGTGCCAAGGCGCAGTACCTGACTAAGGAAGGTCAACCGTACTCGTTTAGGGCCGTCGACTCTGCTATTGTGATTGATTTCCCCCTGCCTTTTTGTTCCGTCTTTTACGCGGCAGAGTCCCACTGATAGTCCCCCACACATACTGGACACAGTTTAGATCGCCGCTGAACCCTAGAGCTTAGTTCTTCTAGCGTCGGGGCCCCCTCTTTTGTGCCCTGTTCTTTCTTTTTTTTTAGCAATTTCACTCAGAGATCCTGCTGAACACAGCCCCGTCAAGACACCAATCATAACTGTGCCCCAATGGTTAGCCATGGAATACACTGCCCCGTTTCACTTGGCCGGTGTCCCCTTAAATAATTTTGTTGACTGATTTAAATCTGACGTTAATTGTAATCATCTACTTCGGAGTGAAGTCAAAGCTTTTCACAGTGTCCCACTCGTTTCATGTTACAAATGGGGTCTGCTATTACCATGGGTGGTTAGATATCAAAGCAGAAACATAACTTGCTCCATCCTCCGGCCAATGCCCACTCTGGTTGCAGTCGGTATAGACGCACCAGTTAGAGGGTAATACAGTATCACCACACAAGGCACGACAGAGACACTGTGTACGGTCGTAGAGCCATAGCCGAATAAAGTAAGAGTAAGATTTCGGCTCTCAGGAGACCGCAAATCCTCGCGGAGAGGACCTGTTCATCGGAATGGCTGGTGGACGATCGTAGTCCCACACTGAGCCCTAGCATACGTCAACCTAAATCTCTTTAATGTGAGCTGAGGTAACTCGCCCCAGGGTCCAGGCGCGCTCCACGAAACTGACATCCAAACGATCTCGTCGCTCGTGCAGTCGACACAAATGACCGGTTCTTCCCCAGGAAAATATTCCCCTTCGTGCTTTGATTTCTTCCGAGTTCTTTGTTATTCTTTCTTTGGTTCGAAGCAGCAATGCTCCTAATATCAATACTAGCGATATTCAGCTTTCTTTGCTCTGCGCCCGTCTCTGCTTCGCGAGTAATCAAATCCAACTCTCTAGACCTATGTACCGACAACAAGAACTTCACAGCTACATTTTTCAATGTAACCTTCACACCTGATACCCGTCTCCTATCCGTGGGCTTCAACGGCACGGTAGCTATCTCCGGAAATGTGGTGGCAGACCTGTCGTTGACGGCCTACGGCAAAGAGGTCATCACGAAGACACTGGACCCATGCCAGATGAAGGAACAGCGCCTGTGTCCCATGAACATTGGCAAGCTAGAGATTCCGGCGATCCAGACAACTCTGCCACAGTCTGTCATCAACGATGTTCCGAGTAAGATGCACCCGCTCGCGTCACTGGTGCAACACAGACTGACAAATGTATCCCGCTAGACATTGCATATACCGTGCCGGATCTTGATGCATCTGTTCGCGTCTACATTAATTCCACAGATACGGGGGCCCCGATTGCCTGCATGGAGGCCAGCCTCTCCAATAGTAAATCTGTTCACCAGCAGGCAGTGGGCTGGGTCATAGCACTGGTCATCGGTCTGGGTCTGGCGTCGTCGGGAATTGCATCGATACTAGGGTATTCACATGCTGCATTGCATGTTGCAGCCAAAGCGCTCGCACTGTTCGGCTTCGTGCAGTCTCAAGCCATCCTCGGCATGACCAGTGTCCACATGCCCCCGATCGTGGAGTCCTGGACTCAGAATTTCCAATGGAGTCTGGGTATTATGCATCTAGGGTTTATTCAGAAGATTTCCAACTGGTATCTCAGGGCCACAGGTGGGACTTCGTCGAACTTGCTATCCGACCTTGAAAACACGTCAGTCAATGTGCTCAAGCGGAAGCGATCGTTGGATTTCGGCGCAGGGGCACTGATGAAGAGAGATTCGGGGGAAGGCGCAGCGCCCGAGGGATCTAAGACTATCTATGGCATCGTACGTGTTGGCTTCAAGGCCAACATTGAGCGGACTGATATTTTCATGACGGGGTTTATCTTCATCATGGTCTTTATTGGATTCGCGATGCTGATCGTAGGATTAGTCCGCCTTGTCTCTGGTCTTCTTGCAAAATCCGGGAAAACCGACAGTACAAAGATGGACAGCAACACATGGGCAGTCACCATGAAGGGCATCCTGCTCCGTCTGATTCTCATGTGTTATCCTGCAGTGTGCGTTCTCTGTCTCTGGGAGTTTGCCAGTCATGATTCCCCTGCCGAGGTAGTCCTAGCCGTTGTCATGCTCTTGTCGACGACTGTTATACTGGTCATGGCAGCTGTACGCATAATACGCAAGGCCAGGCGCTCGGTTGAGATATACAAGAGCCCAGCCTTTATGCTACAGAACGACACTATGTTCCTGAACAAATGGGGCTTTCTATATGCTCACCATCGCTCCCCGGCATACTATTTCGTCACTCTAATGATAGTATATATCTTCGCCAAGGGCATCTTCGTCGCGCTATGCCAGCCTTCGTCATCTGTTCAGATCGCAGCGCTGTTTGTTATTGAGGTCCTCATGCTGGTCGCAGTATGCGTTATTCGACCATGGATGGACAAAAAGACCAACATCATGAATATCAGCGTTACATCCATCAACCTTCTTAACACCCTTATACTTCTTATCATTAACTTCCGCGAGCGCGATATGGCAACGAGTATCCTGGGAGTCATCCTATTCGTCTACAATGCCATCCTCACCCTTATCCTCATCATTGTCATCTTGATCGCTTCGATCATGGCCCTCGTGTCCAAAAACCCCGACAACAAGTACCAAGTAATGAAAGACGACGGCTCCTCTATCATGTCCCGCACACACATGACAGAATTAGACGCTCTAGGTGCCGCAGCGCGAGGCTCCTCCGACCAAAACCCGAAGCAGAACCCCTTTGCCCACAACGAAGTCCCTCCAAACCATGCCAACGGCCTCCAGCCCTCAGACCGGACATCCCCTAGCCATATGACCGGCGCAAACCACTCGCCATCTTCTCCACTTGACCCGTCTGTTCCTCTCTTCCCATCCAGTTATACCCGGAGCGCATCACCCTACGAGTCTGGTGATTATAACCTTAGCCCATCCGAGTACAGCCAGCCAGGTGTCTCTCCGGTCAATCGGGGATACAATGTTTCGCCCATTCACACACCGTCGCCACACGCGTACCGGGCAGGCAACAATGCTACTCCGTGGCAACGGGGAGCCGGGTACGACCATTAGGGCCCTCATACGTGGTATGGGAAGTAATACTACATTCCCCTCACTAACCCCGTGTGCTCTTTTCCATAAAGGACACGTAGCTCGGAGAAGAACTACGAGAGTTGGTATATGTGCACGATTGCCACTTGTACAAAGTTTGTTTCTTCGCACTTGATTCTATCGACCGCTAGAGGTACATATATAAGCATACCAGTGTACGGCTGGCTAGACAGCGGAACTTGGAGATATTGACATGGGTTTTAATCATGGACATTTGAGCAGGCGTTATGGGGTATATAAGAGGTATTATAGAGTTCCAACGACAATTACTGTTTAAACTCGTGTCCAAGAACAACAGTCCCTTAGAGATGTCTCTCCGTCGTCGCCGATCAGCTAGGCAACGGTGATCCCGAACATTGCCGTGTCGCCTAATTACGGATAAACACAAGCAAAAATTTACGATTCCAGATCCCAATCGGCCTCCAAGAGGTAGAGCGAAGGAATCCATCGGTGGAAATAGTATAGGTCGATATAGGCAACAGCGAGGCAATGGCGCAGGCAGTAATATCCAAGGGTTGGGCACAATTAATGGGGATCCATCCTGGATGACAATTAGTCTCACGATGAGACAGTGGCCTGATGTGTGAGATTGCCGCCTGTATCTACGCCTATTTTGATCACAGCCAGCTGTAGATCACTGTGTTGGAATATCCTTTCATTAATCGGCCGGGTGGCGCAATGGTAGCGCGTTGGTTTCCGGTACCAAAGGTTTGCGGGTTCGAGTCCCGTCTCGGTCGAATTCTTCTTTTTGTTCATCTTCCTTTCTAGCTTCGTTTTTTCCTTCGTAGTAAGTAGGCATTATGCTGATTTCCCATCTTTTTTGGCCCTATTCGTGTTTTTTGTCTCCTTGGCCTTTATTTTGCTAACTAGTTGCTTAGCTTAGCTGCTTAATACCATATCACATTCTGATAGGTTATGCACCCGTGTATATCAAGCGCAACCTCTACCAGTCGGAGTGAACACCCCACCTCGCTGTTCCAGCATTCTCGAGCTTTCTTCATTCTCTAGCTTCCCTTCATATTCCACACATATCTTGTTGTCTAGTCCCTTCACTACCGCTTGCCTTCAGTCTATTTGTCAAGACTTAATACCACAATTTGTCTCATCAACATGTGTGGCACTGAAGAGGCCCAGACCATCGAGCCACAAGTAAATATTCTTTGCTCGGCTCCAGGCTTTACAGTGCCTTATCCCGACGATGTCGATGCAAAGCTTACCGAAAGTAATACAATCTTTAACTGGGGTGGCGTTACAATAGCGAAGATATCTCCTACTATCGCCGTGAAATTCGGATCTCATGTTAGACTCAGCGAAGCAAAGAACATAATGTTTGTCGAGCAAAACATAGATACCCCAGTACCAAAAATCTTTGCTTGCTATTCCTATGGCCCAATAAATTGAGATATTAAAGACTACGGTAGTTTATTCGACATTTATATATTTATGAGCTATGTGGAAGGTCAGACTCTAGATAAGGTGTGGGATACTTATGACGATATAACAAAAAACCATATTATACCGGTCAACTAAAAGAGTATTTCCACCAACTTCGTCAACTTCGCCATGAGAATTATATCGGCTCAGCTGATTTTGGTCCTGTTACTGATCCATTCTTAGAGACCTATTTCAACAAAGGTTTGTGGTATATAATCTATGACTTTTAGTGAGGATGCTAATGTAGATCAGGACCGTTTGATTCTGAAGAATCCTTCAATAACACAATCATCGAGGCATACCAGCTAAAAGCACCAAAACGTCATATCAAGAGTTTCCTTGTTGGCATGCTTTCCCAGAAACGATATCAAATCGTATTTACCCACGGAGACTTGCGTCCTCAGAATATAATAGTCAACCATGGAAATATCAGTGGGATTGTAGACTGGGAGTTTAGTGGCTGGTATCCTGAATTCTGGGCGTTTTCAAAAGCCCTTTACGTTTGGAAGTGGCAAAATGATTGGACCAACTATCTCATACAGTTTCTGGAGCCTTATTATTCGGAGTATGCAGTTCATTCTTTCTTGACGGAAGTACTCTGGTGATATTGCATCACAGATAGGATGTTGAGGTTTTTGGATCGGAATGAGGCAGTTCATGCAAATGAATACAATCACACCTCAGTGAGCGTCTAGCTCCAAATAGATATCAAGATTTCAATTGTGGACAATCACAGCTGGAGGTAAGCCTAAAGTTTAACTATACTTGTTGGTGACAATGTATTGGAAGGATTGACACGAGGGGGCTGAGCCAGAGCAAAAGGAGCGCGATGCCCGATAGGTTTAGGCGAAGCACCAACGTCTGTCTACATATAAGCGAGGATTTCATTCTAGCCAATCATTCCCGTAGTAATAATCTGTGGTGCTCCAGCTTCGTTGTGAGTTGGGGCATAGACAGGAAAGTCCCTGTTCTCCGGCGGCGGTGTTTGTTCTAACCAATTGCTGAACTACATACACCAAATAAAGGACCGTTAATAAAACTTAGCATACCATTTGAATCTTTACTGAGTAGGTCCTAAGTTCCTTCAGTAAAGCGGCAGTGTTCAAAACATGAAATCTACAATATTGTAGGAAAACAAGTACGTATAAGTAGAAATATATATGGACACATGATGGTTTAAACCCTACTTTGGTTGATCTAAGATACTCAACTACCAACCACTCTTTCTTACCAACGTTGACAGCCAATTCTCTCAGCAATCAACAGATAAATACGCAAGCAGGATAGAAAAAACAAATGAAAGCCCTGAGTGGTAATCAATTCCAACGATGTCATCGGAGGGCGGGGTCATCGAGTGATAGTATCTTCATCTCGGAAATACCCCATCATTCTTGTAAAACAGCACCTTGAAGAAAAAATAATATTTAATATTAAGATTCACAGATATTAGCCTTGGTGTCTAAGACAAACTTGTTTCATACCAAATATATCTTGCATTACTATATACGAAGCACTAGGGATCAAATACGTAAAATACCTAGGCATCACAGACCCATTTCTCCGCGCGCTGAGGCAACCATCCACTAGTTCTAGGCAAAGACGTCTGGCGACGAAGATCTCCGACAGGGATACCCATGCCAAGCATGAAGTTTTCATCCATGCGACACTGGTCCTCGTAGAAGGTCCACTGGACGCATCCCTCCCAAGCTACACAGGCAGCCTCACAGGCATCCACCGACTTCCAGGCACCGTGCCAGATTTGCTTCGACACTCCCTCGGGAGGCTGCGCGTCGGCGACATTGTCCGATCGAAGCTCATAGCGGGAGGATTGGTTGTCCCACCATTCTACCCGACGACGCATGTACGGCTCGATCATGGCCTTGAAGAAGTCGCGGTACCTCATCTGGCCCTTCTTTTCGAAATCCCAGCTCTGTTCGAAATTGTAGAGCCGCGCTACATCCTTACTGTGCGTATGATGCCAGCTGTAGAGAGGATAGCACCAGCTCGCGCGCCGGAACCAACCGCCCCAGTGCGGCTCTGGGTTGAAACCCCAGGAATACTCCGACTTGCCATGGATCTGGCCGAAATTAATACCATAATCCTGCATGACATGGCCCAGAACGTGGTCACCGCAGCCATGGGCCTCCGTAAAATCGGCATATTTAGTGACCATGTCCTCTTCCAGGCCGAAGCTCTGCTCCCACGCACCCCGCGAGAGCACGAAACCCGCACCACCGTGGGCGAAGTAATCGCCGTGTTTCCAGGCAAGACCGCCGAAGTACCACGGCTCCTGCCACGAGAACTTCTCCAAGTGGAGGAGCAAGTTGGGCAGGAAAATGTATCCATCGTCTTCAATGTAAATGTACCACTTCGCGTCCGGCTTTGCGCGGCCCGCGTGTTGGATGAGGGGCAGGAACTTGTATTTGTCGAGTTTCCAGCCACCGGCGGGGCCATTCCCGTCGCCCTCTACGTTGGCCATTTCTGCGTAGACCTGTCGCGCTTCATAGTCGGGCTGCTGACGGTATGGTTCGTAGTTGTCCGTTTTCAGTACCGTCTCGGTGGAGTTTTCCAGGACGTCGATGACTTGCCATGAACCGATGGTCTCGGGGTAGTCGGAGTAGATGATGACGTTGTCAGCGGGGATACGGCTGGGCTCGAAGCTGGTGGACAGGTGAATTGGTAGTCGTCTCCATAGCACGGAGGCACCGGTTTTGAAGAGGAGCACGACATCATCTGGACTCAACTGGCCATATTGTTTTGGTTGTTTTTTTGGTTTTTGCTTGGGTTTCGGCCTCTCCTGGGCACGGGTGCTCGGTTCCTGCTCATCGGAGGAAGGAGTAAGAGGGGCAACAGGGACCGCGGAGGGAGAAGGCTGGGCAGAGGGCAGTGGCTGTTGCTTTGACTCCTCCTTGAGCGGCGATTGCCGGGAGGATAGATCCTGTGGGAGATCAGGAAGACCGTGAACAATCACTGGGTCGTTATGTTCCAAGTCCAGATGATAGAAGAACAGGAACAGGACAAAGATCATAATCCCCAAGGGGACTATGCGGTTCTCTCTATGAAACAAAACTCGCGCCATAGTGAGTGTGTATGCTAGACTTATTCAGCCAGCATGGCCGGGGATGAAGAAAGCGTCTCGCGGACTTTTCAAAGAAAAAGTTCCACGAGACTCCTGCTGAGCAACAATCATATTATTAGAATAGCTCGCAATGGTCATGTTCCAATGGAGTGAGGCTGAAAGTCTCAACCGGATGAGCATCGCGCATAGACCCCCCCTTTTTTTTTCTGTCTCGAATTTTCTGGGCAATTTTTAACAAGAACAGTGGAGCCGAGTGGCAGTGGAGCACTCAGGAGATGAGCAATTTCCCGATTTTATGGGAGTTGGCGGATGATTAACTTTTCCGCTCGGATCCAACTCTCTGAACACCGTTTTTACCACCCAATAACGAGTCTGGAAGTGAGTCAATTGTGCAGTAGTTCAACGCCGTCGGGCATACCATTGAGACACAATGTAACAGTTTTTCTGGCAGTGGATTCGCTTAAAGAACGAAAACCATGGCCATTGGCTGGAAGTACATTGTCAACCAACATCCTCAGTCCAGACCTCTTCCTACTTAGGGCAAATGGGACCCCGGCAACCCGGCAGAGCCTCGTTTTCGACTGGATTTGGAAAGCAAATCGGCCAAATATGGTGTGTCACACTGAGATATACGATGTGATTCCTCTTCAGGAGAATGGATCTAAACTCTTCTCGGCCTTCGCCGGCAATTATTATCCATTAGCGTCGTATTTTTTTTTTCTTGCCTTCCTGCCTGTCCCTCCTGACCGTGAATTGGGGCTGAAAATGAGACCTTAATTTAAGACAAGCGAAGGTTTGCCCCGAGCTATTATTAGTTATGAATAGAAGGCCATGGCCACTTGTATTCGGTGTCTCTGGCATTGAAAAATCCTGCCGGTCACCGAAGAGTTCATGAAGCAACATCACTTCGCAGTGATGGAGTGGACAACAGAGAAGATCGCCGCGAGACTGCCAGTCTTCCAACAGCGAGGCCCTGATGTGCCCGCTTGGCGCCAATTCCTGAACTTTCTGGGTTGTTTGTTGATCCTCCCCGTATACTACTTCATCACCGGCTACAGTCGTCATCCCTTGACGCTGGACATTTTGATTAGCATCTTCGTGGCTGAATTCAACCGATATGCCAACGAGGGTCGGCGACGCCGGCTATATGGCCTCGATGCACCGCCAAAGGCGAAGGAAGACCCCGAAAAGGCTCCCATGTCTCCCAGTCTCCATACAGGCCCTGACTGTTTGGCGGTGGTGGTAGGCTACCGCGAAGATCCGGAACTCTTCCGTCGCGCCTTGGACAGCTACAAGCGCGCTGACGGTTGCCGTTTTATCTTGGTGGGAGTGGACGGTGACGAGAAACCCGACATGGATATGGTCCGCGTCTTTCAGGAAGCTTATCCTGAAGACTCAGCCATTGTGCATATCGACGAACCATTTGGCGAGATCGCCATGCGCACGTACAAAAAGATCTCGGAATCTTGTTACGAGACTCCTGCGCGTTGCCAGGAGATGACCATTGCCCACTGCTGCCAGTTGGCCCGGGAGATTCTTGCCGAACATGATCTTGGATTGGGTGAATTAGGAGGTATTACCAGATTGTGCTTGTACCAGCCGCATATGCACAAGAAAGCAATCATGTTCACCTCGTTTATCTTCTCTATCGTAATTTCAGATATTCTTGGTATCGAGTACATGTGGTCTTCCGATTCCGATACCATCGTCTATCCAGATTCCGTGCGCCGCACCGTTGAGACGATCGCCGGAGATCCAACCGCCGGCGGAGGCAGTTCTGGATTGGTGGTGCACAATGAAGATGATTCGATGACGACGAAACTCGGCAGCGCAGTCTACTGGTGTGAGCTGTACATGACAAGATCAACCTCGGCGTCTTCGGGCACGAGCGACTGCCAGAGTGGTCCAAGTACCGTGTTCCGGGTGTCTGCCTTGCCTTCAATCCTATACCCCTGGTACACACAGACAGTTTTGGGTCGCCGAATGGTCAGTTAAATACTCAGATTCCCATCTTACAATTCGACTTCCAGCTAACAAACCCAAAGATTGTCAATGAAGACCGCCATCTAACAACAAACCTTCTCTTACGTGGCTGGACGGTCACATACGTCTCGGACACATTAACAGCAACAGATACTCCCACCACATTCAGCCGATGGCTTCTCCAGCAAGTCCGTTGGGGTCGAGCAACGCACATCGAAACCTTCCAACAACCGAGGGTCTATCTCCTCAACCATCCTATCTTCTTCTGGGCCGCTATGAAAAAAGAAGTCGGCCCCCTCCTGGTCTTCCTCTGTGTGCTCTACTACGTCATAACCGGCCAACGCTTTGCCTACTTCTCCTCCAGCGATGCTTTCCTCCGTGTGGCCTACACCATCGGCTACAACTGGCTCCGTAATCCAGACCGCGGGCCACGCAATGCCTGGATCTGGATTGCCCCCGCGCTAGTCTTCTACAACATTCCCCTCCCCAGCATCCATCTCTGGAGTATGTTGACCGTGTTCGAGAGAGGATGGGGCACAACGATGCGGTCGAACGCCGAGATGTCGAAGCGCGAGCAGTTCTGGAAACGCGCATATGACCTGGGTTTCTTCGTGGTCTGGATGGGTATTGTTGGGGGTACCGCTGCACGGATCATATCTGGCTATGCAGGCTGGGATGCAGCTGGTACGGCGAAGGCCCTCTTCTTGGGCGTGCTTGTCCCGTCCGCTGTCTCGTTCTATGGGCTGTTGGTTCGTGGATGATTTTCTTTTCTTCGGATATATTTAGATTCAATAGTATTATAATTTAGACTAAACGACTGGCGGAACTATGCTCTGCAGTCTGGACATATTCAGTTGATTTTCCATCCTCGATATTCACTGCGCTTGTCCTCAGTATGGCTCATGTAAAACATACAACCCATCTACTCTACCATGATACTATCATGCACCGCACTGATATACATGAGACAATGGGATATTTCCAAGATCATTCCTTCTCCTCCTGCGAGCTCCACTTAAGTACCAGAGAGTTTCGTCATGATCTCTCCTGAGAAAAGCTTACTCGAAGCCACGGCCTACGCTAAGCCATAATGAGCGATCTGCATTGTCTCGATACACCATGCTTATAGTCTGTCATTGAGCAAGGAGGGCGAGTCTTGCCATGTATGTAGATCGAAAAACTATTTGTACATGAAACACATACAATAGACAACCTTGCATGGATGCATGACTCGAGAGAAATGCAACGCCAAGGAGTTTAATTTACTTAGCTGAGACATGTCTGTGATAGACTATAGCCTGTCGATCGATCCACCGCTGAAGATAGGCACGAGCCGCCCCACTCGTCCGTCTAAATTGAGGATAACGGAAAGTGTGGCTTGCTATTTAACCTAAATGCTACCGTAGATTCCACGATCTACGCTATAGTGCACATCAATATTGTCCGATAGCAGAAGATGGGGGACTTGTTCTCAGGTTCGAGGTAGACCTCCCGAGTTGTTGATTGCTATGCATTACGGGTATGTGAGCTCTCAGACAGGGGTAATCTCCACTGGGGTTTATTATTGGAAACTATCGCCATCCGTGGAGTCTTTGGAGAGTGTTGCAAAATAGTGCGGCGGGACGATCACCGCCCCTAGCGTTTGGACCATGCGAGACGGGTATACATTGATAGAAGGAACTGGTTTCTCGGGGACATACGCAAGGAGACATGCTTACCACTAGCACGTATTATCTATTATTTAATTGTCCGAGTAGATATATGTGGACGACCTTGATATATCGGTCTATATGTACAGGCAAGGAGTATCGGGAAATGAAATGGTTGGATAGAAGTATCGAATGGGGGCAGGTATCCGGGTTGAATCATAATGAGCGGCGCGTAGATCTTGCGACATTTCAATATGAGCTCAAATACTTGCGGATTCCCTGCATATCAGATTTAATGAGCGAGTTAAGAAGTTCCATACATAGGGCTCTCAGTGTCAGCACATACACTTATGCATAGAAAGCAAAGTAAGCAATGCATACACAACGTCTTTATGTGGTGGCATGTGACTTCAGTGCCTGGACAGGTCAGCCCACCACCACCCCTGGACCTCGGACCACTGGCGCCGATTCTCCGAAGCATGTACTAACTGTTTTGATACAGCTTATCGCACCGATTAAATAAAACACATTCTTTTGTCCTGTAAATATTCTGAAAAGTATTTTGCAAAACTAGTTCTTTACTAAGCTAGTTTAAAAATATATAATCTACTGACAGTAGTAGTAGTAGTAAAAAATTGACTTGTAAAAAAATATAATAATCTCAACCCACAGGTGTGATGAGGTCACATGATCTCGGGAAGTCGGCGCCGGTGGTCCGAGGTCCAGGGGTGGTGGTGGGCTGACCTGTGTTCTGCATCTGAGCTATCAGCACATCAGGTGACTTATCAGTACAATCACGTGCCGTGTCCCGCTGATAACGCATGAATTTTTTGGAGATCAACAAAATTGCCTGCGGAGACAAAATATTGAAATCACCACCAGGCATTGCGAAATGGGAAAAGTCGCACGAACCAAGCACACCAGCGGTGCCAAAAGCCCATACCAGAAGCCTGACAAGGGCCCACTGGGTAAGGCAGCATCCGCCATTTTCAAGTTCAATACCGATCTCGGTCAACATATCCTCAAGAATGGAGCAATCGCCGATGCCATTGTCGACAAGGCCAATATCCAGCAGGGCCAGACGGTTCTGGAAGTCGGTCCTGGTCCCGGTGTCCTGACGAATCGCATTCTCGCGAAGGCCAAGAAAGTGGTGGCGGTCGAAGTCGATCCTCGAATGGCTGCGGAACTCACCAAGAATGTACAAGGGACTCCGGCGGAGAAGCGACTCCAGATTGTCCTCGGTGACTTTATCAAGACGGATTTGAGTCAGCTGCCTCCGTTCCAGATTTGCATCAGTAATACCCCTTATCAGGTATGTGTGCTGTGTCTACCTTGGGTGGATTGTTGATCGATTATGAATGCGGGGCGGAGAGACTGACAATTTTACGATAGATTTCCTCCCCGCTTATCTTTAAACTCCTCTCCATGCCTAATCCTCCCAAATTGTGCGTTCTGATGGTTCAGCGCGAATTCGCCCTCCGTCTTATCGCCCGGCCCGGAGATGCCTTATACTCTCGACTCTCGGTGAACGTGCAATTCTTCTCGCGCGTCCAGCATATCATGAAAGTGGGCAAGAACAACTTTCGTCCTCCACCACAGGTCGAGTCTAGTGTGGTCCGAGTTGAGCCCAAGGCTGATCGTCCGTCGATCAGCTGGGACGAATGGGATGGTATGCTCCGTATATGCTTCGTGCGTAAGAACAAAACCCTGCGTGCGGGTTTCATGGGAAACAAGACGCGCGCCATGATTGAAAGAAACTGGATTACGTTCGCCACGATGTACCCGGAGAAGGTTACGCAGGCGGATATAGAATTCATGCTGGGTAATGGGGAGCCGGAGCCCATGGAGGACGTGGAAATGGATACGAATAACGACGCGGATGCCGACGATGTTCCTGAGCTGGACGAGGATGATATTTTAATGGGTGATATGGGTTTCGAAAAGAAGAATGTCCCAGAGATTCCCAAGGGAACTCTCCTGACTATCGGCAACAACAAGGTTTCTCGAATCATGGTAACTAAGTTAATACAGGCCAAGATTCAGCGCATCCTGGACCGGACTGAACTGTCCAACGCTCGTGCACAGAAGTGTGACGAGAACGATTTCCTTCGTCTTCTTCATGCCTGCAATAAGGAAGGCATTCACTTCTCATAGTCTGGTGACATTCAGTGATATTTGATTTCGACGAGCAATGAGATTTGTATGTATGTGCGATGGGCACGCTGTTACAGGATAGCAGCCAGTTAGCGAGCACATTTTTTAGAGTTAATGATATCCTAAAAGTTTTTGATGGAGCAGCAACTGCTACTCTTGAAGTTATATACTTTTCTACAGTCTAACGTAAACGCGGAGATTATCGGGGCTAAAGTCCTTTATATACGGAATTGGAAAATGGAGCCTGTAGGTATTACGAGGCACAGGTGCTTAGGATATTGTCACTGGAAGATTAAGTAAGATCTTGAATCATAAACTTATTATAAGTAGCAATGGACCGTGTGAAACGAAAGCAATAGGGCTGAACATACACGTGACGGTCATCAAAAGAAGTTCTAACTAGCGACAGGGATCAATATAAGTTTATGTCACTTCTTGTCCAGGAAGGTGGCTTATTACATACAGCCCAACGTGAAATAAAAGCACCAGGATTAGAAACTTTGATTGACAAGGGTGTATCCTGGGTGGTGGCTTGTATCACGTAGTCGTGGGAACTAATGCAGCCTTGGAGCTGCAACTAACCTTCTCCCTGGAACCTGTCGTAGAAGCATAATCTCGAACACGATAGCAACGGGCAGACTGGAGTCTATGACTTGGGGCACGAAGCAGTGACAATCTGGAAAAAAAGAGGACCCAAGCCCACGTTGAGTTCAGGGGGAAGCGGCTCCCATCTCATGTTGCTGAACCCAGCCTGAGTTGCACATTCCTCATGCAACCTCGGTTCAAGCATATAGCAGAAGAATGCTATTGGGTCCGTAGTGTCGAGAATAACCTGAATGCGAGTACCTTGTGTCATCCGTTCAAGCACTTTGTAGGTCACTCCTCCGAAGTGGTATTCTTGTCCGCAGGCAGTCGTCTGTAGTATCTCGAAATTTGGAATGATTCCGAGAAATTGTGCCCCGGGCTTCAGGCTGTGAAAGATATTCTGCCACATCGTCAACAGCTCCGTCTGGCTCTTGGCATAGTTCAGAAGCCAGATGCCTAAGACGAGGTCGAATGTCCCTATGCTAAATGGTTTGATGCAGTCCACAACATGGAACTCAGAGGGATCCTCTGGCCGGGCCTGGAGACGTGCGCTGGCCACCATGACCTTGGAGATATCCACGCCAACAACTTTTTTTGCTCCCCAGTCAATGCTTTTTCGGGACCAGTACCCGGCTCCGCAGGCTAAGTCAAGCACTTCGAGCCCGTGAATCGCACCAACTTGACCTTTAAGGATATCTTCTAGTAACCATAGGTTAGGAAGATTGGCCGCATCGTTGTAGCGGTGTCCGATCTTATCGAGCTGAAGAGGATCCATATTTTACAGACGAACTTGGCTGTATTCTCCCACCGAATGAACTGCTTTGGAGATTGACCGTGTGTGGTGAAGCACTGAAACCTACTGCCGCCATAAATAGTCCTATTCAGTTAATCCAGTGAAGAAAAAAAAAAAGTAAGCCTGACGTAACTGTATGTGCACTATATATCATACGATGGAACGGAGGATACGTGAATTTAACTTTAGCCATGAATGTTTAATCGGATAGAGTTCAAATGATACTCTAATGTACATGTACCTAGCAACCTTTCAATGCTCAAGGCAGTGTGGCTTCTAGACTGTAGCTCCTGTGGAGTACAAGTATCAGTTGCTTTTGGATATGAGCTCGTCTACACGATAGTAGCCTTCAAAACTAAAAATAGACAAGTTAATTATGCCACTGATCTTGGGAAAGTACTTATTGGAGTTGCTGAGGCAGCAGATATGCTTGCTGATACTGGTAGCGGAGCTCCTGCTAGTTCAAGTATCATCTAACAGAAGCCTTGCTACAGAAGCATTAGGTCTAGAATTATGACCTGTCCATATAAGTGTCACGGATCCGATACCAAATCGGCGTATATCCCCTATAGAGCTCCCAGACCCCTGACCCGGACCTCTTGCATAAATCCTGGTCCCGGTGCTTTCTGCAGAGACCCTGGCCCCCGTTGCAGTTTAGAAACCAGCCGAGCAAGGTATCGCCTGATCGATTAGGTCAAACAATGTCAACTACATAGTTATAGCGATTAAGTCTCCCGAGAGCAAAGCTTCGATTTACGCTCGGAAACGGAAACCTCTTACTGTTGACCTTTACTACGTGTAGTGGCTGAGCCTTTAGTAGATGGATGTTTTGATATTCCCAAGAATATTTGAGTACTAATAATATGTATATTCATTGTTATCCTACAGTATAAAATCAACAATTCACTGATATACAACATAACACTGGTTCTCGGAGATTGAGCTTTTTTCACAATCTTAATTGCACTCTGACGGTTGTCAATAACATAATAGTAGAAGGTCTGTGCATGGCCCAACATTCTCTGGACCCTTACATCTGGAGGAAGGCAGTGCGTCTTAGTGCGGCTTGCGCCTCTAGCGATCTACATACTACGGGTGGCCTAAATTATTTTTAGTCTTAACAGGGCGGGGTATGCGCATTTTCTAAGGGGGATTGCTCGTACTACCAGGGCTTCAAAGTAAATCCTACTCGATCTCCGGCCAATATAAGGTGCACTTGCCAGGAACTCTTTCTCACCACTTTCCCTGAGTCACCTTCCCGCTTCCCTACCTCTCCCCATCTATATCATTCCAACATGCGCCATACTTTTCTCCCCCTCGCTGCGCTATTTACGGCTTCTGCGCTGTCGTCTCCTCTGTCATTAGCAGCTCGAACACCAGAGGCAGCCGCCGAGCAATGTCACGGCATATCCGGGCCATTTCTGGGTCCTTCCTTTCCTGACCCATGTGAGTTCAACAAAGGCAGTCTCCAAAGAAACAACGCTAACACCATATATAGCGATCTATTATATAGATGGCACGTGGTACTCCTTCGGTACTTCCAATGGAAAAGATTTCCAAGGGGCAAAATCCGCGAAGTTCGACAGTGGATGGAGCAAACTCGAAGGCCCAACCCTGGCCATCAAGGAGGCGACGTGGGCAGGCCAGCAGGAGAACGGAGTCTACGGCTTATGGGCACCCGATGTCTTTCGGAGGAGTTCTGACAACAAATTCGTCATGTTTGTGTTGACTAGGGTGGCACCGTGAGGCGCATTGCTAACACTGTGTCAGGTACTTCGCAGCGCTCGACAAGGAGACTATCGGCCCTAAAAAGGTCCAACATTGTATCGGAGCTGCCGTGAGCGATGATATCGCGGGCGTGTACCACCCTGAGAACGACTTCGTACAGTGCAACCGAACCTCATCAGGTGTCATTGACCCCGCGTGGTTCAAAGACACGGACGGCAAGCAATATGTCGTCTACAAGACAGAAATCCCGGAAAACTGGCTGGAGATTCGGGAGGTGCGCAGCTCCGGGCCCAAGGAAGGCGTCGAATGGGTCGGGAATGCACAAAAGCTTCTCCGCGTGAATGGCCAAGGCTTTTCTGATGGAAACAATATGGAGGCTCCGTACATCTTCAAGCGCGGTGATACATACTTCTTGACGTACAGCACCCACTCCACCGCCGACGCCACGTACGATGTGCAATATGCGACGGCGAAGAAGGTGAACGGGCCCTATACTAGGGTCAAAGAGCCGCTTCTTAAGACTACAAATGCCTTTGGATGCAAGCTCATTGGCCCTGGCGGTGCAAGCTTCCAGCGAGGATCTAATGGTAATCAGGAGGTTACAAAGATAATCTTTCATGGTCTTACGGATGCAATGGATATCAACAAGCGTGTGGTGTACACGGCGACTGTGCAGGTCAATGGTGACAGACTCTCTATTGGTTCAGCATAGACTTTGAGCTACCCTATGGGGTTTTATCTATATGCACCATGGCCTGAGGCTAGCCAAAGTGTTAGAGGATGTGGCGGGTTGAGCGTGCACACCCAAACATACTTCAATATATATCTAGGTAAATGTTATTACACATCAATGTATGTAATATGTATCAATAACTACCGGACATAACCTCCAGTTTCACTTGTTCTTGAACATATTCAGATACTAGTCACTGGTTTAGCTTTTTGATACTACAGCACGGGTTGTTACAGACAGGCCATTAATGTAGACCAATTCAATATAGGTCTTGTAAGCGTGTTGAAACGATGAGTTTACTTGAATCAAATATGGATAAGCTGGGGCTATTCACATTGCTTCAGGGTAGAGGCAGCGTATACTCTCGCTACCCGTCGATCATGTGCGGGATATAATTATGGCTAATCCGCATTGTCATGTTAGTATTATATATAATTATTATATATAAAGATTTTAAATATATATCCATTTTCTAATCTTTCATATCATAAAAAATAAACTAGAAATATTAATTCGATCAAGACCAAATATATATATACATATTTTAAATTAAAAAAAATATTAACATAGTCGGTAAGCCACCCGGTATTAATAGAAGCAAACAGAATCAGGCATGGAAGCACAGGAAGCCAGGGCGCTTTTAGACAGTAGGAAACATACAATTTTCAAAAATCCTTGACTAGCCCTAAATAGGTAAGATGCCTGATTATTAAAAAAGGGACCCTGTATCTGATTAGCTTAACCTTGGCCGCGGGCTGGGGAGGCAGGAAAGCCCTTGAAGATAGTCATCGATGGAGAAGCCAGATAGAAATTCTTTGAGAACTGTACTAGAGAACACCTGCATTTCAAGGTCTCGCCATGAATGCTCTGCTTAGTGCTCCCCATCACTGCCCGTTAGTCACTGAGTGAGATTGAGCTGACTGATTTTGATATATTCTTGCCGGCCTACTGCCACTTTTTATTTGCTTCTCTGATATTTCCAGAGAGATCGTTGATGGATAGATCAAACCCGTCAACTATCACTCTGCCACCTCCTAGCGGTACGTCATACATAGAGTCTGAGTAATATCAAATTAGTAGTGGAACGGGGATGCCATTTTGGGAAGCATAATCCGCCAAGACAATTCAAGATAAAGAGATAGGCCTCGGCGGCATGATATGCCTCACATCGCGTGTATAAAAGGCCAGGAGACACCTACCTCTCCGGACGGGTGTGAATTATTCCAACTTGTTGAGGCCTCTTACATCCACAATACGTCTGGCTACGATGACGAGTACAAGCTTTAAAATGCCTATCCACATTACCTTTATAGGCACCGCCACGGCCGTTATCGAAATGAACGGCGTCAACTTTCTTACCGACCCTTTTTTCTCTCCCGCTGGGAGGGTATGGGACCTGGGCGTTGCTCTCCTCAAGGTCAGCAATGACCCTGGTCTTCAGATGAATCAACTGCCGCCGATTGACGCTGTTCTCCTGAGCCATGAGGATCACCCTGACAACCTGGACGATTTTGGCCGTCAACTGCTCGATGGGCGTCGCGTTTTCACGACACAGGACGGTGCCAAGAACCTCGCCCCTCGCCCTGGAGTGGCTGGTATGTCTCCCTGGGAGACCAAGCCCGTATACCTCAATGGCCAGCGGTACGAGATTACAGCTACTCCGTGCGTGCATATGCCAGGTGGCGAATGTACCGGGTTTGTGATTACCACGGTTGACTTCGGTGAAAACGGTGGTCTTCCTAACGCTATTTGGTTTTCGGGAGATACGGTATATATCGAAGAGCTCCAGGAAATCAAAAAAAAGTTCCATATCAGCGTCGCTATTATGAATATCGGTGGTGCTAAAGGGCCTAATGACGTCCCGCTTACTGTTGATGGCAAGGATGCCAGCCGAATCTTTAAAGAGATTGGGGCTGATACTTTGGTCCCAATGCATTACGAGTCGTGGGGGCATTTCACTGAGAACGAGGAAGCTTTGCGAAGGGCTTTTGAGCAGTCTGGTATTGCGGATCGCATCTGCTGGCTAGAGCCAGGGAAGAAAACAAAGGTCCTTTGATTTCGGAACCACCAGTATTTAAGGCTGCTATTCGCCATTTGTATCTATCTAGTTTTATTTTCTATTTTTTCTCCAGTATTATCATCAAGTTCTCAACGCATCTTTTGGATGAGTTTGTTCATTATGTCTATTATTATATCACTCTGGTCCTCGTAGTTACCTCTTACTTCCAGCCTGTGGAAACGGCTGACGTCAACTTTATAACTGTTGTTAAAATATGTAGCCACGATCTCGTATCGTACGGCATAGGCCCTTGCTGGAGCTATGTTAGGAAAAGCGCTTGCAGTTTACGCATATTGAAAGGAAGAACCTCAGAAGCCAGAGATGATAGGGAAATGTAAATATGTAACATACTCAAACGCTAGGAGTTGAGGATCATCTGCACCCCTCAAGCTGTAGCATAGAACTACTTCTCTGTAGCAACTATCACTTAAACATGTAAAAGAACATTTACCCTAACATCAAGAGGTGCATGCCGATACAATTTCAACCCGCCAATCAAGGATCCCGGCATCTGTCGTGTTGCTTTTAAGGCCGATGGCACACTGCCTCAATATTATTACCAGCCGCATCAATCACAAATGCCCCGTAGTAGTTGGCATGGTACATTGTTCGCAATCCAGGTTTGCCATTATCCTTCCCCCCGGCCTTGATTGCCGCATCATAAAAGGCGTCCACGCTGGCACGGTCTTGTGTCTATTAGTCTCGCTATATCCATGATACATGAACGCAAGAAAGCTTACCAGGCGCACGGAATGCAACGTGTGAAGCGCAGGTGGGAGGGTTCTTGTCACCAATAACCCAAAAGTCAGCAGGGGCCACAAAGCCCGTATCAAGGTTCGACGCCATTCCCACAACCGTTTCACCAAACTGCTGACAAACCTCGTACCCCAGTGGCTTTAAGGCTGCAAGGTAAAGTTTCAGGCACTCTTGAAGTGTGGCTTCAGGAACGTGGAGACTCAGGTGGTCGATGGCCATGTTTGGGGGATTTTGGCGCCGGCGGTAAGTTGAGTTGTAAAGAGGGTATGGTAGTTCTGCTAGTCCCCTCCTAAAGATGATGAGGAATTTATAGATTGCCAGGAAACAACTAGTGACTCAACTTTCGTCGCTTCATGTGCATCCATCTCAAACCATTTTCTTCGTTGGACCATCACTGTTGAAATCTTGGCGGAGCTCTATACTACAAGTGGTAAACCTCGTAGTTCGGTTTCTCCACAGATAGAAACTTTGGCCATATCGTCACCTAGTCGAAGATTAAACAAGCGGCTCGAATGCTTAGTCGCTGCCTTTGGGATTTGTGGCAAGGAACTATTTCTGTATTTGGATATACAATCCGCCAAGACGCGTAGACGTCAATGCATGCCCCACTGGAAACCCACTATTTCTGTTTCTATCTCAGTGGCTGGTCCATCAACGTGTAAGCGGGTCAGGGCTATTCTGTAGACCCATAGAACAGACTCTTGGATATAGCCTCTAATTGGCCTGGTCCTTTTAAAAAGCTCAACTGCCCGAAGGCAGCGACTACCGGCTTAGGACTAGTGCATCGCCACCCTCATCGACTTAGCCTCTTTGACGTCTTTTCATCGTGGCCGTTGGTTTCAGCTGCACAGATTCAACCATGTACGAACTTTCATAACCGTCGGTATTTGAATTTACAGCTTCTGTCTCGCATCCATGAAGCCACGGCAACGATCCGTGTGTAACAATTGCAGAAGGCGGAAATTAGGTGTAAGGCTTTGCATGCACATCTTCGTTCGTTTGGTTAAACCCCTAACCTTGACCACAGTGTGATGGAAAGCGTCCTGAATGCACTCAATGTGTTTTTGTGGGGCAGAAGTGTGACGGATATCCAAGTCCATGGACATTTGTCTCACAGCGCCCATGGCCAGGTGACCTCAGCACGGGCAAGAAAAGGGTTCGAATGGAAAACAGTGTCGAGCAGTCCTCAGACCTGAGACCATGCCAAGGCGCCGTTCTACACAATTCACATGCCAGCTTAAATGATATAGTGGTCGGGGCTGCGAAGCCGCCACGGAACACTCTCAGCTCAGACCTCCCACAAGCCAATTGGCCTATCCATGACCAATATATAGATACCATCGTGAAAGCATTTACCCCTAACGATCATGGATCATTCATAAGTCCTAAGTCTAGTGGGCGCGAACCGCAGATATGTGGGTCGTGGGTGGAAGTCCTCCCGCATCTCAGTGTTGGATGTGATCCGCACGGCGCTCTACCTAAAGCGATCAAGGCTCTCTTCGCTTCAATAGTGCAGCCTGGTCCTCATCAAGCGAGTGAGAGGCTGGACCCGATACAAGCATATCATTCCGCGATCAAATCATTACGAAGAGCATTGCCTATACCTGGGTACCAAAATCGAGCGGAGTCTGCAGCCACCATGATGTGCCTATGCTTGGCCGAGGTGAGCCTTCTATGCCTCTTTAAAACCTTATGATGTCGATTCTGACCCTAGGAACTATAGCTTATGCTTCCGGGATCCTCAACAGGTCCAGAAATGCATGCTAGGGGAATCACTGCGCTTTTTGAAACACATGGCCCCTCTGCAGTCCGGCAGGGGTTTCTGCACAAGTTATATGCAGGTTTCCTGCCACTCGTGGTGCGTGAGAGATTGGTGGTACTAGTGATGCTGCTGACCTCTTTTCCTAGGTACTTGAAGCATTCAGGGACCGTAAGCCGACATTCGTTGCGTCTGAAGAGTGGCAGAACGTCCCGTTCAGTGTTACCCCCCCCTCGGCTATGCAACGACTGCTGGGTGAAGCGGCAATAATTCCTTCTATACTTTATAAAATTGACTCTACATGTCACACATGGGAGAATCCTAATCTCGCTGCTATAAACGGAAACTTTGCCTCATTGATGGCAGCCCTCTCTCGGCTCGACGGTTTCGAATATCCAGTCAACAGCCACAAGGAGAGGGCCTGCCGTTCATTTGGTCAAGGGACATCTGACAATACTTACTGCTTCCCCGACATTATTACCGCAAACATGCTTACGCACCTATGGTCTTTCAAGCTTGTTTGTCTTCTTGAGATAGACAAACTGGTGAATTTGGGTCTCGGCCTACCTTTTCCCAGGCTGACCTTACCGGGAAACGTACAATTCTGCCACCTTGACCGACATATGATAAGACTGTCGCATTGGATATGTAACAGCATGGAGTATTTGCTGCAGGATGGTCTAGGTCTTTATGGCCCGGCATCTACGCTTTTTCCTCTTCAGATGGCATATAAAACCCTAACCCGGTATCCTTCGCAACTCGCACGTGTTGGTTACTGTCGACAAGTGGTCCAGCGGTTGGTTGAGAAGGGGATCCGAGTAGCGCCATATTTTATCTATTAGTAATGGGCGAGATGGCTAGGGTCCGGTGCGAACCACGTTCGAATAAACAGAGAAAAAGAGCTTCATATGCGGAATCTATTGCAGATAAGATTAGGTGGGTTGAAGTACGGACGAATAGTGCGAAAAGCGGTGATAGCAGTTATGGTTATCAGTAAGAGTTATGTTGAGCAAAGATGTGAACGCGTCCAATCCAAGTGCAATAGGTTGTATTCATATATACTAATGACCTAGGAGCTGGTAGATAGGTAAGTAGTTTTGATCGGCTGGGGTCTCTCGTGATCTTATCGAGCTGTATATGGTGACATGAACCATGCTGTTTACTCCATTGCTCCACTGGCATGTTGTTCACCGATCGTTTCAGCGCCATAAGCTGGCCATCACCTCACATAACCTGGTTGCCTGGCCGTTTGACAGTAGCAAGGTCTCTCTTCCTACAGGGCCCCGTTAATTGTCGTTTGCTTGTCAATGTGCTTGGCTCAACAGTCCAAGCAGAAGAGTGTCATTGGTGTCCTAGCCGAGCGGTTCAGGCTGTTAGAACTATTTCCAAAACTGGCGCGCTGGGCATCTATCACCCGTCGATTTCGTCGACAAGGATACCTGGGGCAAAGGGCGTTAGTTGATAGTTGATGGTATCTATAATGCTACCTACCATAGGTTTATTTGACACAGCGGGAGCGGGCAATTGACTAGAGTAATCTCGATGTAGCTGCATTTGGTGCGTGAACGACGATTGAACATCGGCCCAAATGGAACCAAGAAGAGAGAACAAGTTTTTGCGTTGCGATGGTTGCTCGCGAACTGGCCAGTCGCCGACCGTGCTCTGTGGGGAAAGGGCCATAGCAACTGCCATTTGCTGGCACAGTTTGCGAAGGTACTCTTCCAACGGTGCCTGTGCATAAGCCGTATAGAAGCCCCAGTCATGGCCGTGGACAAGTCCCAGGGACAGCTGGTACATGATGACGATGGCGTAGGTCAACCCATCCCACTGGCAAGACGAGAGCAGATAATAGTCAGATGCTGGGATGGTGAGAAAGGTGTCAAGGTATTGTTTTGCCCCGTGAAAACAGTGCTCTGTTACTACACTTTTCAATGCCATTAAAGCCGGTCCAGAGTCCTTTCGGAGAGAATGGCTGGAGAAAGTTGCGTTCCGGAAGGGGTTGACTAGATCGCCTTCAAACGAATAGAACAAGCACTCGCAATGAGATAATTCGATCAGAGCTTGGGGGCGTTAGTGGCAAATTGGCTTGACCAAAGGAGGACTTTCATACAGGATGTCCTCAGTAACGGTGGTAGGGACTCTTTGATTCCCTGAAGCGTGTTCTCCACGCATCTAATATCTCTTTTGAGTTCGGCCAGCGCACGTCGCGACTCAGCCTTCGTCTGAGTTTGCTGAAACATAGAGAAAGTGTGATGACTTTGCTCGGCTGCATGCTGCTGTTGAATCAGGCACAATATCAATAAATCCGTTGGAAGCTCTCTCATCAGAGATAGATAGTTGGCGCACTCCATGACATGATCTGTGCAAAGCAGAGAGTATCCCGTCCCGAATGTTGAGTGGTAGCTGAGGCGATGGGTATACGTCAGAATCTGCAGGAAGTATACAGAGGCGATGGAGCGGATACCCGGTAGCAAACTCACCATCTTTCCAGGTAGTATGTGCCCAGAAAGAGTCGCTGAGCCTCTGAGTCTAACGTAACGGTATTGCTGCTAACCTGACCCGATACCGAACGATGCACACGCACCCCAGCCTCCTTTCTGCTTCCTGTGAGCCCCATATCCTTGCAAAGGCTTACCGCCAGGGACAATAGCTGGCCTAGATGTTCCCGTCGAGGCATGGAAAAGAAATGGTACCAGGCCAGGTATACGAGGAGGCCTGACAGAAGATCGAGGCTTTTCTGGCCAGATACTAGAACCTGTTCAATGAGGTTCTTCCGAAGAAGGTCCCCAAGCGATGATTGGAGGTCAGAATCGTTGTTAGAAGTGCATGCGAGTACTCCAAGACACAAGAGTGGCCGTTCCCGTGCTAGACAGTGGAGAGAATAACTAGAGGGGAGGACAATGAACGGAAAATAGAGAGCCATGTCACGAAACTGGTGTAGGCGGCTCTCTGCAGTGAGACGGGATAGCCTGCATTGCTGAAACAAAATATCGAAGATGGTTTCACTATTGACTGTTCGGACAGTCGACCACAGGCTTGGTTGGGAGCTTGGGTTCCGATGGGCTTCCCTAGCTCTACAAGAGCCCAGGGGACTCTGAAGATGTGAGGCTGCTACGGAGTCGGCAGTAGACGTGAAAACACCCCTGGAGTCATTGAATGCCGCCTCGAGGGCTGCACGCTCCGAAGATCTTCCCCCAGGCCGAATGCAAACGACGCCAGCTTGGAAACATTTGACACAAATGGAAGACGTCTCGGCTGCAAGTGGCTGGCATTTGATCTTCAGTTGCCGACAGGTATCGCACGCGTTTTTCCCTCTTCTTAGTATTGGTTTTGGTTGAGACATCTCCATAGTCACGAGAACAACGGCCGGATGGCGGATGCTCTCAGGGGATGTAGATGAGGAAACTAGATCAGAAGTTCTTTCTCAACAGTCACGGTCCACCACGGATAACGGTAAACGGAGTTGTCTCTTATTGGCTCGTGCGCAATTCTCCCCACTCCTGTCTCCAGAAGTTTATGTAACGTCCAATTGGAGAGAGGGTTTAGATCATCGTGGCTGTGGGTGATACGGACTCTTGGTTTGATGAGTGATCCATCGTGGTTGCCGAAGAGCATGCTAAATGTGGATAGTGCACTGGAAATGTATATAAGGTTCTCTGCTACCTTGTTCAAAGTTCCTTGATCATGAAGCAGAGAACCTCGTTTATGTTTTGGCAGCCTCGCAGTAACAGACATCGACTTGCCTCGTCTTGATTTTCGACAACCAACATGTCCTCCAATGTACTCACAGTTGGTGTCTTGTTGGTGGGGGTTAACCAGTTACTGGATGTCTCCCCAGTTGACTTGCTTGGCATGTTGTCCACGAAGTACCTCAAGCTCGCTGAGTTGCCCGGCTCTATCCAACAAGAAGGGCTCGATATTAGTATTAGATACATATCGGATGTACCGGGCAATCATAAGGTCACCGCCGATGCAGCATTGGAGGTTACTCATCTAATTGATTCTCCGGAGTGTCACCCTGGCAAGCTGGACATTCTGATGCTTCCAGGATCGGACCAATTTAGGCCAAGCGAAGAGGTCGTCAGATTCATAAAAGGTCACGCTGCATCGCACGGGACTACAATCCTGACAATCTGCACCGGCACGTTCATGGCCGCCGCTGCGGGGGTATTCGACGGCAAAATGGCGACGGGCCCAAGGACATTTTACAAGGAGCTACGACAGCGGTTCCCTCAGGTCAATTGGGTCGACCAGAGATGGGTACAGGACGGAAATACGTGGAGCAGTGGTCAGCCCTTTGGTCTCTTGTCTTCGTGAGCATCAGCTAATCCATATTAGGCAATATAACAAATGGCCAGGATATGATCTCTGCGTTCATCAGACAGCGATGGCCAGGTATCTTGAGCGAAACGGTGCTTGGAATGTCCGATGTTGCGCATCGGAAGGATAACTATGACAATTGATGACATCCTGGTGGACGATTTCCCTGGAAACAGAGCGCGGAGCGAAGGACTGCGATTGTGTGCAGTTCTGAGGAGTATCATTGTTCTCTATCATATCTGGACCAACCACGAGTGATTGTTACCTAGTTTTCTTCTTTGCGTAGAGACTCGTCACCTAGCCTGTTTATGCTATATCAAGGAGTTGCGGAGCTGCGGGTGGCTGCTGTGACTCTTCGTATAAAAAGATGTATCGCAACACACCACTGGTAGGTGACGCTCGTGCGTAGCCCCCAGTTTCCCCGGAAAACCCCAACATGAATAGTACAAAAAGGCGGCACAGACTCTGCAGAGAACAAGGCCCCAGCGCTATAGTGGTATGTCGGTCTGGAATAGTAGAGTAGAAAGATACCCTAAGCCAATACATCTAATCATCTAACCAGTAGTTGTTCCTATAAATGTCATTAAACGGTAAAGATAAAATTTGAACTTTGAATTATTAGATGTATGACTGAATAACCAAGGGGGAGGGGGGGGGATATACATCAGGTAGGGAAGCAATCCACACGACATAGAACTTCATAAGACCGCCTGATCAAAAGAGAATGAAATTTCCAACCTGAGCCTCATTATCCCGAGCAAACTGTATCCAACCTATGTCGTCTGACTCCAGGCTTGACCAAAATATTCGCAAGAACTGTAAAGCTGTGTGATTCCACCACATCCCAGTAATAATGAGTACCTTGAGGAAGAGGTCCTCCACCATAAGCTGCTTATTCCTGTCTCCACGGCATTCAGTGCCTAGAATGAATAACGGTATGAACAGGTCATGAGAGAACTGTTGCTCGGAGCCGTAAATTATTGAGTGCACACATTGTTGGAGCTGTCCTAGGCAAGACTCCAGAGCGTCGTCCAGCTTGTCCGGCGGCGCCAATGCCTGGTAGCTGTAAATTATAATGGCATAGTAGTGCGATAGTATGACGGTTTCAAGGCACCCTCGCGCTTGTTGGTGCATGGGAAATGACGCAAGAGCGGCGAGAAGTCCATAGTAAGCGCCTTCGGCTCGCTGATGCCATAATTGCATTCGCACCTCGGGAATATGTTGGCGGTACCGCAAGGATGTATATCGGCTCCTTTCCATTATAGTAATCTCGCTGAGAAGCTTAGTAAAGGTCCACGGGGACTCGCTATGTATGTGCTCAAAGAGGAAAGCTGTAATGGGACTTGCCTTCTCGTCGAAGACTGATATCCCATTTAGAATCTCAATATCAGCTACCTCCTTAAGTAAAAAAGTCTCTGAAGGGCTCCTTAGCCCGTTGTATTTCCCCTGGACAACCTGAGAACGGATCACGGTTTGACAGGCCCGTAGATGAAGTCTCCAATCCGTGGATCCCGGGATGAAAGCATCTGCATAGCATAACAGGACTGTAGACGCAAGGATATCAGTGGGGAACCTTGGAAGTCGGCAGCGCCTGGAGGAATTCTGATCGCAAAGGAAATCGGAACGTATTCTTTCATTAACTATCCGAAGACTGGAGTCCCTCAGACGCTGGTAGATGAAACGAAAGCGTGCCCTTTCATCAGCAGACCGTGCACACGCAACTGATAGATGGGCAGCAGCGTGACTAGCCATAGCTAGGCGGAGACAAAGCGAATATGGGGCGATAGGCTGGATGGTGTTCCGCCATGGATTTTCTGGAAGATCAATCCATCTGAAGCGAGGCACGACTTCAAGGAAGAAGTGACGGTGAAGGTAGTTAAATACTAGAGCCGAGCTATATCTTTCAGTGATGCCCAAGTCTTTGCTTGCAGGCATAGTAGGTATCGCATCGCGCGGCTCAGTAGCAGTCTCAACGACAACAGCGGACGACTCTCCGGCCGCTTGTCCGTCGACGAGGCGAGTCATCACTTGCCTTGGGCTTGAATGCTTGTCTACCGAGATTTGCCGTCGCCTCGTCTTAGCAGATCCAAGAATTGGTGTAGTCTTTCCCATAAACTTTCCTCTGCTTGCAATACCCTGGTTCCACTTCAGGTAGAGTGGCTTAAAACCAGGACATTGAAGATCTCGACTTGCACATTTTGCGCATGTTGGGATGCTCCGATCACATTTCACGCGCCGATTAATACATCGAGGGCAGTCTGAATTTGCATCAATATGCGCACGCATCAGAATTGCCACTGAGCATTCGAATACGTACCATGCGATGCGACTTGACGATTGGGCAGCAGAGCGTCAATGCGAATATTCTTCCTCCTGCCTTCCCTTGGCATAATGACACTTTGCCCCCCGAAATTTGCACCTCAATTTCCTTTTTTTTTTTTTTTTTTTTTTTTTTTTTTTTTTTTTTTTTTTTTTTTTTTTTTTTCCTGCAAATGGCCACCCACGACTTTTGGTATCTTTGTGATAGTCGATGAGGAACTGGCGGCAATACCCTTCAAGGACGTTTGCGCTCATGCGCAGGCGGGGTCACGTTTCTTGATTGGCTGGATGCAGCTGACTCGGGCTTTTTGGTGGATCTGCTGGCCCTAAACTTTGAAGATTTGCTCGCCCCCCCATCTAGGCGGTGGAATCTCGTACGTACGAGTTGGGGCTATAGTATGCTAATATATATACTATCAAGTTGTTCCTCAGTGAGGCAGTTAGCATGTGTTGAAGAAGCCTATCCCAGAGTAATCTCTGATAACCCAAGGGGGTGCTACGGTGCTCTAGACGTTTGTCTCAAGATATACTGGTCCAGCCGCTCCAGTACATACGTCGCGGCGTAGAGAGGCAAACAGACTGTAGGTCGCCATGGCATGGTCAACATGAAACGACTGGTCCTAGCTATACTATTATGATTTCCTGCGGGCTCCAATGTTTCATTTATCAGGTGCGATAATCTCGTCCAGCTGAATGCCAGCGAGAGAACAGGTTTTCGACATCGAGCCCAGAACAAGTACACCGTGGTAGTCAAAAATCGCTGACCAGAAGTGGAATGCCACCAGACGTACTGTGCCCGTAATAATTGTGGGAACGTGGGGAATAAGTACGATTTGAACCATATGATGATATATGTGTTTCACGGCAACGCCAAGAATCGTTCTCACCGCTAGAGTTCGAATATGCGAATTCCCGTGAGGTGGGTCAGGTTGTTAAGATACATCCAGTCTCCGGTCTTCTCGAGCTCATGGTTCTCGGGACGATATCTGTTTTCCTTATTCAGCGTCTACCAAAGGACTTTGAGCACTTATACTTTCCGGGACGGGCAAGATCTGCTGGTCAGTCCGAACTCTGCAGACAATATAATGGCCGAGGCTTATCGTGGTGAAAGCAAAGGAAGTCAGAGCCAATGGCACCCTGTCTGTTGAGGACCTGGGTATTATGATTGATCGGATTAGGTATGGGAGTCGTTCACACACTCGTAGTTCAATAGAATACATTTTTCTATCCAGGAGCTTCGTAAAATGGACTCTCATATGAGATACTGCATTAGTACTAGCCTCAGAAACATCATTGAATGATTTTTGTCTCCACTGTGGGTTTCCCCAACTCTTTTACCCACACAAATGCTTTTCTCTCCCGTCCTTCCCAGTAGAGGGGCTGGGACGGCGAACCTTGTTAACAACTCGCCCCCGATGCGGAGAGACTGCGATCCCTCACCATACGTGCTTCCTTGGAATTGGGACTAGTCCTGAACTAGGAGCTCGGGCGAGAAACACACAGTGACTTCTCGAAGTTCGAGATCTTGACCAATGGACTACCCTCAAATGTCGACTGACCTGCGGCTGATCCTGGACACCACACCATAATTCTAGTCTCATCAGGGAACAGGAGCGCTGAATATGCTGTCTCTCAACTATAATTGGTTTGATCCGCCTTGCTCTTGAGGTCACTCGCTACATGCCAGGCGCATTTTGGAAAACACCAGATCCACACGGGGCTCATCTTGGTCGCGTATCTTGTAGCATCAGCACAGTAGTAATCGTCAATGTAAGACTCCGTGGCACGAAAGTCAAAGGGGGGAGCTCGGAAGAAAATCGCATGTGTACAGGCTATATAAAGGTCGAACGCTCTGCCGAAGATCCTACTCACTCGTTCTGTAACTCACTGCTTTGAGGTCGAGGAGCTACCACTTTTAGTTCTCCATTCTACGTATATTGACGCTTCGAATCTCTCCCAATGGCGACTCGGGACGGCTTCTACTTTGACAATGGTACTGCAGCCTTGCAACACGGCCTTAAATGTGCTGGAGCCATCAGTCCCCCAAATAACATTACTGGGAAAGAAACACAACCCTACGATGTGATCATTGTTGGCGCAGGCTACGCTGGCTTGACTGCTTGCAGAGACTTGTGTATAGCTGGTAAGATGTTATTATCAGTGTAAGGATACATCGCTCATCCGTTCATGCTCCAGGATACAATGTGCTCCTCCTCGAAGCTCGGGACAGGATTGGCGGGCGGACCTACACTGCTGAAGTCGATGGTCATTTATACGAAATGGGCGGCACTTGGGTCCACTGGAATCAACCGCATGTCTATCGTGAGATGTCCAGATATGATCTAACAGCGCTTTTGCCCAGCCATGTTGAGAGTAGCAGCCCCAATTACTGTGCCACATCATTTGAAGGCAAACACCAAAATGTGGACCAGATGAAATTGGTATTCATATCTTCGAATCCATGCCCCGATCAAGTGTTAGACCTGGCTGACTAGAGCTCAAGCACGCGATGACCGAGAAAGCGTTCAAAATGCTGTGCGACGTGGATGGCAAGTCTGGACGGGAAGTCCTCCCATATCCGCACAATCCACACCACAACCCCAAAGCCAAACATTGGGAACAGATGTCAGTTGCTCAGCGCCTTGATCAGATAAAAGCAGCGCTCACGGGCGACGAGCTCGCTGCACTCCAGGCGCATCTGTCGTCGATTTGTGGGATTGATATGGATAAGGCTGGACTGTTTGATGTTCTCCGGTGGTGGGCACTGGGTGGATATACCATGGATGGTCTATACGAGACAGGGGACCAATTTAAGATCCCCACGGGCCAATCAAACTTCGCACGTTGTTTCTTTGAGGAATCGCTTCAGAGCCATCACCTCAAATATTCATTTAATACGGTTGTAACGTCGATCCAGGATCAAGGAAATCGGGTCATCGTGAATCGAACTTGGTCTGCGAAACGAGTAATCTGCGCAGTTCCGTTGAATGTGCTCCGCAAGGTTGCCTTTGAACCGGCACTAAGCCCATCTAAGATGGCAGCAACTCGTCCTGGAAATATTAATCACGGTGCAAAGGTCCACCTCGAAGCATCAAGCTCAGCGCTCCGATCATGGTCGTGCGCATCTTGGCCACCAACGAGAGTCTGTCATGGATCTGGGGACGGCTTAACCCCAGATGGGAACACACATATTGTTTGCTTCGGCTCAAATAAAGACTTCCTTAGACCAGAACAAGATGCTCAAGATTTTGCGGCTGATTGCCAGAAGCTACAGGACATGGATATTAGGAAGACTGTAAGTCACTGCCCCATACAACACAAGATGTCAAGCCAGTAATGCCTAATTCATCCTCAGGTGTGGCATAATTGGAGCAAGGACCCATTTTCCGAGGGGTCGTGGTGTATGTTTCAGCCGAACTTTAGTTTCCAACATCTAAAAGCACTTCAGCAACGGGCAGGGAATATTCTGTTCGCCAATTCGGATTGGGCCCTAGGCTGGCGTGGGTTTATTGACGGCGCAATCGAACGAGGGGGACGAGCTGCGAAAGATGTTTCTTCCGAGCTTGACACTTTTAGGAAACCAGCTAAGATCTAATGCCCTTTGAGAATCAGATAAAGCAACGACTCATCGGCTAGGCTATTAGCGTCGGCTGTCAGGATAAACGCGCCGGTGTTTTGAAGAGTGGGGATTGCTTAACGAATATCACTTGAAGTTTACTCCATTCTTCTGGATACAGCTATCTCAACTCACCCCAACGAGGCCAATTGAGGAGTTAGTCAGACCGTATAACCCCAGCTCAATCCAGGAAGACTCCCTGAATTTCATCATAGCTTTGGTGTAGTATCTGTAGATGAGCGATTAGACCCACGACCGCGTCACTGATGGGTGCTCGGGATAGAAGGTAATGCTCTTGTAAGCCGGGTACCATGGTGGGGACCTATTCCTCGCACTACAAGCCATCTATTATTGTAGATATAAAGTTATGAAAGTCGCTATATTTTTAAAAATGAGGAGACATAGTCCATTGGAGGCAACTCGGCCAGTCATCGCGTGTAATTATAGGAGACGTATCTCTCGGCATTTAAAATTAAGCATAGATAGTCTTGCGAGAGGCAGTAACCTGGAAGTCCATAGAAATCCATACCACAGTCAAGTGAGGTAATGGCAACAGCGACCAATACTTCCATCCCAACAACCCAACAACGACTGTTGAGCCGATGGAGGGCGAGGGATAGTTCTCACTCGAGATTATCCCGAAGACTTCATATAGTCTTGAATAGGTAGGCACTACAAAAGGTGAAACAGAATCTCAAAATAACATCCCGTACTAACCTTGATTGGGAGGCTACTTTTTCTAAGCCACGAAGATAGGACTATTTGCAGCCAGCCTATATAATAGTTATATTACAATAGCCCTTGGGCTCGCCTGTGTCTGGCTGGCTGGCGTTATTGGGGCACGGTGGAGTAGCCTGATTGGGGTCGTATTGTTCGGCGCCAGCACACTCGTCGGCAGTTTCACTGTCAGCAATATCGGAGGTCTGTTTATATCGGCTGCCCTCTACGGTCTAGGAGGGAGCCTGATGTTCACCATGTCCAATAGCTTACCGCTCCAGTGGTTCAATGACCGCCTCGGCACAGCTAACGGACTGGTCAAGCTCGGGGGTGGCGTCGGTGCCACCGTCATGGCACTTGTTGTGCAGCAGCTCATTGATAAAGTCGGCATCGCCTGGACCTTCCGCGTCATCGCCTTGATGTCTCTGGCTAGTGGGATCCCGACCGCGCTGCTAATTAGGGAGAGGGCACCACCATCTTCCTCCTCGATAAACATGTCACCTTTCCGCAATCTGACATTCTTCTTTCTGTTCGTAGCCGGCTTTGTTGGCATTTTCGCCCTTTACATACCTTCTTTCTTCCTGCCTACTGTTGCCACCTCGATAGGGCTCTCATCCACGACTGCTGCAGCTGTCATGGCTTGCTACAATGCTTGCATGGCCCTAGGCCGTCTGGCCTCGGGCATCGCCTGCAACAAGTTCGGCTCCACCAACATGCTCCTCGTGACCATGGCCCTCAACGCTGCCACTATGCTGGCAATCTGGTCCGTTGCATCCACCTTTGCTGTTCTCATCATATTTACCGCCCTCAATGGAATTGCAAACGGGGCGTTCTTTGTCACCATGCCGACGGCCGTCGGGAGGCTACTAGGTCCACATGCAGCGCCTGCGGGCATAGGCATGGCCATCGCCGGCTGGAGCATCGGTGATCTGCTGGGTAATCCGATCGCGGGCTTCTTGATCGCGGCCACGCATGCGGACCGATGGGTGTGGTCTTATTGTTATATGTACCTGAATAACGCTGTTATGTTTCTGTGTAAACGTATCTTGGCTTGAATATCGACTCAGCCAGGAAGCCGCAGTCCAAACTTCGTTCACATTCCTAAGCAACTTCTCTATGGAGTAGCTACTTATTCTTCAGGTTACTATCAGCATAGGTTAATGAGATGGTTACTCAGCCCTAATACATCACATAGTAAGTCGTATTAATTCATTAACTATCATCGCAACGCATAATAGCTACAAAACGTGCTTTCAAGCATCCTTCAAGAGGTGTCTGAACCACCCAACAACCGCGTTCTTTCCTCTCTCCATCGCCGCCCTCTCCCCAGGCTTATTCTCATCACCGCGAATAAAACAGGCATGCACGACTCCTGGGAAATGCTGATAGTCGAATGGCACATTCAAGCGCTGCAGGGTCTCAAACGTATATACTTTCAGCTCCACGGGATACACCTGATCAATCTCCGGCGCAAGCATCTGCACAGGGACATCCACTTCATCGATATCCTTTCTCGTAAGCAGAGACGGATGACCGACGGCGATACAATCCACCAACGGCGCAGATGCATGTTCCTTTGCAGCTAGGCGAAACGACGCCCATCCACCATAGCAATAACCCACCACGCCGACTTTCTTATACCCAAGTTCCTGCTTCAGAGCACGTGCAGAGGCGAAGATCTCCGGCTCGCGCTGCTCTCTGCCATTTCGTTTAAAGAAACCCGGTAGATCGATTTGGTCGAACTTCTCCGCGGAAATGAGGTCGAAGTCTAGGACCTCCCCGCCGAAAAAGTCCGGCACGAAGACAGTTGCGCCAACTTCGCGGGCGAAGTGGTCTGCAAGGAGACGGACATTGGGGAATGTCCAGCCGAAGAGGTCGGCGATGAACAGGATCGCCACGTCTGGGTTATCCCCCGTGATGTAGACGTCGTTGTTGGAGAGTTTGTCGGTGCGGCCGGTGGGTGTGCCTTGCCAGGAGAAGCCTTGGATGCAGCACTTGGAGAAGGACATTCTGGTTTACTGTGTCGACGAGCGGGCTTGTACTCTACTTTGCTTGATCTGGTTGCTGAGCCTTTGTCGGAAGGTTTTGGTTTACGTCGACAGTGTTTATAAGCCATGGCGGACGTAAGCTTACTTATCTCCGCCTGATCGTCGCACGCTATATTCCTTCCGATGACGAGGCCTTCACAATTCAGTCGGTTAATCCCGGAAACCTGACAAATTATGTAGACAAGAAGACCTGGGGTAGACCATGCGGATTTGTGCCAGCCATTTGGCTCCCAATGATGGAATGAATACAGCATTATAGATGACAGTAAATGGCCTTTCAGACGGCCATCGATTGTTCAGTCCTAGTACTATTGGATGTCTCAACATCTTCGCTATCCTTTAGGTCACCCAACGTGTCTGACTAGTGCCTTTCATCTTCATATTCTCTCGCCGGTAGTAAAGAGTTAAGCAGAAGGCCAGAATTGCAGCTAGAAAGCTCATCCCAGCATTGACCCCATGACCCAATCGGTATGCCGGGGCATCCTGCGCTCTATATATCCAGACTCCGATGATTTGCCCGGGGCCCGAGAACGATATGTTGAGTGCGGTTGTTATAGACCGAGCTGTGGTCGTGTGAATATTGTCTCCTACCCAGGCGTTAAGTGAGGGTAGACCCCCAAAGGCCCCAGCAGTAGCAATGACGAGGAACGCATAGCGTGCAGTATAAGCCTTAACCGGAAGAGATGCTAGCAGATAATCAGCATTGCACCAATGAGATGAGGATAAATGTGATAAATGATTCCCTATCCGCACTTACCTTGAATAGCGAAAGCAACAAACGCAACAAGCTGGGAGCCACATGCGATGGCTCCTCGACATTTCAGCCGGTCTGAAAGCCACGCAAGCCCTAAAGTCACAACATACGCAACAGCGTAGGGCGGAACGGTAAAGAGCTGTGCTTGGAGGTCTGTATAGCCCAGACCCAGAATGATTGTCGGGGCGAACAAGGACAGCGATGCAACCCCAGCTGATATGGTTAGATATGTAAGGTAGTGAAGGTAGAGTCTTCCTGTTAGAAGGGTTTCCTTCGCGTCTTTCCAGTTGAGTTTGTCCTCACTTCAAAGCTCAGTCAGCAAACCTTCCCGTTTGAACGTTGGAATGATTAGATAGCAGATCAAAGATCACTCACCCCGAGGAACCGTCACCTGCTAGACGAAGCGCTTGGAACTTTTTCTCTTCATCCGTGAGCCACCCTACTTTCTCAGGGTAGCTTGGCAGGAAAAGAAACACCAGTAGGCCAGCGGCAACTGGAAGAGAAAAACACCATTAATGGGCCTTTCCGGTATCATAGAGAATGGACTTACTGGTGGGCACTCCTTCCACCAGGAAGAGCCATCGCCAGCCCTCCAACCCTCGAGCCCCATTCAGGTGCCCGACACCATATGCGATTGCACTAATTGTTGTTAGGGATCGTCAACATCCTGAATCTTAAATGATTGTTCATACCCGCCAAAGGCGCCTGATAGTGTGGCACTGCACATGAATACTGCGATTCGAGTGGCGCGTTCCGCGGGCTTGTACCAGAATGTGAAATAATAAATCATGCCTGACGGATGGAAGAAAAATTAGGCAAATGGGGAAAAACAGATGAAAGAGCGAAATGCCCTATATCAAATGGAATGAGAGAAGTACATACCTGGAAATGCACCGGCTTCCGCAGCCCCCAGGAGAAATCGGAGGGCTGCTAGCCCAGCAAAATTGTACGTAAACCCGATGCCCAAGCAGAATGAACCAAACGCAATGACAAGTAGACCCAGCCACCTAATTATGCGTTAGAGAGTGGTATAAGATGGCGTCTCATTCGGGCGTATTTGAAAGCCTTACCTGCGCGGTTGAAATATTTTCAATGCCAGATTGCTCGGCGCTTCAAATACTGAATATGCCACGAGGAAAACCATCATTGCAATCGTGTATTGGTGGTTGGAGATGTTGTTGGTTTCCAAGAGGGTATCATTTGTGGATGAATTGAGGATCTTCGCATTTCCTTAGACAGGTCAGTAAGTTGAGGCCATGGCAGTCGATGGGCACCTACCAATGTTCGACCGGTCGAGATAGCATAAGAGGTATATAATTGCAGTCGATGGTAGGAGCCGGCAATCGATTTTCCGAACAATCCTGGTCAATCGTAGGTCAGTGGATGTTTTCACTAACTAGAGGCGATCCTTCTAGTCCATAACTTACCTCCTTTCCAGGTCTGGGTCTATACTGGGAACATCCTCAAGTTCCTCAGCATGCTCACATTTGATGTCTCCATTGAGACTAGCTTCTACGTCACTTGAAGGCATTGTTTTGCGTAGTGAAGTAGAAGCAGATTGATGTGGTGAAACTTGAAGGAATTGGGTTTATATGGGATGGTTGGCCGTGCGACGGGTGGAATGCGAAGATAAAATGACAGCCCAGCCTGGAGCTGTGGAATTCTTTGAGGTTGACACCATGTCATTACGCCTACAGTTTGCCATGTCTTCCCCACAAATCCAGGCCTACTGCAGACTTTGACCCTGTACAGGGCATATTTAACCGGGGCAGCAGAAGCCCAGTTCAGGGAAAAGTTTAAAAAACAGGACGAGGGAACGCCACTGGCTGTGGATGTGTAAGGATTCGATTCTCAGTTGTATGATCAGCATCAACACCATGGTATCGGGGAGATATCCGATCAGCATAACGCTCTGAGTCTTGCGGGGTAGGGTTTGTCCAGCGAAAGCTGCAGGATGGCACGGTCCTCTCGCTGTATGTGGTTTGTGCATGGGGGGAGACATAACCACGTCACCAGTAGACACAGAGTACTACCAGATTGACTCTGACTAGAGCAACGGCTTGTTCTTGTTAGCTACCCAGGATATCATTTATGGGTGGCGTTATTTCTCCTTCGTCGGAGATGGTGGTGTACTCCCCGGTGTACTCATCCCAGGTTTGATATCACGTAGAGGATGCGAGGCAACCCCCGCTTCGGTCTCTGGGCAAACATGGCATCCCCGCAAGTGGAGTCTGGTCTGGTCTGATCTTCACACCACTTGCACTATTTTTGAAGCACCACCGATGTGGGGTTATGACGAAAAGTACGAGGAGTCGTGTTGAGAATTTACGTATCACATAAGACGGGATAGGACCGCGCTTTCCAAAGAAGCGTTTAATCTCATTGTTCTTCGCAGAGCTACTTGACGACAGGCATCATGCATTCGAATGAGCCCAAACAAGCCATCCTTGACCGTGCCAGATCGCGAACGGTGATCATCACAGGAGCCGGGGGAGGTATCGGTGCGGCAACGGCCAAGGAGTTTAACAACCACGGTGCCAAAGTGGTCCTTGCAGATATACCAGCCCTCGAGAGCAATGCCCAAGACCTGATTGTTTCGTTTCCATATCCTGATAATGCTGTATTTATTGCAGTCGATATACGGGACTGGCAGCAAATGCAACGTCTGTTCAAGCAAACAATTCAGACATTCGGTAGTCTAGACACCGTTGTGGCCAATGCCGGCGTGATGGAATCAGAACATGTTTTAGATGTGGGGGACGTGGATCGCGAGGGAAACCTGCGCGAGTCACAAGAAGCATCGAGGGTCATCGATATTAATATCAAGGGAACTTTAAATAGTACGGACCACACACTTGATAATGTTACGGCCACTGATAGAGTTCATTGCCGGACTTCTAGCATTGCGGCTTGCCATGCACCATATGCGATTACCATCGAACCTGCAGAAGGGCCAACCGTCGATTGTTCTAGTGGCATCTACATCGGGATACTTTGGAGGGACCGGGGTCGCAGCGTACATCGCTTCCAAGCACGCTGTGGTTGGACTATTGAGAGCATCCCAACTAGCTGCAAAACGGTATAACATTTCCATCACCGCCGTCGCCCCCTTCTTCACACCAACAGCGATAACCTCCGGCCTAACCGAGCGCTGGAAGGCGGCTGGATTAGAAGCAAACACCCCAGAGATGGTGGGGAAGGTCATATTTCAGTCAGCTTTAGATAACAACAACAGTGGCAGTTGCTTATTGGGACGTATTACCCCAGCCACATTTCATTGGAATAATGCCAGACTAGACTAACTGTGAGCAGATTGCTGGAAGGTTTCTGCGCGAGCTAGAGCTGACCAGGGGCGATTTGATCCCAGAGTGGCTAGGAGCGGATGTGAAGGAGTTCATGGACAGAGCTTTTAATGTAATTCAGGATACAGGCGGCTATGAACTGCCAAAGATCAGGGCCAAAGCGTGAAAGGTGTACGAAAATGAGATATCCGTCGTTTGGACCCTTGATGCGCCACTAGTCTCCTCCCTCAGGCTCTGGATGATAAACTAGCTAGCACCATGATGGCAGCTTCGAATCATTGAGAACCTGACAATGTGTGAGATACAGACCATAGACGACTTTCTGCGAGATCTATTAAAGTCACGATGTGTATCCAATAAGCCGAACAATATTTCTCGTCCCCGGTATAAATGGCACACCCATGGTTGCAAACTAGTAGATTAGATTCGATCTGTATCTTTCCCATTTTGCCTGCATTGATCTACCTATCTGTATTGCCTCTATTATTTTATCAAACGGAGGCAATTTAAGGGCAAGCATCCTAAGCAGCCATGGTGATGTAAGTATCCAAGAGCCCGGGGAAGCTCCGAAACCCAGAGACGTGTCAATCCTGGCATAATACCTTCCACGACGACAGGAGGGAAGGCATTGGAGAAAGTATATCCCATGTTTCAGCTAATATCCGAGGTTATTAGCTGCATTCTCTTGCCTACAGAGGCTCGGACCTTTGCGGGGACAATTGAAACAACTCCGGTCGATGTTCAAGAAAGAATGCAAAGCAACCCCGCAGTGCTACGGACACTTGCCCGAGAGTGACGCCAGACCATTCCCTCTGATACGTATATCACTTATAATTATAAATTAATCCTGACTGCTGAACACCACCATTTGAAGGAACACCGCATTTATCTGGACCCTGCTGATCTTGTCCTGTCACAGCAAGAAAACCCCTGCACTATCCAGGAATTGTACAACTTTCAGCAGGAAGCCCAGCCTCGTCAATCTTACAATATGGCCACATTTCCAAAATACCCAGACCTCCATGGTAAAGTTGCCCTGATCATGGGAGCCGGCCAAACACATGTACCGGGCTCGGAAGCATGGGGCAATGGGGCAGCAATCGCTCGATGCCTGGCCCTAAACGGCGTCCGGGTTTTCGGCTGCGATGTGAATCTCCAGGCGGCAGAGCGCACTGCTTCACGAATCCAAGCCGAAGGCGGGAAATGTGATATTGCCCAAGCCGATGTGGCATCTGAAAAGGACGTGAGGAGAGTGGTGGACACCGTGATGGCGAAGCATGGCCGAATCGATATCTTGATCAACAACGTGGGCGCCACAGTAGCCGGTGACCCGGCCAGCATGTCCCCTGATGTCTGGGACAAACAAATTGACCTCAACCTGAAGACTGTCTACCTAGCGTGCCATGTGGTGCTCCCAATAATGGAAAAGCAAGGATCGGGTTGCGTGGTCAACAACGCCTCCATTGCGGGCTTGAGATATATTGGGAAGCCACAGGTCGCATATTCTGCCGCAAAGGCTGCGGTGATCCAGTTTACGAAGGTCACAGCGGTCATGTATGCACCAAAAGGTGTTCGATTGAACTCGGTAGTACCGGGTTTCATCCACACGCCTTTGGTGGATAATTTCAAATTCAGCGGGCAGCAAGAGGTTTATGACAAGATCACCCGGCAGCCCGTCCCTATCGGGCGCATGGGAGATGCATTCGATATCGCCAACTCTACAGTCTTTCTGGCTAGCGACGCGGCCAAATACATCACTGGACAAATATTAGTTGTGGATGGTGGATTTACAAGCTCCGCTGCGTCGCTATAATGCATACCAACGTTTGCTGTCCTTCATTGCCGTGCCGTGTTAGGTGTAGGGAAAAACCACAAAGCAGAAGCGAAGGCCTTCCGCTGAAAGTGACAGATGGTAATAAATGAACAAAGGCAGAGGGCGCGAGGGGGGGAGAGATCAATGTGAACGAAATAGCACTCTGCAAAACAGCTTCACCCAAAACCCAGCATAAAATCTCCTGCCAAATTAATAATTAACCCCACTTGCCACAGGCATATGTGGCAAATGCCCACCCTAGAGCTATAATACAGCGTTTTATGGTGATCACTATCACTGATATCATTTTACCTAACGTGATGCCCTATTTTTGACACCAGCCGAGCCCTAGTAAACCCATGTCCATCGTCCGGTCCAGAGAATTATTGCAATGGATGTATAGCCTATACACCTGATTGAAATAGCCGAATCCCGCAGTTTGAATATGTGGAGAAGCGTTTCGGCAGTTGGGCTGTGCGCATTGACCGGCACTAGCTGTAACTATCAATGGGTCTAAAGTAGATATAGAACGGTAGCGCGGGACGACCTCCAACCACTTCATGTAGTTGAAGTGGGCCTGGAGCGAAGGATTCTCGCTACCATGTTTGAGCATTATTCAGTATGAGTGCTGGTAGTAGCCATGTGGACCGTTAATTGCGCACGCATCATAAACTGCCGGCCCCGCCCTCCTCTGCAGAGTTCAGAATTATAAGATAGATCTGCAGTTACCGCTGGATAGGTCAGACTCTGCCATCATGCCGTCGTTCGAAGAGACCGTTAATTTGCTCCGCCATCCATCTGGGGAGGACAAGCAGCCCCTCCCACGGGTTACACTGGGTGCCATCAACAGAGATGGTATGAAGCTTGCAGAATCAGCATTCCACATTTGCTAATCATCATAATCCCTGAGAAAGGCTCCTTTCACTACGCCAAGGCGTTTGGGGACGACTCTACCGATATACCAGACACTGATGCCGTACATTGGATCGCGTCTTGCACGAAGTTTCTGACCACCGTTGCTGTGATGCAATGTGTAGAAAGAGGGCAGCTAGACCTAGATGCTGACATAGCTAAAGTGTTGCCGGAGTGGGCAGATACCCAGATATTGACGGGCTTTAATGAGAAGGATGAACCCATCTTTCGCCCAGCCACCAAGGCTATCACCCTTCGGCAAGTCGTTCGCATAATGCTTTAGCGCCGAATTATAGATTTCTGTGCATATACTAATGGCTCCCAGGCACATGTTGACTCACTCTAGTGGCATGGCATATGTGTTCATGCACCCACTCCTGGCTCGCTACCAACAGCTGCAGGGCGAACGGCCACTTATCCAGCAAACTGTGGTCGGTAAGCCGGTCACATTCTAAGCGCCACAGCTAATCTCATGTAGAAAGAGTCCTATCACCCTTTCCTGTTGTTCGAACCTGGCGAGCGCTGGCTATACTCGCCAAGCATCGACTGGGCAGGGGTCGCGGTAAGCTCTGATTCTTCTGACTTATTAGGGGGTTTGTGACTGACAACATGAGATCCAAAGGTCGAGCGGGTCACTTCCATGAAGCTTGGGGATTACATGAAGCACCATATATTTGACATCGTTTCCGCCAAAGACGTTACCTTTCATCTTGACCAACGAGAGGACCTTCGCGCGCGGAAGGCAAAGAACTGGGAAAGAGTAGGCCAGAGGCTAGAAGAGGAAAGGAATCCTGTATGGCCGGACCCAATTGCAGAGGACCAAGGTGGTGGTGGTCTCTACGCAACAGTCAACGAGATGCTCAAGGTCTACCACGGCATTCTCACCGGAAAGCTGCTCCGGCCTGAAACTATCAAGCTCATGTTCCAGCCCCATTTGGGAAGTAACAGTGGCCTTGACAAACCAGATGAGTATCCATTGCCGGTGCAAAATGCAATCTGGAATGCTGTGCCGCATGACGTGCCTGTCAGCTTTGGGCTGGGTGGTCTTGTTAACACCGCTGCGATTCCTGAGCAACGGGGGGTGCATTCGCTCACCTGGTCCGGTATACCGAATTGCTATTGGGTGAGTCATTCCATTCCAGAATGAAGATTTTAGCTCACTCTTTGATTACTTTAGTGGATCGACATTAATACTGGCGTCGCTGGTATATATCTCTCTCAGCTTGTACCGATGGGGGATCAGAAGTCTGTGGAGCTGCTTACAGAGTTCGAAAAGTTTGTGTACTCGTCGTTGAACTAAGTTCAGTTCACAGGTGTACAAGCCCACTCGCACTCGTAATAATCTAAATATACCTTCTTATATTTCTATGAGACCCCAGGTTTAACATAATGATAATCTTCATACAGCGAGAATCTTCAAAGGATTCCGCCATGTTCACCTCCTGGCATCAGGAACTGAGTTTGTGGATATTTATGCTAACTACGATCAAGTAGCCTCCGTAATAGTCAGTCCCCACGTTCTTATGAACACCTATAAGTAGAGACCTCAACGGCACCACACGCAACAGGATTATCCTCCGGGTTTCCCATGTTGCCCCAATTTGCAAAAAGCAATTTCCTTTTACCCTGCAAGGTGACTACCCACCCCCATCTCATACCCCCCGAATAGGCCGGCCACTTGCCCACGTCCACTGTTTTTATCATGCCTGGGTGAGCTGAATCCTCATTCACAAAGACTACCTCATGGCTGAGGGCGCTGATCAGTCCGATCGGGGTGTGACATACATGTCACATACGGTGTGTTGTGGGGCGTGATCGGGTTCGTATCGTTGAAGACAAGTGGAACTCCCTGGGCCCAGTTCCAAGGGGGATGAGGCAACCTTGTAATACACATCACAGTTACCCTCGCCGCAATACTCGTATACCATGATGTATGAATCAGTTGATTCGACGTGGGCGACTGTTGTCATGCAGTTCAGCGAGCTAGCATCATGCTGATCCTATACCAGTATTTCGGACAACCCAGTACATACGACCACAGGGTGTGGAGAACAGCGCTTCCCGTCCGCTTGGCTATACTTAAGTCATATTGGAACCGTATAGTCAATTTGTTTAAAGCCCTAGACTTCTATTTTTTTCTGGAAGAGGACTAGAATCAAGAATAGAAGAACTGAGACCAGTTAACCATATCCCCAAAAGTTCTCTTCCAGCACGTTGTTGTGCCATTGATCCACAAGTCTTCAAATTGTAACTAGTCGGAGGGTACCCCATAGGAGTGAGAAAAGCAGCCATAGTGACGAGGAATTAGTCCGGATTAAATAACGACATGGTAAGATTTCTAACTATACTCCACAGATATTCGAGGCGAGGAAGTCAAAGACGCATTAAAACGCAATTAAAATGGCCAAGGAAAATCCCGTTAGTGGCAGAAAGATGACCTAATGCCATCTAGGTGATGATTCCAGTTTTCGACACGACCACACCAGAGCATTTCTCCATTGCTCTCCTGGGCTGGTAACCAACCAGGTCGTCGATGTGTTCCGGCTGATCGAGAACATCCGGACGATTCGTATACATAGTCCTCCCAACAACAGCACCTCAGAACTGATCAGATTTATTTGTCGGCTCCCTTCAGCGAGTCTGAAGTTACTCAAATCGAATAGACATATAGTAATCCTACGGTGTAAATTTTGATCTCCTGCGAGGAAAGCCACATTCACCTATGCTATGTGATTAGCGCTCTAGATCTCCTCATTGAAGCTGGACTATCTCGAATGGAATGTCACCATGGAAATTAGATGGCGACATCCGCTAACATGGATGCCAAGATGGCATGTCGTTCACTTATTGGACAATTGTGGAACCCATTCGCGGAACATGCAGGCAAGGCTAAGCATCCTTACTTGGTAATAGTGTGGCTTAGACTAGTTACTAGGTAGGCGCCTAAAAGTTTTAGGGCATGGGTCGAAAGTAATGATCTGGAAATAAATACTTATCACCACACATCTTCCATCAGTTATCACGGTCGGGCTTTGCTACTATTGATTCCTTTCTAAGCAATTTTCTACGGTCATCTTTTAAAACAGCAAGGACAGTCCCGGCTTGTCTACAGTCAACCGCGCCTAGATGATGCTGTGCACAGCTTGTTGCCAAATATTTGTCGGTTCTTTGGACCAGAGAACTCATACACACCATCTTCATGTCCATGATCTTGAACAAGCAGCTATTCACAAATGCCACATATGTCGGGTCTTGTGGAATGCAGTTTCTGACCATCCACGGCAGTCTAAACAGCCTAAAGAGTATGAAAAGCCATTCCCTAATCCAGTTTCACGATATTATATTCGCTGCAAATCTGCCGCCAGAAAATCTATCTTGGAGCTTGGCTTTACTGTGAACAAGAACGGCATTGACACTTGGGGGAGGTCTATTACTTTCTGCTTGCAAAACATGAATGGTAAGATAGAACCAATTACATGCTGTCGCTATCAATAACCAAAATGCTTACTCCAATTTAGTTGCTGGCAGCCATATTGATAACAACGTAACTTATAGTCCCAATACGTGGGCACCTAGCATGTCAGGCGCATTGAAATGGTTGTCGAGATGCCAAGCTACCCACACCAGATGCCGGTCATCTTCAGTATCTGGCTACACCCCCACGCGCCTTCTTCAGATAGGGCAACCAAGCTTCGAAAAAATTCGATTATCACTTTGTCCTCAAAGAGAAGGAACTGCAGTTCAATACGCGACGCTCAGCCATTGTTGGGGGACTTCAAAACCCTCTAACTACTCGACATTGAATTCGATATCACTGAAGAATTTGCATGAAGGAGTTCTTATTTCAGAGTTGGACCAGGTGTTCCAAGACGCTGTGTTCACAGCTCGGTCACTGGGCCTTGGTTTTCTCTGGATAGATTCATTGTGCATATTCCAAGACTCTAAGGCTGACTGGCAACGAGAGGCACCACTTATGACCCATGTGTATTCAGGCGCAGTGATAAATATCGCAGCAACTATTGCGGCAGGATGTGATGTGAGCTGCTTCCCAGAAAGGGATCTATCTTTGATTCAGCCGTGCATCATAAAATCCGCCTGGGATGACTGCGAAAATCACCAGTATATTCTCTACCACAATGACTTCAGGGATGCCACGTTTAAGGATCTGCCTTTGATGAAACGAGCATGGGTTGTTCAGGAGCTTTTGCTAGCGCCAAGGATTCTTCATTTAACAGGAAGCCAGCTGTTCTGGGAATGCTATGAATTGAATGCGTGTGAGACTTATCCGGGAGGTTTACCGCCAAACATTCATGAGCAGTGGTTGACAAGAGATATCTTATGGAATTTGCGCTTTAGCTCCAAGAGCGACCTGGAACTTATGGGAAGGAACACGGCAAATGAGGAAATCGACACCATGAGGAAGCTGTGGAAGACAATCGTGGAAATCTACACCACAGCACGATTGACATATGGAACAGACAAACTCATAGCCCTCTCAGGAATTTCGAAGATTATTGGGCGTTACCTTGGCGACGAGTACTGTGCTGGATTATGGAGGACATCCCTTGTCACTGACTTGTTCTGGTTTGGCCCATCAGTCAGAGGAGAAAAATGTTCACGGCCCAACCCCTACCGTGCACCGTCATGGTCTTGGGCTAGTGTGGACGGTCGATCCTCTGTGCCAATTTTCGTCAATGGACAACTCGAAGATATACAGGCATTAACCAATATAATTACCTGTGAAGTCCAGACCGCTACGGGTGACCCCTTTGGAATCGTTACAGGTGGCTTTCTGAGGGTTTCTGGGCCACTCGCAACAATCCAACTTGAGCTCAAACATGACGATGAATGGCATGTTTTCTTTGATGGTGCTTGGTGGAATGATAAAGTACGCCTTTATATCCGCCTCGACTGCACTCCTTCAACATATCACCTTCACTGTCTACCGTTGTTTCTTGATAATCATCAGTTGCCAACGTGGAATATGTCATGTCTTTTGCTTGAACCTACCAGGAAGGCTAGAGGCCAATTCAAACGGGCTGGCATTCTGCACGCCTTCTCTGGAGCAATGGGAATGCAGGTCTGGACAAATTTTGAAGACACAAAGAATGAAAACTGGCTCGAATATGAGAGTAGGTGTGATGGTGGTGGATATGTGATTACTATTTTGTGAATATTATGTATGCGAGAGATGATGATCTCCCCCTGTCCATAGACATTATGGGCTCAATGATCTACAGTACCGAAAATATGACTCATGGCTTTCTAATGGATTGGGGATTACCAGTTGGGATCCTCACTCTTGTACAGGGCAAAATGGGTCCAGCGAGTACGTTGAATGGTAGCACCGCCGCCAGCTTTCAGGACGATGGATTCTCACCTTTTCGTGGAGTCCGGTGTCAGTACTTATCCCCACGCTTTGTCTAATTCGGATACTTCGCGGTATGGAAAATTGAGTTGGCTATCAAGCCCCTAAAATGAGACGGGATGGCTTCACCTGGTCCGCTGGTTTACCCAAAGCTCCCGAGTAAGGTACCATGCAGGCAGGGCCCGCATGAGAGAGGGAGGGTGCTGACTGTAGGGCCCAGAAACCATAACATTGCACGATCTCAAAATGCAGATCTCCATATATAGAGGTATCCTTCGGCATTGGCCTGATCTCTTGTCTCGAGCGAAGCTTCTCGTGGATTTGACGTGGTCTACTGATTCTAGTCCCAAGTCAATATAGAACGGTGAGGGTAATGAAGGCTCTGTGTCTCGTTGTTGGCAGAAGCAAATATTCTTGCTGCCTATTGTACAAAGAGGCGAAGTGCATACGCCCAGGTACTGATTGTTTCACATGGAGGGGTAGCCACCAGCGAATCCCTCCTGTTGTATGTTTTTTTGTTTGGTAGCGATACTACAAAGATAACTAGTTATCTTCGGGGTTTACCATGGGCTTTCCGAATATCCGATAACCCCCGACGATGTCTGCTACTTTCCCCGATTTTAAGACCAGCGATTGAGATCCTGCATTATGCAAGGTATCATCTTGATGGGAAATATTCTATTCTGGTGACAAGAAATGTGTAACGTTTATTAGCAGTCAGTGACCTCAAAGAGCATGTCAGCGTAGCTCACCACGTTGGAGACTGCGCAAAGAGAGAATGAATACAACGGGGCAAGGATTATGAAAAATGATCTCGACTAAGTTGGACTAGATAACAGAAGTTCACCGAAGACCCTGACCATAGGCATAGTATCCAGCGTGCTTCGTATTTTATTAGTAGGTTCAATATTCAGTCTCCCACCAGATTGAACGCAACAGACGACGGTTCATTACAGAGAAACATGACAACTGTATGGAGGAAGACTACGGACTGGCTACCTATTCGAATGATTGACAATATGGAACTAGATCTTGATTAAACCGGTCCTCTCTATCCGAAAGATGGAAAAGTGTAACCTTGCTATCCAATACGGAAGTGGAGTATTGCAACCACTGACGTCGTCTTTAAGCCTTGTGGGATAAAGCCAACTAACAGGTAATAGAATCGTTCTGCAATGCGCAACATACGTCTTCATTCTCCGTCCCAAATCTGAACAGTCGGTCTGCAAACACATAGAAATGAGACAGTCATTGCCACAGAGTGCGAGGGTATACAACTGGGTCTTCCTGTGGATCTACGACTTCGTTGTTCATTATCTGGTAACGCGATTCGCTTGGCGCTGCCCGACTGATTCTGTCTTAATCCCTTTTGTCCGGGCGAATGCTGGTCCCCATCATATGGATGTGGGTGTAGGCACCGGATACTTTCTGGCGGCAATGAAAGAAAGTCCCGGAGAAGATCCTGCCTCCCTGGCCCACCATTCAGGAAAGCCACAACCTTTGTAAACCTCAAGTCGCTGCTTAAGGAGCACGGGGTACTCTTTGGCACCACGGTTCTAGGAAAGAACATTCAATAAAATTGGTTTGCGTCGCTGTTACTTTCAATTTACAATTTCTTCGGAGTATTTGACAATCAAGGCGACGAAGCGAAGGATTTCACCAAGCTTCTCTCGCGAGAGTTTGAGCATGTGGAAAGTGCGATAGTAGGGTGTGTCTTAATCTTCAAAGCAACGGCCCCACGGAAGACCTAATACTGTTGATCATGTTATTATATCACGAGCCTTCATCCTCTCGGTGAGCTAAGTCTATGAACAGCCGAGCGTGCAAAACATGAGATTAGGAGATCACTCGAAACAATAATATCCGACCAGTCCCGGAATAGTTAAAGCAAAGTAGTGACTTTAATACAAAACATACCTTCGAGAGTTCAGTGGATTAAGATAGTACGGAACTGATGGCCCGCACCTTTGCCGTTATCACTAACAAACAGACCTGGACGGAGACACAACATAGAAGAGATGTACAAATATTTGCTTGTATGTTTGACACTTGTGCATAGAAAATCGGTGGAGCGTTGACCCCGTAAGAGCTTTCCTCGTTATGATTGCCAGCCTCCTAATACAGGGTTGAGAATTCTTCCACACGCAGCATACTAAATTCCAGTTACCTCAATTACACGACCAACATGCCGATGAACCCACAGCTAGTAGATCAACTATCTATCAATACGATACCCCCATTGTGCACAACCATAATCAGGACCAATCACCTTCATCAACCACCGGCTCATGTCTGTCTGAAGCGTCCATGAGCTCCTTCACAGTCCACGGCTTGTAGGTGTAGCCCGGAGGTACGTTGGTGTTCTGGAAGGGAGCCCGGGTCAAAAGATGATTCGCACATTTTCCGTAGTTATCATAGGCGTATTGCTCTGGGTTATGGCGCATAATCCAGTCAGCAGTAGTCTTGCTAAAAGTATCCGGATTCTTCGCTACTGCATCCCAGTCGGTGTTATGGAATTTCTCCCTGTGGTGGAATCCCATTTTCTGGGCGCACGACACGCGTTCGAACCTGTATATTCGCGGTAAGTATAAGACCATATTTCCGTCTTTAACTCGCATTATTGCATACCTCAGGTGGTTATGAACTCGCACAGCCAAGGCGAAATTAGACTTGCCGCCCAATTGCAAGCACGTTGCCAAAGAGTACGCGTCTTCCATGGCCATTGCCGCTCCACTACCAGACGTTGGCAAGAAGGAGTGAGCAGAATCACCAAGCTGAATGACTCGAGCCTTAGGTGAGGCCCATTTCGGTTGAGGATTGCGCCACAACAGCTTCCAGTCCGTACAGCAGTTGTTGGGAGTAGCTTTAATCAGCTCAGTCAAAAAGGGTTCCCATCCTTCAATGTATGTCAAAGCCTTCTCAGTAGACACAGTTTTATCCCAGTCTTCCTCCGCATTGTGATCGTCCTGCGGTTATAGAATGGTCAGCCTACCGGCAGCATATATGCATCTCTGAGATCTAATCCGACATACCCGATGTGTCAACATGTAGCAAATCTGCCTTGACGTCTTTCCCACGGCCACATGTGCCCCAGGGCCCGCATGAATCGAGGCACGATCGACGTAGCCTTCAAACTCTTTAGCAATGATTGGATTGTCGAGTGCTGGTCCAGCGGGAAAGGTCGCTCTGTAACAGGCAAATCCGGAGCTGATGGGAACATCTTTCGTTCCCAAGACCAACGACCATGCCTTGGAGCCGACGCCATCAGCAGCTACGACAACATCTGCCGTAAGCATGCTTCCATCGGCAAGGACCACGCCACCTTCCACATCAGTTTCGAAGTAGTCTTCAACGGTAGTTGAGAAGTCCACTCGAATACCTAGCTCCTGGACATACTCCCATAATGCAGAGTGGAGCTCAGATCGGTTGAAGGCCATTGACAGGTCCTTTCCGTCACCTAGTGGCCAAACTCCCACCCATGTCCCGTCGAACTTCTTGACGTTTCGCTGGGACTTGTACGAGATCGCCTGCAATCGCTCATAGAACCCTGGCCAGTTCTTGATACTGTGAAGGGCGTTGCATTCTATCAATAGAAGATCGCCTGTATTCATTGTTGCATTAGTATTTGGTGTTGTGAGGGTCAGGTCAGTACTCACCGTAACCATCAAAGTTCGGGCGCTTCTCTATGATGCGGACATCATGGCCTTTACGATACGCCTCGATCGCAAACGTGAGGCCACCAATGCCCCCTCCAGCAATGAGGATGGACAACCCGCTAGAGGGGTATTGCTCCCGAATGGTAAATGCCACTGAGCTTTCCATTGCCGTTTAACAAACTGGCTGCGGTAGTTCAATCTAGAGAATTGATATTCTAAGTTGTTCGATGGCACGGATGATCAGAACAGGGCTTTACAGCCTTTATATATTCCGTAGGAGGCATAATCTCCACCGTAGTCCGCTCATTGCTCGGAACTTGCTTCGTTCCGGAACGATAAACCAAGCCTGATGAGATTACATCACTCGTAGCATTATAACTCCTAATCAGGTATTTGATACTATAGAGGTATACTGAGTGCGGATGTGATCTTCATGTGTGGGCCTTTGCGACTAGTGTGGCTGAGCTTTGATATGTAATTTATATCACGTTATCCAAAAATCAACAGATCCAGAGTTCCAGGCCTAAGAGGACAAGGTGACGATTGCCTTAGTCTATTTTATGTCGTATACAGCAGACAAACTATTCTTACCAAAGGCTATCTTCAAGTTGAAGCATCCTAAGGTTGAGAAGATTCAAGACGAACCTAGTATGTTATGGACTCCAAATGTTGGCTAACAGTGAATATATTGAACACTTTTAGGTTCTTTAATATCATTCTATCAATTTTTATCATAGAGAAGGCTACTATAGTCGATGGAGTAGACATAGTACGTACCTACCGCTCGATGGAGTTCGGAACTTCCTCACTTCCGCTGAGTCAGCGACATTGTCTTGGTCTTGAAACCATCCATCAATTCATGCGACTGCTTGTTCAAAACTGTGCAGTTTGTGGAGTATAAATCGTCTCATACCCGTCAGATGATAGCATTCAAGAGCGGGACATGACCTGTGACATTGTATGCGACCTCCCTCAGAAACAGTTCTTGGGCCCATTAGGGTTTGACCTGCACCTAACCTCCTGTTGCAAAATATATAAATCTGAGCTTCCCTTCCATGACCCTGAGGTAAACTTGAGCTTTCTTGGGACTATGTCTGCTTTTTATTGGTATTTCTTTTTTTCTTTCTTTTCCTTTGCATTTTTCTCTCGTTACCACCACGAAATCCTAGTTGAATAGTTGCTGGGTACGGGGTAGAAAGACCGTTTGCATTAGTCTCCCTACCATTCTCCATCGGCCATAGTTCGTTGTATTATGTTACACTTGACAGCATCAGGTTATCGTGACTGACTGGCAAGCGTCCAGAATAGCTCCTTCATATATATTGGAAAAAAGATACAACCTGTAGTGAAGAGGGACTATGGGGCAAGTCTCCAGGCGAGTCTCAGCGCTCCTCAGCGACCGCCACTATTTTCCCACCTGTGAGGATCTTCGGATTAGGGCCCCCCTCCAGGGCAGCAAACATGCTAACGTGGAATGGAGACATAAAGGGATCAGTGGATCACACAACCACCATTTCCTACTAGGAAACCTACCTCGGTTCCGTAGATCTCCTAATCTATTCAACCCATTTACAATTCCTGAGTGCATGTGTATCACTAGGCCGTCACGTGTCGACCCCGCTACCACAGTCTAGGTCTGCTCCTCCCAAGTTCCTGCCCACAATCATCCTCTTCTTGCTGAATAACCATATAAGTGTTAATATGTCGTTTCCCATCGATGCTGGAGGCACCAACCCTTTCAGCATAAGCGCAGACAGAACCCCTTTAGTCCTGGATGAGTCGACACGCAACCTCTACAACCGCGCCATATCCAACCCTTCCTCATTAACGGATCAAAAACGCCGATTCATCACCCACCGCTGCCCACCTGACGAGGAAGACACCCTCTGCCAAAATGCCTGCGGCTTGTCCATGGGCGAGCTAGTTACCAAAGCCATCAATAGCAGCAACAACAGTGGTAATGACAGTGATGGCTTCTCCCTTAGAAGCCTCGCCCTGAGTTATAAAGAAGCCAGTCTCTTAACGGCCGGCGTAGTCAAGGGACGATCGGGCCATATCCTGTCCGAGGTGGCGCGCCTTTCTCCTGAAGATCGGGACCTTAAGGCTCGAGCTATGGAAGCGGCGACGACGGACGATATTCGGGCTGCTAGAGAGGTGGCGCAGAGGGTTCAGAAGCGATGGCTAGAGGTGGAGCTGGCGGCAGCCAAGGCGCTCAACGATGATGACACTAGGAATATTCGGTTTGCAATGAAGGTTCCTTGGCAGGAGCATGTACTGCAATCCGGTTTAACCCCAGCGCGTGATTCTGGTTCTGGTTCTGACTCTGGTCCTGGTGGTCAGGGCCCTGGTGAAGCAGGTGGTCGCTTTGGTCTCGTGGTATTCTTCCCGAAAGAAGAAGAGGAAGGAGGCCGCCTCCCAGAATATAAATCCTTGATCGGAACTGCTGTTTACCATGGACTACACTATTCACCAAGTCTGATTAAAGACGAGACGAGAGACCGATTCACATTGCACTGGGTGGCTGTTCCAGGTAGTAATAACGGCATGGACCCGAGTGCCTTACGGAGCAGTTTCAGCACAATGCTCTCAAATGGCCAGATTCCTGCTGGCTTTCGAAGTGATGTTTTTCTCTATGTGGATGACGAGTCGTTCCGCTCGCGTGAAACAACACGGCCGTATCTCTGGTTAGCTGAGCCTGAACCCCAGTCCGAGTCAAAGACAGAGCCAGAGCCAGAGCCAGGAATTAAGACTGGAACCGGGACCGGAGCTGCAACTGGAGCACAGCCCGAGGCTTTGCAACCCCTAAAAGTCGACATCCAGCATATCGCCCCGACATTGTTTGCGCGGTTGGTTCAGCGTGATCTCCAGGGCGAGGCAAGATGGAAGCCCTATCGGCATACCTCGGAGCTGACCAGGTTGCATGCGGCCGCCAATTCGAAATATAGAGAGGAAAAAGATGGGATTTGGCCGCCACCTGCTCGATTGCAGTAGTTGAAGCTACGCGAAACTAGCTCATATTACGTTTGACAGCGTCAGGCTATCGTCACTGGCTAGCAAGCATCCAGAATAGCTCCGTCATGGGGGGTTGAAAAGCAGAGTAGTGGATCTTCGTAGGCCCTCGTCGGCAATTGTCCTTCCATTCTAGCCGCGGATTAGCTTATGATTTCTGCAAAACGCGAAGACCTTTCGCTTTCCGGGGTTGAAATGCGGAGAGGAACCGGCGGTCCAGATTGCACCCGATGCTCTCCACATCCCGAACTAGACGCATCCTTTAGTTTACCTACTAGTAATTGTGGAGCCACATGGGGAAGACGTGCCTGTAGCAAACATCATTGTGCTAGGTACAGGCAATTGTAGTGATTCTACTTATCAACTGGGAGGGGGGGGAGACACACCTGCATGTTCGTCTGGATAATGAATGGTTTTTGTGTATTCGCTATGTATGCTGATGTAGTACGCGTTCGGCGTTCAACCAAGAACTAATAAATCAGCTGTGCCGCAGTTGATGAGCTGAGCGGACCTAAAGGCAATGCCTATGTGATGTTGATCTGTGCTGACTCGAACAGCTGGAACCAAAGCAGGAGGTTCGGCATGTGGGCACTATACCCGTGATTTGCTCGCCACCAAGTGAGGCAGGGCCTAGATTCGCATGAAAGACTTAAGTTGTATGTGGTGAAATTTTTGAAGACGCAGCATCCACACTAGGCGGCTGTATGATCCATACACACCCGGGTACATGCATCCACTTCGGGCTTCAGCAAGTGTGGATATATTCATCTCTTTGGCCGACCTTTGGAACGGAGACAAGTCTCAATGCATTCACTTCGGGCGATGTGTATGTATGTCTCAACGTCATCATCTCCCGAATGTTAAATCAAGTGAGGAAATATGCCGACAATCTACATCGGCATATTTATATGGTACAAGGACATCGTCGGGTTTGGGGATTGATTGTGGAGCCGAGTCCTCAAGGAAAGCCGAAATGTATACCCTATTCGTTCCCCGCAGATACTAGGCTAAGGGTCATTGCACATTATGTATCCTCCCGAACGAGTGCCCTTGTGAAATCTGGGGTAGCGGTGCCCCACTCGCGATCAACGACTGGAGACCTTATATTAGCTTGTTGCGTCCTCATATAAACCAGCGGGTAGTCCTTACTTCACAAGACTCGGTGTCATTGATATCGATATTCAAATACTCGTGTTACGCGTCATGAGTGGATTTCGGCACGCCTTTTCTATGACCCGGAAGGAGGTACAGGATGCGGTACCTCCTGGGACTATCTCTCTATCAAGTGAGTACCTTTGACAGCACAGTATTACAGCTGGCTTCGAAAGTGTGGATTTTGGCTAATAGTAATCGGTTCCCCCCAATCCAGTCTATTCCCAAGAATCTGCGGGTAGAACACATCTCAAAAATAATGGCGAACTAGTTCTGTCTCCTCAACCGTCGGAAGACCCGCTGGATCCGTTGAATTGGCCTACTTGGCGCAAGTTCGCCGTCCTTCTTGTTATGTCACTGTATGCCGCCATTGGAAACTTTACTTCCGGTTCAATTGCCAGTGCGTTTCCCTTATATGCCACGCCGATGGCTTTCAATCCGCCGGTGTCTATTGGGAGGCTGGGCCATCTCGTCGCGGTTCGTGCTCGACATGCATATAATTCTCACTCTTCCTTGCCCTCTCTTTACTTTCGAGCTTTGTCCTTTCGATACGTGCTTGGATGCGATGGCTAAGCTGCATCAGGTTAATGTTCTTATGATGGGTGCTGCGAATATCCTGTGGGTGCCGTTAGCCAATACGTTTGGGCGACGACCCGTCAATCTATTCAACATTCTCCTTCTGCTGCTCTGCTGCGTATGGGCCGCACGCGCTACATCATTTGGAAGTCTTCTTGCTGCACGCTTCTTCATGGGAGTTGGCGTCGCTCCAGCTGACACGAGTAAGCACCTCTCGTCTTCCTCAATATGCAGCTCCAATGCTAAAGGTACTACTAGTTGCACCAAACGTTGTAGGTGAAATCTATTTTGCGCATCAGAGAGGAAAGGCAATGGTAGGACACCTCTCCCATAAGAGAGTCATGGTAGGAATTCCAGAAACTTACTTCCTATTTTTTAGGGGTTTTATACGGTCTTCATCTGCATAGGCCCCGTCCTGGGCGGTATCGCCGGTGGTTACATAGGGGGAAATCTGGGTCTGGCATGGATCCATTGGGTTAATGTGATTCTGTGCGGTATTCTGCTCGTCGCCTGTTTCTTTCTCGTCCCGGAGACGCTTTACGCTCGTGAGACCATAGCTCGACCCATAGACCCTTCGTTAGACGAAGATGGGAAAGGTGAGGACGGAACAAACGCCGTCAAAATTGAAGATATTGCACAGAATCGTCGTGTCTATTTGGAGCTTACATTCATCCGCTCACTCAAGCTTTACACCTACCACGGAAACCTTCTTCAGAACTTCATTGCGCCTTGGTTGACACTGCGTCTTCCCGGGGTATGGCTAGTGATGTTCTGGTATGCAGGACTGGTCGGTGGGATTGTGACAATCTCGACAGTAGGCCCAACGCTCGCTGCCAAGCCGCCATATCTATGGGGCAACAATGCTGGCCTCATCTTGGTTGGCGGTATTGTGGGAGCATTGCTCGGGGCAGTGGTCACGGCGCTCTCCGCAGATCGAATTATTACTACGAAAAAGACATTGCGGGGAGAAGAAAACATGGAGCCTGAATCCCGTTTGCCCGTTGCGCTTCCGGGTCTGATTCTAGCAACAACCGGCTTGTGGACCTTCGGCTTCTGTGCACAGAGTCCTAATCCACATATGTGGATCGGGATGCAGTTTGGCCTAGGAATGCTATCCTTTGGGCTCATGCAGGCACCATCTATTGGTTTCAATTATGTATGATCTCGCATTCCCACACATGATAGAATGATTCTTTTTGGAATCTAACTGATCATCTCTTACTCAGCTTATCGACTCCTATGGCAGCCTTTCGGCGGATTGTTTTGTTGTCGTGACGTGCATGCGAGCGATCATCAGCTTCTGTTGGACATTCTTCGCGAGTCAATGGGTTGACAGTGCTGGTCCCGCCATTCCATTCGGTGTCTTCGGAGGTCTGATGGGGCTCTTCACTTTGTTCACAATCCCACAGTGGCTGTGGGGAAAGAGGACGAGAATTGCAACAGCCAGTTGGATACCAAAGTGAACTTCATCGGAATAGGGACTTTCTCGTGGCTCCCAAGGAGCCTGTCATAAAGTGGTATCGATATGTCAGACCTTAGCTTCTCGAATTACGACCGGTTGTTTTCAGCCATAACTTCGAAATGTCGCTTCTGCACGCGTTATCACATCCAAATTATATATGGAGTCCTCACATCGTAATCTTTATGTTAATTGAATATAGTCTGACGCTGTAGGCTGACATGAACAGAATGCGATCTTATATGGACGAGACCGGGACATCACTTCACACTATCCTTAATTTTCTCATTACATGAAATAATACGTTACAAACTTAACTAATACAGCTGATATAAAAAAGATCGAAATCTCCCTCCTCTATACGCGGGAGACGCACATTTAAAGAGGCAATTGCTAATTGCAATAAGAAAAAATGTAGGTACATTAGGTTAGTAGCGAAAAAAAAGGTGCCATGCAGCCGACTATGGACAATCTGTAAACATACGACGAGAGCAGATCCATTCCGCAAACCTGAAGCTTTCCACCACCTGGGTTAAAGCAATAGTAGTTTCACCTCAAATATACTTCAGTACAGAGTCAGTGTGGGCAGCTATAGAGTATCAAGCTGTCGAATCTCGCAAGTACACGTGGGCAATATCTGCCTTGAAGCTATCTTGTTATACTACCCATTCACGGATGGCCTCAGCCCATACATAATAAGTCCGTTACTGACCAACAAATATCCAGAAAGGTCTTTCATAGCTAATATTGGCATATCGCAGTGCCCTAAATCTACCGAAATAAACCAATGCCGGTGGATTAGGGGCTCCTCACTGAATGATTCATGAAGATCGGATTTCGACCCGACAGCCATCCGCAGCAGAAAGAACAAGGGTGAGGCGTTGTCTTTCACTTCCAACAGGCTCTACTACCTCTCCAACAGGCAGCCCTATGTTGGGAAATGCCTGCAATAACACGATGGCTGTGAATTTGATCTGATTCAGAGCAAAGTCTCTATCAGGCACTGTCTTGGCCCGCCATTGAAGGGAAAATATGCCCATCCAATCTGGCCCAGCTCGCCAGTTTCCCACCGTTCTGGGCGGAAGACGTCCGCATCAGGCCCATAGATGTTTCTCTTTCGCGAATTGACATATTGTGAAAAGGCGACTAGCTCCCCTTTCCTCACGAGAATGGGACTGTGTCCGTTCTCGCCGCCCCCAGTTGGTAAGATGGTTGTTTGTTTAGCTTCGCGATTATTCAAAGGAACGGATGGGTAAAGACGTAACGCTGGGTGTATTTAGCATACGGAGTGATTTTTAGGGCGGCAAACTGACTTTCTCTGATAACACAGTTAAGGTATGGTATGCGCCCCATCTGGTCTCTCGAGGGGTATTGAGACTGTCCCATAATAGAAGATACTTCATCTCGCAAACGATACATTACGTGTTCGTGTCGGATAAGTAGGCGTCTGGGTGCTATTCAGTAAGGGTTTAAACCAAGTTGCAACTTCCAGGTACGTACAGCATCCATGAGAGGCAGCAAGCCGTGGTGTCTCTTCCAGCCCAAAGCACATTAAGTAATTGATCACGGAGGTCTGTTTTGCTTATAGACTCCTGGGCAAGCTGTTTAATAAAACTGCAGGCCTCATCATTTAATGCGTCAGGAAGGTCCAGCTTCAAGCCATCAATATAATGCTCCACAAATCGGTGGACATCAGCACAGGCTCTTCGAAATTTTGGTGGATTGTATAACCAATGGAATGGAGCTAGGCGAAATCGCTTAGCCAGGCCTTCTTGGGCAATGTTAAAACTTTCAGTAAATAGCTTGTTGTCCGAATCTTGGTTAATGTCTGCCTTTAAACTGTACACTGATTTCCCGAATAGAAGTGAAGTTGTTATGTCAAGCGTCAGGTCGAAGAATAGTGGCTGAAGGTCGACCACCGCGTTCAATGGCACTCGGGCTATTAGATTATCAACATGCTCGTGGAGATGCTCCATGCTTCGACTCTTGATTCGAGAGAATTGTCTGCCAAGAAGATCCCTCGAATGCCTCCATGCTGGCCCTTCTTGGGTAAAAATGCCATTACCTAGTAACGGCGCAAAGACTTCCCGCCGTGCACCTAAGCCGTAGTCTAAGTAAAATAAGTATCGTATCCTCAGATTGGCTATCTGGGGTGTCTTATGTACCTTCAGAGTGGGTGGAGAGAATTGCCTCTACATTCTCTGGTCGCAGAATATGAAATGCCCGCGGTCCTAGTAATAAATATTGCGACAAGCTATTTCCGGGCTCGTATTCCTCTGCTACGGAGCACAGAAATGCGAGGAGGTGGCCTTCTGCATTTGACGTCCATAGTTGCTTTATACGATCAAGGCCAAGGGGCCATCTAGTGGGCAGCTCTGGGGGAGGCTCGCAAGCATGCTGGCGCGCGAGAACTGTGTCTTTCTGCTACCAGTTAACGGACTTTGTCCTCGATTCCTCTATGGTTTCAATTAACCTGCCTGAAATTCTCGGTATAATGAGACCAGGAAGCAGTGCAATGCACGGCCAGCAGTCAGTCCAATCAAGAACTTGATGACGGTTGGGAAGTCCATTTTGAAATGGAATGGGAGCATCCCAAGCCTAGCCTCTTGAAGTCATGATGGTGTTGCCGCATTTTAATCATAATTATGTCCCTAAGTGCACAAAGAAGTCTCTGACAGATGCAGATTTATCAGTGTAAGACTTGAGAGTCTCGTGATAAGCCCGGATTTTCCAATTCCTTTCAATAGGAAATTAAGTTCACTATTTTCTTTAACTGGTGGTAGCACATATTTCAATGAGATATAAGCACTAAACAGGCCTGGCTGTACTAAAGGGCCTGTTACAAAGAAGCTACGACAGCCTTGTTAATCCGTAGTGACAGCTGAGTGGCTAGGCCGCCAGATGAGCCATTAAATGATACATCTGTTTTTCCACCATCAGCCAATGCCCCACCAGAGGACAAATGCCAGCCAACCATAAGGTTACTGCGAACACGCTATACGATTGGAGTGTGTGCTCGGCAGGATCAGGGGGCTCGACGCAGGGAATAGCTCCACCCAGATGGTAAAGCTACTACTGCTCTTTCCTCTTCGAAGGATCCTTTCTACGCCTAGTCACCATATGTCGAAGCTGCAGCGAAGCAACGGTAGGGTTGTTCAATCCTAGGTATTAATCTTTCTTTATTCTATTCTCAGTCGTTTTACCTTTGAATTTACCCCGGTGGTTTATGGTAAGCCATGCACCGTAATATTAAATATGATCTGGTAGGGCTTTTTGGTTCATAGGACTTCCATCATTGGCCTGAGACAATCGACGTGTTTTGGGAGCTATGGTAGGCCTGAGGTGCTTGCTACAGCAAGTTAAGAAATGTCCCTACTTCACTTGGTTTCCTGGCCTTTATAATATGATGCATCCTTATAGAGTTGGTGGGCATATTGCATACCATGTCCTATATGTCTCTGAAAGGGGGGAATTGAACTGTTCTACAATATATATCCATATCGTCTATGGGTCACCGGATATCTACTCCGGAGTACGCGCGAAATATGGCAGCGATGTAACTCCATCGCCGTTTGCAGTAATGTCGGCTTAGGGCTGTTCCTGGAACGTTACAACCACTGCACGTGACCTTGATACATTCAGCAAAACTTGGCCAATGTCCAATGAACCAGGGGGGTTGCATGATTTTAAAATATAATTCCCGTGGTGGAAGGTTACTTAGGTGGGAAATCTTCTGATTTTTCTGTTATATGGTGCGAAAGGGTAGCAACAAAAGATTTTCTCATTTAATATGCTGCCAGCTCTAGCCGTCCTTCCACGACCACAGGCCTAAACACACCGTCGGATATCTCTCACTTTTTTCAAATACAAAAATGCCGAACTGGATCCTTGGGGATAAATTCGATACTGTCTATCCACATAAGGGCTCTGTCAAGACCCTGTGGGAAACGCGTTGGAAGTTTGCCGTGAGTCATTCGCTCATCGCGCCGCGATCGACTGAAATTGACTAACAGTACATTAAAGTGCCAAAAAGGAGTTTATCCTTTTCATGATGGATCTTATGAGGACTTCGAACCAATATTCCAGAAACTTATCTCAGTTTGTCATCAAAGGCCGGCAACCCCTTTGTCGAATTGTGTGGCCACTGACCAAAGATTTCTCAACAATAGGAAAACATCAATGATGCTAGCACGGATGAGTATACGTCTACATTTTTTTCTACTGCGTCGGACTTAGAATCTCAAGCCTCGCAGGCCCTTGACTCTGGCGAAACCGACCTCGCAATCGACCTGTTCCGACGTGCCGCGGTGGTCTACCGTATCTCGCGCTTCCCCTATGTCGACATAACTCAGCCGAACTCCATTAAGCGGACCGCATTCGAGCGCCAGAAACAGGTATACCTCAAGGCCGCGTCTCGATGGGATCCACCGATCAAGGAGGTGATCATCCCACACAGAAGCCGCGGCGGAAATGATGGCCAAGCAATCCCGATATACACGCGCGTACCGAGCAATGCTCGCCCCGATAGCCCCGTCCCGGTGGTCCTTATTATGACCGGACTAGACGGATACCGACCAGATAACAGCCAGCGGAGTCACGAGATTATTGGTCGTGGATGGGCTGTCGTCATCGCTGAGATCCCAGGTACAGCGGATTCCCCTGCCGATCCTGCAGACCCATCCTCTCCCGATCGGCTCTGGGATAGCGTGTTCGCATATATGGCAACGCAGCCGATGCTCGACATGAGTCAGGTTGTGCTCTGGGGTCTCAGTGCGGGAGGTTTCTATGCCATCCGAGCTGCCCATACACACGCAACCCGACTCCGTGGGGCTATTGCGCATGGCGCGGGATGCCATTATTTTCTGGATGAGGAGTGGCTCAGGCGCGTTGATGACCATGAGTATCCTTTCTCGTGGGTCGTTCCTTTCCTTTCTAAGTGAGTTCAAGGAGCTAATCCTATACAGAATCATGCCGGGATGGACAAAGAAATACGGCTACGACGATACCAATGTCTTTGTGCGAGAGGCACGAAAGAAGTTCTCTCTGGTGGACACCGGGATTGTCGATCGTCCTAGTTGCCGGTTGCTGTTGTTAAATGTATTCATCTGCTCTCCTTGTATGAATTGAATGTGGCGTATCTGACGAACATGTAGGGTGTCGACGACGGTCTCACGCCAATTGAAGACTCTTTGCTTCTTTTCAACCATGGCAGTGCTAAGGAGGGAAGGTACGGCAGGATATGAATGACAATCTTGGTTGAAGTCGCCGCTAATCAGTACACAGGTTCTTTCAAGGTTTACCGCATATGGGGTACCCCGACAGCTTGCCTGTCGCTTACAAATGGCTGGAAGATCTTCTGCCTTGTGAGCCGAAGCAGAAAAACTAAAGATTAGCTATGCGTATTATTGTGCTGTGGAAATGGTATTAAAAGCGACCAGAAGGTTAAAAGGCATGCTTGCCGGGGGCACAGTTATTGGTACTGTTGAAATGCACCATACTTAAATAGCTGCAATTCACATTAATCTACGTATGCCAACATTCATGCTCTGTTCGTCCAGGTCATTGATTTCTGAAGAATCTACGTTAACTTGTCCACCCTAGTTGACTCACCTCACTACTCTGACAGCCTTAATCAGTAAATTCCATCTGTGATATTGGACATATGGTATGTTTGTTTAAATTGCTCACAAAGGTCTTTGAGGCACATAAAAGAGGGCCGATTATATCTGTACTAGACAAAGGCGACTAGACTGATAAAGACTGTTGCACATGGTCGGTGTATGCAGTCATTCTCTAGGTCGGCATGACATAAACATATGATGATTACCTTTCCTCCCCGCTACCGAGACCTTAGTCTAAATGGTTTATTGAGCTACTGACTCTTAGCTGAGGGCTGCTATAGTTTCTGGTGATACATAGAATGTACATGAGCACTAGACGATCGCTGAGAACATGATCAGTAGAGAAAGCTTTCTGAAGGTGAGATCCTCCTTCTTGTTCACATCAAACAGTTCCATCATTTAGTCTCATAGCCCTACATTGTCAACCTAATAAATCAAAACAAGCTACAGATGCGTAACTACGTGGCAGTCTTACATAGAAGGCTTAGTAGCAGGGTCAAATAATCTCCATATCACAGTGACGCAGCAGAAACGAGGGAAAAACCAACAACTTAAAACTGGCCTCATTCTACACCAGCATTTCATCTTAATGGAGGTTTCTGCCTTCTTCGGACGGGGTTGTTGTGCTTTTAGAGGTGAAATTCACACTAAGTTTAAACTCTAAACTGAGATACCATATCGCTGCAAATTCGAATATACTATCTATAAATATAATTAAAGATTAAATAGATTTTCTTAGACTTTATATCTAAGTATTAGTACGTGTATATATAGTAACATTGATAACATAGAATCTTGACTTCTAAAATATTTCTCAATTACTAGTACCACATGATAGTACCGCTATAAACTAGGAAATCTATATTTCTGACCCAGACGGAGAAGTAAATATAATTCTGCAATGCACGGACAGTCACTTTGCACCTTGGAATAATTATGAAGAGCCTCCTGCTAAAGAGCCTTCTGCTAAAGAGCCTCCTACTGAAGCGCCCAGTATATTTAAAAAGCAACTTGAGAAGGTATATCAAGTATTATCCTTCATAACAAATTGGAAAATGGTGGCAATGAACAAAACAAGCTTACCATACCTAAATCTTAAACTAGGGAACAAGTGAAAACACAGGTTTTTCGTATCTAAGTATTGGCAAAACACTTAATACTAGTCTCACCTGTTTAAGAAAGCACTTACTGAGGACTAGAAAGAAGGTTTTTATCAATGTAAAACTAGGGTAGTCGAGATCACTACAAACGGCTGGGATCTTGCGGCTTTCTTAATTTTAATATATATTTTTTACTCTTTGTCCCAGAATCTATCTCAAGAAATTAGTCTAGAACTGCTTACTAAAGTTACTATATTAATAAACTACTACCAGTACTAAATTTTAGTGTAATCTTTTGTAGATAGATAGATCGAAAGCTTGAGAGTTAATCTTTTCACGATATATTTTCGCGATTCGATACTCTGGGTATAGATATTATAGATCTTTAGATAGTCTTGTAATTTTGAAGAATATATATTAATGTCACAGAATTGATAACGATCATGCAAGGTGACTGTACAGTATACCCTGCCCCAGGTGCATGGACATCTCGGAGGCCGGACGGCGCCTTCGGTGTCTATATCAGTCACCTTTTCAATAACGAACAGTGGTCCCCCTCTGAGAATTCAGTACTCTATACAAAGAACTTTAGGGATCCTCAGCTATAAATTAACAACGGAAGTAGTAGAGGGAAAAATCAAGAATCAGTCTCTGTCGATAGACTATTTACTGTTGTTTTGCCTACGTATCCTTACCTAGTCGACAGGTCTTCTACCCTGACTAGTAGATAATCTTGACAATTAATTGCTATTTTATAAAGTAGTACTCGTATAAAGTTTATAAATTTAAATCTGGGAGAATATAATAATAATTACCTAGATAATATAAATATATGTAGATATAATACAATTACTTTTATATTTATCTCACTAAGCTACGTGATACTTTCCTAGATGGAAGTCGTGGGTGTACCTTTAAATATAGTTCTCTTATATTTGGAGCTATTATAAAGTAAATTTATGTAAATAGCTTACTCTCTCCATAACTTTAGATACCTTCTATAGGTTTGAGTTATAATAGACTGGTAAAGGCCGTATGTGCTATGAAATTGTTAAAGTGACGAAACCATTACTGTGCCTGTGAATCTTTGTCTTTTTCCTTGCTAATAATTATACTGGAAATTGCAGTCAAAGGATTGGATTCATCTTTTTTCCCTGCGATTCCTTCCTGAATAATGCAAAAGTCACATTGATTGAGCTGGATCTTCAATGAACGGAAAACTAGGGGAAATCAATTTCCATTTCTGCTAGAGATATATTCCCTAACAACCAAGTGAATCCTAGGCACATATGGCGCTATCCCAGTGATTCATATAGTATATAACAATATGCCAGTACGCGCTTTGATCATCTCTACACGGATAGTTGGAGTATATATAACAAAGTAGGATTTAGAACCATTGTCCTGGTCCACAGATACTGTTAATAACTCCACATAAATTAAACAGCCAGGGATTCCGCAATATTTATATTCTAGTGTAGTTGCTTGTGAGGTATAAATAATGAAATTTTAAAATAGAAGAGCCTCGCCTGACGCCTGTTTTCAAGCCAAGGAACAGAGTAATTGTGGTTGTTTTCACTACTAGGCACTCGCATAAGCATAATCTATATTTAGTACTGGGCATCGTTGAAGTGGTATCATCCACGGGTATCCTGCTGTTTCATAAAGTCCGCTATGCGGGCTTTGATCCCTGGCATCGTCGGCTTTGCTCTCACCGACTACTGCAGCTCCAAGATAGGGACATACCTTAGTCAAGGTATTTGTGTAATGAAGCAAAAGTATAAAAGTATCTCCAGATTACAGTAGGCAGGTCATAGACGTTTCCCGCATATATCAACCATGGGTCGATAGACGCACATTGATGTAACTCCGAGACCCATACTGAAGCTACCCGAAAACAGCCCATTCTCTCATAGACGAGACGCTGAGGTATTGTCCACAGCAGATCTCCAATCATCCCCCCTCAATATAATATGCTATAATAGGTAGGAGAAGGAGAACTAGCCAATGCCATATCAACGTCTGCTCGTACAATTACACCCATGTGACGCGCTCACTTCCGCAAACATATTTCGAATATTACGTGATGTCAAGAAAGCATCATAACAGCCACTGGTCTGGCCATTGATGAGGTCAGAACTTCAGAGAAACATAAGAATACCCGCTGACAAAAAGTGTATAAGTGTAGTCTTCATTCCTAGACTTCTTGTTTGAATCTCATTGAACAAGACATCTGTTCTCGTGATATCTCTATTGTCTATCAATCCACAGAATCGACCACTCTAGGCCATACACCTGATCTCCGCCTCAATGGCTGACAACAAAGTCTACTGGAACCACTATGCACCATTTTACGCTCATTGGACATATCAACGCAGCTCAGATGGTGTCACGGGAAAATGGTTTCGGTTTCTCGTGACAGCTGCCTCACGCGAGGATGCAAAGACCTTCTTCAGGGGCGTGGAAAGATATTCGAAAACAAAGGATGCGAACATTGTTTCTGTCAAGGCAGTTAATTTGGCTTGGTGGACCTACGACATCAGCGGTGGCAGCGGCTGGAATATTATGTCCCTTGTCCAAAACATTGATCAGATGAATGCATCTGCCTATGGAGATATCGATGAATTGCGCGACAGCCGGGGCAAGATCCTTGTCTCTATTCTAAATGATGCGGATGGTGGTAGCAGGTCCTGGCCGATACTGCCTACCCAAGATGTCTCTCTCAGTGACTATCAACATGGTTGAGACCTATTTCCACGACTGATCTTTTTGACTTTATGCTGTGCTTTCGTGGAATGCTGTTCAGGCCCCAGTTGCCTTGATACTGGGTCTTGTTGTGGAAGCTCCTGCTGTTGAATTATCCGATGAGATGTTGTGAAACTGATTTTTGTACAAGCTGCTGTGAGCCTGCAGTGATACTGTTTGATGATGTCAGAATGCACAAGAAAGGTCATAAACCGTTTTGTTTATCAAAATAATTATCTCGGCGTGATATATATATCCGACTCAAGGCACTGGACTATCAATTAGAAGCACCAGGAAGCTAGCTTGGGATTCAATACAGTGAGAGATGGCGAGTCACACTGATGGTGTTGGGTACCATGTTTCCATCTGGGCCCGCACCCGCTTTGGTTGTTCTCCAGATGCCACTTTTGACGCAGACCTCCGTGGTAGGCGACTGTAATCTCAGATTCTCCGCTATGCCGTAGAGAAAGGGTGGCCGTATTTAGTAGGTACCTGGTATATCACATTTTCTTCAATTTGCACATCGCAAGCCGGGCTAGCTCAATCGGTAGAGCGTGAGACTCTTAGTCGTCACGGTATCTCAAGGTTGCGGGTTCGACCCCCGCGTTCGGCTTCCCTTTTTGCTCCAGCACATGTTGTTGCGGCGTCTTTGTTTTTTTTGCAGTACAGATCTGATATGAATGAGGGTTTTCCAAATAGGAAGAATATGGCTGAGACCCTGATTGTATGGCAACTGTGGGGTGAAATACCAATCCAATACTTGTAGTTCGTACTCTATGCGGGTAGACGGTGCCTTGACGAAAATACTGCACAGATGGCTAGTTCATACCTTCCGACCGAGATTTTCTTAATGATACAATATATTAAGAATCTTTACGGTTTCTAGAGAATTCAATTAGAAGATCTATTTATTTCACTTTATGGTAGTGTACTCTAGCACTTCGTGGAAATTGATTCTATCTGTGATTCTGGTTTTCTGGTTTGCTATATACCTATATATATATCTTCATAGATGCGGTACGCTAGTTTATGTCCATCATTACTGGTGCATCTCGGGGTAAGACAGGACACGCACATGTAGAGAAGCGCAGAAGGCGAGTTACGAGACCCGCAACTCATATCCTCTCCAGAAAGTAACGCCAACATCGGCGTAGTGATGGCCACCGCCGAACTTGGATGTGCTAGGTCTATTCCTAGGGACGGATGTAAGAGCAAAGAAGACAACTGAGGAGTTGGCGAAATAGGTAACTCTTTATAGTTAGAAGTTATTCCACTTCGTTCAATTCAACTCATGAATATTATCAATTCTTGTTGTCCCTGTTCGAATCGCTTGACTTTTATAAGCTTTTTGTAAGGCGTTCTCTAAATATACATTCAAGGGCAGGACGCCCCGAACCCCGAGCCCCGCTAAATGCAATCTGGATGTCTTTCTCTTCAAGCTCATTTATCACACACACAAAAAGATACAAAAAATAGAAAACATACAACAGGAGGGATTCGCTGGTGGTCACCCACCCAACTACTAACCTCCCGGCGTGTGGCTTAAGTACGGCTGAGCGGACGGGAAGCCCTGTTCTCCACACCCTATGGTCGTATGTGCTGAATTAGTCCTTTGTACTGCATTTTGTCACAAACAGGACTGAGACGGCTAATGTAGAAAGGTAAAGTGATCCTAGGGCTCAGGAATATCTGCCTTACATCCTGCATGGATGTGAGGATTTGAACATTCCAGAACTCGTCCACCAATGACATTGTATTACATCTTAACCAGGTGAACAGACTCTAGTGTTATGCACGGTAAGCTTATGACTAGACCTTTTTAAATCAACTCCTATTCTTATGGGGGAGACATGCTGACGTCTTCACCATCAAAATCCTCCAAAAGCCCAATTCGTTCACCCTGTTCACTACGCCGTCCCATAAACCTTTCCCAGAGATTCATCCACTTGCGAGACGTGCAATATCCAATGCCTGTGAACAGTGCCAGCGGCTTATGCCACGTCTTGAGCGTGAAAATTCCGCGTTCCTCTGTCAGAAATGGTGCTCGATGAGCCATCAGCTCTCGAGCTGTTGCACGATGGCGAGGGCTGTTGCGTCTACTTGCTCCCCGATACAATGCATTTCGAACATGAACTAACGTGCAGCCTCCTTGTAAGTCTTCGGCCAGTCTCCACAAGCGCCCCAACCACCAGTAGTCTGGAACAAGAACGGGGAAGACAATGGAAATGCATACGAGCAGGATGAATATATAAATAGCGGCATCTACGAGAAAGCTGTTATAGATGACCGCACTGGCTAACTCGTCATCAGTAACGTGAGCTACAAGTACCTTGGCTGTGGTTGCAAAGATACCAAGACTCGTCAAGATGAATATTGGCTCGCCTGCATTTGAGGGTGTACCGTCGTCGTCGTCGCCGTAGCACCACGCCAGACAAAACAAAGTCAGGAGTAATGCCCACCCGCCTGTAATAACACGGTCCACGCAGTAGATGGCGAGTACCATGACCTTGTCATCGTGGCCTTTCCAGTCCTCCTTCAGCGTATCCCAGCCCCAGCTGGAGATCTTAGACATCCACGGGTCAAATGTGTAATGGGCTAGGACCAGGAAGATGAGTACGACAACAGGGGTCACAAAGCTTTGAAGAATACCAACAACGATCTGGTATTCAAGCAAGAATTCCAGACCACGTGTGCCCTTATATGCTTTGAGCATAGCAACTATTTTTGCATCACGCTCCTTGAGGACTAGGCCACTATCGGTGCAAAAAGACTCAGTTACTGCGTTGGTCCACGCAACAACATCTATAGCGGTGATATTCAACTTCCATACTTTCCAGGCAGGTGCACGGTAATTCGGATCGAGGCCTAAATCTAGAAGTGTTTGAAGCGCCGGAACATCCCGGCGCCAGGCCGCTTCCAAGATATAAGCCCCGTCTGATCTCGACGGTTTAATCCGGCACCCTTGTGCCTTGGCCGCCTGGCTGATGCTCTGCCATAGACGTATATCCTGGGAGTGGAGCCAATATTCGTGATGGCGCCAGGAGAGCTTTCCATCTTCCCGATCCCAGTGGAGATGATGACCTGCATTGGGCCCAGACCCAAAAATCGCGGTTACGTCACGCATATTTATGATATGATCTAAACGTAATGTTGCCGCTTGTCTCAATAGCGTTTCGACCTCGCCGTTGATGTTATGTGTTGAGCCCACTAGCCTTGACAACACTGTGGCCTTGTATGGCTCGCCTACGTTTTGCTCTCGCCTCATGTGACAGATCCCCTGCGGGCTGGCGCCATGCTTTAGAAGGAACAGGGAGAGGTCATACCATCGCAATGATGCCGCTTGATAGAGTGCACACGTTTGGCCACATGAGTCGTCTAAGGAAAGACACATGTCCTCAAACCAGCTGTTTGTCGTCCAGCCCGCCGGCTGCGTTAGTCCAAGACGTGTCATATCATTAGTCAATATCTCACTAGTTGTCAATCCCAGTTAGACTCTGGCTTAAGCGCAAACACTGCCATTCATAAAGAAGGGGTCGCTTCACTTACGCCAGAAATATGTCTCGGTATCTCGAGCGAGCAATTGTAGCCATATATAATAGGGTATAATTCAGTCTCCCGTCGAACTCGACGTAGCCGTTGCTCCAACGGGGTTTATTCCGGCGGATCGTGTGGCGCGAAACATTTTCAGGGAAGAAAGGGCGTAAATCTTCATAGTTCATCACGGCGTCATAGCATCCAGTCCTCACGTAACATAGAGATACTGACCCCAAAGACATGGTCACACTAGCAGGCCCGGTAATAAGGTCGTGGAATATGCCGCGCTGGCCGCAGAGTATGGAAAGTAAGACAGCATCAACTAAGCCCAGCCATTTGCGATAATTGTTTGGAAGAGGACGTATTGCTTCCCCTTCGTGAAGGGCAATCGCGAAAGCCGCATCCTCAGGTGAGCGTTTAGTAGAGCTTTGTTCAAGTGGTGCAAAAAAAAAACCGAATGGCCCACTCTTTGGCGGGACATCAATACAGTTGGCATTATCTTGCATATCGGCTTCATCATCCGAATCCACGTCATGCAAACTGCGAAACTCACCGGACCGTCCATCACTGGACCGTCCATATATCCATTGCTCCCTTTCCAAGTAGGCACGTTTAGGATCGCGTTTGCGTTCTTCAAGGACTCGTGCTCGAGCCGGGTCAGACTCATCGGGGCCGTAGGCATGTTGTTCAATCGTTGGCACAAACTTGTTGTTATAACGACGAGGAAAGTCGAGCCATCTCCTTCTCTCTTCAGAAAGAACAACGCGTTTGTGATTTACCCGCATAATCCTGCTGTGAATCTCCTTTCGGCACTTTGTAACCGGGAATGTGGTCTCATATTTCGGAAAGTGGGTATGGAGACAGCGCAAGGCATCTCTATTTCCCTCTTTGATTGCGAAAAACGTTGGGTTGCGAGCGCCCAAACAGGGAGTTTCTAGTATTTTCGGATCAAGGTCTCGTAGAAAAAGCAACGAGCGCTCAAGAGCATTATGCTGTCTGGAAGAATGGTTGATATATCTCCAAAATCTATTCGGCATGTCAATTCCGGATAACGGACAACTGGACGCGCTACCGAGAAGCCAGAGCTCGACCAACGAGTAACGAGCTCCATTTGTCCAGAACCGTGCACCTTGGAGCTCCTGTATCAGCTTAGATGAAGATAGGTACTCCCTGAGTACCTCCAAGATCTCAGTATAACATAATCGAATCGCCCAGGCAACCATGAAGCGCAACGCGAATGCTGTAAGGCGGCTGTGTGACTGGCTCTCCAAGCCCCGGCGAGTTTCCTCGACATCAAACAAAGCTCTCAAAGCATGGGGATAATTTAGCATAGCAGCTCGCAGCTTAGGACAGCCCTTGACAATAGGCCTTGTCTCAAAATAAGTATTACCAGTATATTTTTCGGCCTCGGCATCCATCTGTGCACCAGCCATTACCAGCAAATTAGCAGCAGAATTGACATTTTCAGCATTCAGGCTTCCGAGAAAGTGGAGACCATTCTCCCCGGCGTTATTTGTAATTCCACCATCCGCATTGAGATTGAGCAGTGCCGCAAGCATGCCATAATGTCCAGCTCGCATAGCGCATAATAACGGCGTGTCACCCTGGTCATTCCGGGAATCCAGCACGTTCTGCGGTAAATCAACCGGCCTAAATCTCTGTAATATTTCAAGCTGTCCCGATGAAGCTATCCAATGGAGAAAGGTATCTCCCTCGCTGCTGACAATATCCCCAGGGTTGGACGAAAACGATCCCAATGTGGTGAAGCCCGGCAGCAGATTTCCCCAGAATGTGGTTCGATAGGACCTAAGAGCGTCTTCATACATCACTCTATCCAAATCCCTCAAAGAAGCTAAGGCGTCTCTCGAGCCCTTCCTGGCTGCATCATACAACCAATCCTGCACAGGGTAATGGTCTGGGATGGCCACCTGCATTCCCTGCGCAACACGGGCCACAATACATCGCGCCCACTTGTCTCCAAGCTCGGCAGCTCGAATAAGATATGTGACTGACTGCTCCGAATCAGGAACTCTATTAAGGCATGTCTCTTTGACCAAATCGCATGCATAACAGATGGCTAGTTCGGTGCATGCAGCAGCTCTTCGAGTGTCTGTTTTTGACTCAGCTACCAGCTTCAGAGAGTCGACAATATGATCCATCACAACCATACTGACGAAGCGTAGATCATGATATGGGATGGATAGTCTTGGTGAAGCCGCGGGGTCGTCTAACTTATACAAGCCGGATTGATGCTTGTAAGTACGCCTGGACAGAAGCTGCAGAACCCTAGTCAAGTCTCTCTTTGCTGGATCCAACTGAAGGGTACAATCTAAAATGGTCTTGATCATCGGGAATTCTCCCAAGTGTAGGTCCGGGTGGCTTCGGTCTGTCTCCAACAGACAGTTATATATGCGATCCCTCATGGTATCGTCTTCTTTGAAACAATGGAACGTGGCCGCTGGTATTCTCTCCCCGGTCTCTAATGCTGTAGCCGGCTCACAACCCAGAATCAGACCACTAAAGATAAGTCCGAAGGAATATATGTCGGTTTTTCGGAGCGAAGCAGTTGCTGCACAGGTTTGCCACTCGGGGGCAGCGTACATATATGTACCGCCGACAAGGGTACGTACTTCCCCGTTGTCGATGCACGAGTGGCTGAAATCGGAAATTTTAGCATGATACGTTGGATTGGAGAATATAAGCACGTTCTGAGGCTTCAGATCACCATGAATGATACCACATTGGTGTAGTGCGGATAGGCCTGCGCCGATATCAAGTGCGATGCTTTTCTTAGTCGCGAAAGGGAGAGAGGAATTGCTATAGGAATCGTTAACGAGTCACCATCAGCTGTTTTCATCACATCGTCATAGGAGACTATTACGCTTTTTGGAACTCGCGGAGGTCCATATCTGCTTTCTCAACCAAAATCAGGGGCTCTGGATAGTTCTAGACAATTATAATCGTCAGACTAGGGGTTACCGTTTCTGCCAAGGTCAACAACGTACAGTGTGGAAGTAGTCCCAGTTTATCCCCAGTATCCGAATAATATTCGGATGCTGTCGAAGTGGTGGATGGCTTAGAATGCGTATCTCCGAGATGAAACTTCTCGCCAGAGAGATATTGCACGGCCGGCCGTTGGCAAAGAATATCCTCGAGTCAGCCCGCTTAATGACCACCACTCGCCGTTCGCGATTAATCTGGGTCGATATATTGGCACTGGGGCGCACCATAGCGGCGTTGACCGTCAATACCTGGGAGACAGCTCCACGACCGAGTGGGTGGCCCCGGTGTGCGCGGCCTTGCATTTCCAGTACATCAGGATTGGAATATAGATCGGCAACGGCAGTGACTAAGGCCAGGAAATCGCATGTTTCTTCATCATGCACGTGGGTGTTTGTCGGACTTGGTAGGAGACGCGCAGTGTTTCTTTGCGCGAATGAAATTGTTCCTTCTAACGAAATTACACCAGAAGTCATGTTGTCGAATCCTAATGAAGTTTCAAAAGTGCGTGAAGAGTCCCAAATCTCAAGTTGAGGAATTGAACAGCCCGGGGCGAAGTCGCTGCACGACATATAAACGAACCCCCTGCTAGCGTTCAAACTAGGCAATTTTAGTGTCTCGCAGCGCTCGGCTACATGGCCGGGTCTCATCGCTTAGCCGATCACTTCGATTAGTGCACAGGGCGCTTCCTTAGAAAGTAAGCTAATGTCGGTGCTGCGCCACTGGCCCCAGCAACTTACCCTTGGTCTCTGCCTGGGTCGAGGTTCCAGCAGTGCCCAACCATCTCTTCACAGTCCTCCTAACCTTTGAGATATACAGAGTACCTATGTCTGGACCCGACGTAATAGGGGTTATATCTGCCGTTTTTGCCCTCCCCGGTGTAGTCAAGAGTTGCATAGACTTACTTGATCTGGTTTCTTCTGCACGCAGCGCTGAAAGCCATATTGAGGATCTCCTTGTTCATCTGCAATGGCAACGAATTCAATTTTACTGTTGGGTGCAGCAGTCTGGTTTCGCGAATCTCATCATACGCTACGAAGCCCGCCCAGACTGTACAATGTCGGATTTGCTGCAGCTACTTCCGCAGGAGTTAAGATTCGAATTTGTCCTGTCGCATATCGCTAGATCAATCGCAAATATGAGCCAACGACTGCGGACTAGCCAAGCCATGCTTGAGCGATATGCAACTTCTTGCCCGAGCGGCAGTTGGATCGACAAACTACGCCGAGCACTTAATCCAAGCCAGCAAGCCCTCACACAGACAGTCGCGACTACCAGGGAGCCGCCTAAGCTCGACTTCTTGACACGGCTGCGCTGGGTAGCTAGTGATGAAAAGAAGTTAACCCAGTTAGTGGGCGAGCTTCGATCCTACAACGCGGAACTCAAGGACATCCTGCCCACCTTGCTGCGACGGCCTCTAGAGAGGCAGATTGGCATAGTTCTGGTAGCGTCACGCAGCCTGACAACTCGCATTGCCGGTGTTCAGGAGGGGTTCCAGGAGTTAGAACTGTACAAGAATTTCCGTCAGCACCAAGGCATGGCACGGCTCTTAGAACAAGGACGTGAGATTGAGGACTTCGACAGGGCCTCTCATGAAGCTGACGAAGATTCTACTGGATCCCGCTCAGAGCGCCGGACCTTTCGCGGCGTCTGCGCAGAGCCAGGGCTATATCGGGATGTTTCTGAATTTCGGCTCGTGGCTCGCGACTCCCTACAGCCGAAATCCCGGGAGTATACATTGGATGGCAATATCCCAGTGGTCATTGAGTGGCGATATTACTCATCTGGAACGTCTCCTGAAGACCTAGCTTATCTGGATCTGAGAGTACATATGCTGGCGATGCAACTTAAGCAGTCATCGGCTCTGGAAGGAGTCAATGTCCTTCCTTGCCGGGGCCATTTCCTCGACAAGGCTAACCACCGGTACGGGCTTGTTTTCCAATTCCCAGAGGGTACGCACACCTCGGCCCCCATCACACTCCAAGCGCGGTTGGTGGATGATTTGCAGGCGAAACCTCGCGTTTACCGGGACTACGAGGATCGTCTTCGAGCGGCACATACACTTATCATAACGATGTATCAGCTGCTTTGTGCAAACTGGCTGCACAAGAATTTAACTAGCGAAAATATTCTGATATTTGAAGACAGTCCTCACCCTTTCAACTTACCAGTCCCACATATCGGGGGCTTTGACTTTACCCGGCGCGATGCTGATCTTGAGATAACTGAATCATTCGCGTCTCATTACAAGACGGCTTACGCATCAATCGAGAAAAGGCTGTATTGGCATCCCGACAGAAATGCAAGGTTTGAGAAGGAGCTGAGAGGAAAGGATAGTTCTAGACCACCTCAGCCCACTGAGAAGTACCGTAGGCAATATGATGTTTACAGCCTAGGCGTCGTTTTATTGGAGATAGGGCTTTGGTGTCCACTGAAGCGCATATGGAAAGACTGCGGAGAAGACTTTGACAAATTCCTTTCGGAGCTGACAAACACATATACCCCGCAGCTAAGGGGACGAATGGGCAGGGTGTATGCGGATATCGTTCGGTGCTGCCTTGAATATGATTTTGGGGGTGATTTGGGGACACGTGTACCTGGGCTTGAAGAGGATGCAGTGGAGCGACGAAGATTTCTGGAACAGTTCAACACATTGGTTGTTTGCAGGATCGAACAGCTCGTGTAAGATACAGAGCAAGTCTTGCATGATATATCACTCTCCTGACAGGCATCAACACTTACATTGAGGCCACATAGAAACAATGGTGCGAGCCTTGCTCCGAGGAGGATATGAACCTTATAATGTACCCCGTTAGTTGATAGCCACTGCGCTGGCCATACAGATTTGTATGAAAGACCAATAATCCGAGTCGGGCACCAATGAGCTCAGCGGCCTATAGAGTATTTGCTAGTAACAAAACACGGGAAGCTTTAATCCGGCGATCTTCCGACGTCGACTGAAGCACGTGATTATGGTGGATCCACCTTTTCTAGCTAGTACTAGTACTTGGAAGGAACCGAAGACGATGAGCATTTTGTCCAGTATGAGCGGTTCACCATCTGCCCCTGCGTCGGAACTTTTTACTCCCTACTACTTCGTAATTGCGGGGGGGGGGGGGGTCCAGAAGTATTTACAACACTTGGCAGAACGCGTACCGCGTCCAAACAACAACATTCTCCCATATATTGGTGGATCTGCAATGCCCACTTTCAATCAAAGAGCCAACAAATCAGAGAAAAAAAAGACATACAACAGGAGGGATTCGCTGGTGGTCACCCACCCAACTACTAACCTCCCGGCGTGTGGCTTAAGTACGGCTGAGCGGACGGGAAGCCCTGT